TAGGTATCGATACTTTCAAAAGCGATACTCGATACTGAGTACTCGATACTACAACAAGGCAAATACTCGCAAGTACTCATCAAATTGCATTTTGAAAAATCTCACGTAAGATTGGGGGATGGGGGAGGGGGTTGAATAAAATCTCACGACATCTCACCAGAGGGGGAGGGAGGGACAGAAAATTAAAAAAAACACCTCACGTAATTTATGGACGCCCCCTATCTAATGGAAGCGGATATAGATAGAAAAATAAATAATTAAAAATATTTTAATATTAATATATTAAAAGTTATGTACATCCGGTTTCTGAAATGAGAATTTAAACAGTCACGGGTATGTTCCGATATACACTGCGACCACTGAACAGTATGACGTCAATTTAGTATACTGGAAGCCCGTTCCTTTATAGCTAGTTATACTGGTGACTTTTTAAAACGGAACGCAGTCCAGTATACTGTTAATCCTATTTTTTGGCGCCATTTTCAAATTTGTTAATGCAAGTTGAATATAAATATAAATATTCCCTCTTTTCAAAAGAAAATTGGAAAATTGTATAAAAAAATTATTTATCAATTAAATCCATCTTATAAATAAACGTAAGTATTTTTTTTGTTTTAAATATGTAAAGCGGGTCATAAAAAACGCGTGTGTTACCAAGGCAAATAGTTAAGTTATAGTCCATACAAATTCCATAACAGTATTATTTGCCATTTCGCGCGCTGTTGCTATTCAAAATTCGAACTAATCGCCGCGCCGCGCCAGTCAGTAGGCAGCGCTAGCGCGCTGTTAAAATGGGGGGAAAGCAACAGTGTACATTCACAGATTGAATTTATTTAATTTTTTTTCTGTTACCTCGCAAATGTGTTAAAAACGTCGTACGATATACGTGCGTATTGGTTATAACATGCTCGGCTCAATTACGCCCTAACCTTCGGCTCGGGCTGAAATTCCGCCTCGCATGTTATAACCATCATAACGCACTAATATCGTAATGTACTATTTTTATGCAAGTAGGTATGTTCACGGATTTTTTCATGATTAAGTCGTGCAAATAAATAAATAATCTTCATATTAAAAAAAAGTGATAATTAATACTTATTTTTTACGTACTTACGTTTTAACGTACTTACGTTAAAATTTTTCAAGAAACATTGGAGTCGGGCGGTTAATATTTAATAAACCACAGAAAATTTAACCGCTTTTAAAATAAGTATTTATCCTTTGAACAACAATGGTCGAAGTAATTATCACTTTTTAATTTTAAAGTCGGTTCAAATTTTTGAAAAAAAAATTTATTTTATCACGCGTGTATCATCTGTTTTTAAAATATTTTTACTCTGCTTCTTGTCTTGATAGTGCACTTTTAGACTTTATCTCTATTACCTTCTCACGATCACTCAAAGATTTGCTGGAAGAAAAGTCATAGTTGAGTTATCTCGCCATTTGTATAAAACTTTGTTATCTGAGACACTTTTGTGTATAATAAAGTATAAAAATAAACTTAACGGTGTTAACACTAGGTAGAATACCTTATTTCCTTATACATTTTTAGACCTGGTTATCAACACATTACCTTATCAGAAGTTACCTAGTGTTTTACATTATGCAGCGAAATGTGTTCCCGAATGCAAGAACAACGGAGTGTGTGTGGCGACCAACACGTGCCAGTGTCCCGTCAATTACCGCGGCCAGTACTGTGAACTGGAGAAGAAACCCTGTCTCGTTTACCCACCATTACCGAAGAATTCCAAGAGAAGTTGCTCTTCAGAGTTAGTGACATAAAATTTGCTTTATAATTAAGTTAATTACCTACCTATGAAAACCACATGAAGGTTATAAATCGTTGCGTTTATTTTTGATAATTTTGCTCAAACATTGCATTTAATCAGTTAATGTCTTACGCCCAATCCGCATTGGGCCAGCGTGGAGGGTCATGGCCCATCCTCCTTAGCCTTCCTTATGGATGGTTAGCCCCTGCAGTGGGGACGTAAAAAGGGCTGGTGATGAATGTCTTACGCAAAATTATTTTAGAAATCACACTTTGAAAAAGCTCACTTAACATCGGGCAATTGCCAATGAATCAGTTGATTATGGTCTATATGCAGTTCTATGCACAAAGCCTTTTAAACTTGGTTTTCTGATTTTAATTATACATACGTTTACTGGACATCGATCAATTTAAAAATAAATATCTCTGCTCTCAACAGTTTCTGCACGATTCAGTGTCTAGAAGGTCACAAGTTCATCGATGGCACGTCTGTAGCCAACATGCGTTGTAGCGAAGGCCAATGGCGCCCAACACGTGCCGACCTAGACACAGTCCCGGACTGCCAGCCGGAATGTGAGCCCCGTTGTCAGAACAACGGTTCCTGTCTCGCTCTCAACACCTGTATGTGCCCAGAGGGGTACAGAGGACCTCAATGCCAGTACTGTAAGTTCTTTTATTTAAACCTTTTTTTCTGGTTTGTCTTCTTGGAATCCCAACGTTTGCCAAGGATCGGCACTTATCTGATTAAAGATCCGCCAAGGTTCTCACACAAATATAGATTAACACTAGAAAGTTGGGTGCAGCCATTTGACTGCAATTCGAATTTCAAAGTTATATAAAAATTTCATGAGAATGTTACAGCATTTTGTATCATACTTATATCATTTTTAATATTTTTTACCAAATTCATGCTTCTAAACAAATAAATGTATATATACAGATTATCTTTGTAGGGTCGGAAATTTAGCTGTCTTCCTTAAATTAAAACGGCAGACAGATCATCCTCGTAGTGTGCAAGGTTGCAAGGTTGTCCAATCCTTAAAAATATTTGTGTTATCAGACGTTCCGCGACCGATATGTGTCGACCCTTAAAGTTGTCATATATTCAAATAGGTACTTAACGTTGCTTTATACTTTACTGTTACCTTCCAATCTAAGAATTATGTATCTACAAGACATAGACAAGCTGTTCTAAACTAAAATTATGACACTGTAGAGGCGCTTTGCCGTCTTGCTACGAGTATCTAAGGAGTAAGTGAGACGGCTATACAATTAACTAAACGATGTTAACACGACATTTTTGCGAGTAATTTTCCAGTGTTGAACAGCTTGTCTACAGGCTCGGATGTACATTTTTTTTACCCGGGGTGGAAACTTCGTATGATGCCCTTCCTCCACCGCTTCTAAAGTTTTGAAGCTTCTAAGTAGATATTACATAATGATGATTTTGGCGCTCCCTGACACTGGCGTTCGGGGCGCCTCCTTAGATCCAGCCCTGTTGTCTAGTAGTGTAGATAGAAATATTTTGGTTACTACAAATAAATACTTTTCTAAAAGCGTGGCTTTTAATTTATTAGCGACAAGCGTTTGCGACGTAAGGAAGCTGGGATTCAACGGCGGGTACAGCTGTTTTGGCGACGCGGACAAGTTCTCGTGCAAACTGAACTGTCCCTCGGGCTCCACGTACAGCACCCCGCGCGCCAACGTGTACTCCTGCCGCTACGACACGGGCGTGTTCGAGCCACAGCCCATACCGCATTGCGTGTTCAGTGAGTTATAAAATTTCAAAACGCCGAGTGGTTCGCACACCGGTTTCAAGGTGTCGCCATCTCCGAGCTCCCGGGTTGGATTCCCGGTCAGGTTATTGTCTCGGGTCTGAATGTTGTGATGCCTTCGTTGTCTCAGATACTTCTTTATACCGGGGCTTTAGCTAAACATCTTTGATTCTGCGCAAAGAATGTGTTCTTGTCTAATATATTTTTATTTATTTATGCCGTGGCGTTGTCTTGAGGTGTACGAAGTCATATCTGGACTGACGTCACTGGACAAATTTGTCTATTAATAAACAAATTAGATATAGTTTATATATCGTACTCAAATATTTTACTGATCACTCCTTTATTTACACGTTTTTATTGATCACTCCTTTTACTAACAATCCAAAAATTAAAATTTTCTTTTTCAAAACAAGCTTTTGTTTACTGTAAATATTTTTACTGACTTTAAGCAAAACAAATCAAAATCGCTTGTGAAAGTCGAAACTCTTTGCCTTTGCCATTTGTTCATAAATCTACGGCGGGATAGTTTGTACCGAGAAGGACCGATAAGAAACTCAGCAAGGGCTGTTTTTTCTCCCTGCTGTATTTAATGTAGAGTCGTCAAGATTGAAAAAATACTTCTTTAAAATATATAATATAATTTTCCATCACAATATTAGAAAATATAAAAATTCATCGATTCAAATTAAATAAATTTAACACAAAATCACTACATAGTATAAAATAATGTCGCTTTCTCTGTATCTATATCCCTGTATATGCTTAAATTTTTAAAACTACGCAACGGATTTTGATGCGTTTTTTTTTGACGTGGATACGTCTATGTTTTCGTTCTACAGTGGGGTCATTCTGTGAGCAGGAGCTTATGCACTAACGCCATCTATTGGCGTATAAGTGAACTATGCTTGCTCTGCAGGGGGAGGGGCATTCTGTCAGCAGGAGTATATGCACTAACGCCATCTGTTGGCGCTTGTGAATACTTTTTTCATTCAACAAATGAACGCAACGAATATTTATTTATTTAGTGTTTAGTGTCTTCAATTTGTTTATTTATTTTTTTATCAATTACTCATATATCCATTCATACATAGTCGTATCCACGCATAAAATATGGCTGTATCAATGATACAGCCAACCAGGGTTTTTTCATAGATAGGGTGATTCAAAAGGAAGGTTTTTATGTATAATACAAGACCATGCGGGCGAAGTCGTTGGCGGAAAGCTAGTAGTATGATAAACGATAATGGTGACCTCTTACTTTGTTTTCAGACGATGCATATATTATTACTCCCACTAATCAGCGTAACGGTAGCAGTGTAAGTAAAATATTGATTATATTTATATTCCATTATTAATATTTTTCCAGAATTTCACATTTTAACTAAGGTAAAATTTTAATAAAAATATCTTCAATAGCAACTATTTGTTTTAAGAATTATATGTATTCTCGTTAGAGCTACCACGAAAGTCACACATGGTACTCGTCGAGTGAAAGCCACGGTTCCAGCGGCTCAAGCGGGCCCAGCAGTAGTTATGGTGGCAGCGGGTCTCACAGTTCTGGAAGCAACCACGCGTATGGACACGGCGGTCATCATATGGTAGTGCAGGACCTCACACCCAAGGGCGGCGTCTGTCTCACTTGGGCTGGGGTACATTACAAGACTTTCGACGGGAAAATATATGGGTAATTATAAAACAATGACGCTAGATTGTGTAGCGACACCCTTTATAATTTAACAACGCTGGGCCGACTTTCACTATATAGTTGGACATGTCTTCGTCAAAAATTATACGAAAAATTAATGGAAAGAGACATGAAAGATTTAAAAGTCTAAGAGAATGACCATTTTCGATTTGTTATGTCGTACAGTTTCTATAGTCTTTCCATAGGACAGGCAAACAATAGCAATACGTATCGCTTTCTTTTGGCACTCATATATTACTTTGAGTCATTGTCCCTTTTTTTGACTTCCCAGGGAGAAGATTATTTATTGAATTGTATAAACTAAAAAATCGAAAATTTACATTTTCCTTAATGTTTCTCTCTATTAATTTATTTTTATTAATAAATATAATTCATTCGGACAAAGACCGGGGTTAAACTACTAGTAGATAATAATATAAAAATACTAAGGTGAAGAGTAACTTTTAATAAATGTGTGATATCGTCAGGTTTAAGTCTCATTGCCGGCACATTCTGTTGCGGGACACAAAAGGACACAAGTTCACTATAGCGGTAAAACCAGGCAACTGTTCGCGACACGCCCACTGCCCCTCGGAGATCACCATATACATTGAGGAGAAGCCATACACACTGTCTGTTCATCCAGGTACGAATATAGTTATTATCTACCTACTTTCTGTAACTTGTTATATACTTGTTTCATGTAGGTATCCCTCTCTCTTTCTTAATCCAAATGATATATTGATGGTATTAAAAAGGTCAATTTAAATGTCAAGCGAAGTTTGTGTGACAGAAACTATGTAAAACACAATGCTTTTTTATTTTTAAGTGTTAGTAGTAGTAAATAGTTAGTAGTAGATAATTAGTAAGTAGATTTTATAATTTTAAGTAGAATTCGATTCGTATGCTATTTTTTTTTGGGCCACTGATTGTTTAATTTTGTTGTGTACGATAGAAGACGGCAGCGTAGTGTTCCGTAGCTCGAAGCGCTTGATACCCGTACCCGCGTCGCTGCCGGGCTTGCGCGTGTCCATGCCCGCAGACTACGTGCTCGTCAATCTGGACCAATCACATGTCACGCTCAAGTGGGACACCAACGTGAGCTATATCTCAACTATAATAACAATCAGATATGCTATTTGGTTAATTATATTCAGCAGTGCTATCATAGAGCTGCAATCAAATGAAGCATTTCTTAGGTTTTGAAGTACTTACAAGACTTCGTGGCTGTTCATAGCCATAGTCATAACAGTTATTGATCCATGTTGGTACATATGTTCTTACATATAAATTTTCCTGAACATGTGTCCTGAGAGGATATTGCAACATACATCGCTGAACAAAATTACAATTAATAGAGACACATAAAATTTCGTTAAATCATTATAACATTAACTTTATACTATTTAATTTCAAGTTAAATTAAAACACAAAACAATACAATTATAAACGAAAACAATTCGTCAATTACAATTTTATAATCCAAGAATTCCTTTAAATTATAGTAGAATCGGTCTATTCAATTTTTTTAACTTTTTGTTTAATATTGCATTTAATTCTATATCTTTAATGTAATTTGGTATTTTATTTTATATAATATTAATAGGATTTTTATCGACACATGGTATGTTCCTGAACTTACTAGGTGGAGATTTGCAAAAGGAATAAATAATTTGTTTCGGTTTCTTAAGCAATGAGTTTGGGGATATAAATCTTTGGATTGCTTATACATATGACTACTTTTATAATCGAATAACACTGTAAAGATGATGGCAAGAGTCATATTACATTCAGTTCTAGCTCCAAAGAAGATATAGATATTTGGTTAGTTTTTCAAACAAGTATGACTATATTGTACCACCGTGTTTCTTTTTAAAACCCCGATAAAAAAGAGGTGTTATAGTTTGCCGTTATAGTTTGAAGGAGAATAACACGTATCACTTAAACTTATTTTATCAAAACTGGCTTAAAGAAAAACAAACGAAGTTCAAAAGATTTAAAATTTAATTAAAAATAGAATATTTGCTGTTTCTTTCTTAGGACGTAATAGTTGTGGAAAGTAGCGTGTTACTATGGAACAACACGGAGGGTCTGTGTGGAAATCTAAACAGCAATCAGGACGATGATCTCACCAGTAAGGAACACACGCGTGCTAAAACTGCCGCCTTCATGGCTTCCTCCTGGCAACTGAACAGGATCGAAGGTCGGTGCTTTACACATGCCTACAATACATGATTTTATTTTTATCTGTATGCATGAATATAATGTGTCTGTCTGTTTATGAGTATGCATCTGATTAATATATCTGTATATCTATATCTTCACGTCGAATCTTTAGCAGGGGTAGAAGGCAAAGAGTCTGAGCGCCATAAGGCACGGTACTTACGTATCTCGACGTTCGTGACTTCAAGTGACTAAAGAGATGATCGATTTCATATAATTATTTTGTATATACTTGCATATTTCACTCTTTAGTTAGTTTGTGTTTGGTTTAACATCACTTCATAGTATAAAACAGAGTCGCTTTCAGGGACAGATCCCTCTATCTCTACGTATGCTTAAATCTTTAAAAATACGCAACGGATTTTGAAGCGGTTTTTTTTCTAGATAGGGTGATTCAAAAGGAAGGTTTTTATGTATAATACAAGACAACGCGGGTGAAGTCGCTGGCGGAAAGCTAGTTGTTTTATATGTGTTGATGCCAATCACTGATTTTTGCTGGCAACAATTCTTTACATCTGTACTTCCATAAATATAAAAAAAAATATATTACTTAACAATAATTATTTCTTTGTTATAATGCAGATTTACGTTATACATGTTTGTTTTCTTCTTAGATATTTGCGACAGTAACCCTATGGAATTGCACAGTTGCACCGCCCAGTCAGACGAGACCAAGAAAAAGGCTCTACAGTTTTGCACGAAAATATTCAGCAGAGATAAATTCCGAAAATGTGCTACGGTAAATCTTAATCAAATATCGATTATCAGCCTGTGCTTTAAGATCTATTTTTGGTAGTCGAAAACTATGCTAAGAGTTCGGAAATCTACAGCAGGAGTAATTGTACTGAGAAAAAATAGTAAGAAACTTGGCGAATAATTTTTCTCTCTGCCTTGTTTCTTTCGGAATTGTCATATAGAAAAATGACGTCAGACTATGAAGTCTACTTAAATTACTAAATATAAATAAATATGTTACTAAATAACGACAACCGAGCAGATCACTATGTACAACGTTACCATTCCCCAATTTATTTTGACTTCTACTTACAATGTATTAAGGTTTAAAATAAAATGACGAAATTTGACACAAGTGCATGTACTGGCGTGCTGTTCATTGTATATTCATTAATAATAATAATAATGTATTTTATTCAATAATTGTTACATTAAATTGTTTTGAGACCACCCCAATAAGTAAATTGAAGTTACTCGTGTTGGGGGTGCCTCGCTCATCCTATCATGCATTAATCTAAAAACATTAAAGTTAACATAGTTAACATAGAATATCATTATACATATTATTACCGTGGGAGAGCCATGCTTCGGCATGAATGGGTCGGCTCGACCGGAGTGATACCACGGCCTCACAGAAAACCTTCCCTCCCTATGATCATATTCGTCCCTCAAAGGCCAGCAGCGCGCTTGTAGCCCCTCTGGTGTTGCAGGTGTCCATGGGCGACGGTAATCACTTACCATCAGGTGATCCGTCTGCTCGTCTGCCCCTATCCCATAAAAAATAATAATAATAATAATTCATATATTACCTGTTGCATATTTATTTTGATAGTTTTTATCAGTCCGATTTCTATATTTAGGTGATGGACGTCTCTCAGTTGTTAGAAGCTTGTCAAGGCGATTACTGCTCTTGTGCCAGTAGCGATGGTGAGTAATGTTTTTGTTGTAATATTTCATAGGTCTGAACAAAATAAAATTATTAAAAATATTCGTCGTATAGACCTTCAGATTTCCACCTGTTTCGGTCTCTTCAGAATTCTTTAGGCAGTGTCAGGTTAACACAACGCGATTACTGCCAAAACCACTTGTCGCAATTTTTTGATCAGAAACTCCAAAATTTCTATAGCAATGGGATCATATCCCTAGCTACAAGATGGCAAAAAAGTTATCGAGCAAAATGATATCTACATTTAGTTTAACGTAAATAAACTTTGTTAAGAAATATTTTAAATTTTCATATAAAATGCGAAAAAACGTTTTCACCGACCTATTATAAAATATACGGAATTGAATTGGTTAGTTAATGTGCCTATTATTAAATTTTTAGCAAGATCTTAGTTGATTATCTTAGTTGATTGATTATCTTAGATGATTATTATCTTAGTTTCTATTTCTATATTCTATGCATGTCTATACATGGTTAATCTTTTATTAATACCGCCATCGCGTTTATCGTTTTTCCTAAAGGTTGACTGAGAGAGAATGCCATTAGCATTAAGTCCGCTTTTGTACCTTTTTTTATTACGGGTCAATAAAGTTTAATAAATAAATTATCGAAGCTACGTTATATCAGTAGCTTCAAAGCATTTTTGTATTCAGTAGAGATGTTTTCAAAATGTAATATTCTAAAAAATCCATTTGGTCCCGGCACCCAGAGATGATATTATTCAGTATAGCATTGTGAATGCGAAATTTATTAAATATAACAATATTATTATGTTGTTTTAGACTCTGAGGAGTGCGCTTGTAGTACAGTTTCTGTATACGCCAAAGAATGTATGAGGCTCGGTATTGCGGAGATGAAATATTGGAGAGATCCCGAGACCTGCCGTAAGTAATCTTCTGAACTAAATTAAGAATAAGGTAGATTTCATAAACCGTGAAAAATTAATGCGGATCCAAAATTGAAAAATTTGCTATTGTTATTGAAATACACAGTTTTCGACCATTCATCGAGAAAAAAATCTCTGTTTTATAATTAACGGTTGATCGAATTAACAGTTCGACTAAGAATTTACATAATATAAAACTATGTACTGTATGTATATCACTGAAATGTATTTACATACATAACTTTATCTAGTCAAGTTTCGGTCTCGGAAAGTATTAAAAAAAATATTTTTATTTTTATAATTTAATACTGAAAACTATTAAATAAACTTAACCTAATGAACAGATCCAACCGCGGTTGGATACAATATGCTGCTCGGTGGCCTGTGTTCCTCATTTTTATAAGCATGGCTTTAATGTTTATGTTAAATGGAATCGTGGGACCGTACCAGGAATTTATTGTTTAACTTTAGAATTAAGTAGTAATGACAGCTTCTGTCGATATAATATTGATTGTCAATTAGCTTAAAAATACATTAGTTGCCATGATAAATATGGGAACGTTTTATGTATATCAAAACATTTCAATTATCGAGTGATATTAATAGTTTAATTAAGATTATGGTGATCGGTCACCCTTAACACCTTCCTCCTTAAGTTCGAAATTGTTTAAAACTTTTGAATTTGGACGATTTCGAGCAAAATTAGTTTTACATAAAATAAATTTTTTACTCTTAATTATTACAAACATTAATACAGAAATTAAGATTATTACAATAATATATAAGATAATAGTCCAGATACTAACACTTTTCACTGTAACACTTTCAATAATTTCACTTTCACTATTTTTCTTCAATGCGTATGATAAAAGTTGTAGATTTTCCATGTCTATGTTATCTAAATTGATAGGTTTTTCGTCTGCAGGAGCCTGTTGTGGTAATTCAGGTAAGCTGATTTTAATTGATTTGTGGAATCTTATATCCGTTTCTTTAGTGTGCCTAATTTTCAATTGAATATCTTGAATTGTAACTAGACATTTTCCATCCATTTCCAGTAAATAAGTACCGAAGAGATTTTGACGTGTTACTTCGCCTTTGCATGTTTCTTTCAGAATTACTGGTTTATTGGTGTAGATTATCCAACGATTTTCGTATATTGATCTCAGCTGCAGTGAATTGATTTCCACGGCAATTGGATGACAGGTGCTAGAGTTTGTTTCAAATTTCAGAAGGCTGGTAACGCAGTTATCTTCGATATGTGAAGTTATGTCGTCCTCGTAGCATAGATACATTGATTCATCAATTTCTTGACAAGGGTGAGTAAGTGATTGAGTTTTAACCTCTTTCACGAGTAGGTAAGGATATTTAGGAGGGATAAGAGTGGTTATATTATAGACATTCAGTACAGGTAGGGGTAAAACTTTATAATAATTATAAATGTCTGGCGCTATTAAAGGAACACGCATTATGAACGTTATTCGTCTCTCCTTGAAATAAGCATGTAATTCAATAGTTGGCTCTATTTTAACAAGATTTTTAGGTTTTGCTGGAAAAACAAGTTTATCAGTTTTTTCTATTTCCTTTAATACATTCAACAATTCCTTATTATCTATAATGGACTGATGCAATACCTTTACACGACTAAATGCAACGGCTGTCTCAATTTCATCCAATTGTATGAATATGGATAAAAAGTTATTAAAGAATATAGTAAGTATTTTTATCAATTTACTTTCCAATCTGTCTATATTAATATTTTTTATTTCCTCGTTAATTTGGGCTATTTCATCATGTAATTGGATGAGATTACTCTGAGTAGCTCGTGTAAAATTAGCTAATATACCCGCCATTTTGGAGACAATAGTTACCTTTTTTGAAATTAAGTCTTGTTTGTTTTTTATATCTGTAATCATTTGTTCATATTTTAATGCATCGTCATTATCTAGGTTACCGGTTATAAATTTTACGAGTGAGCCTAAGGGATTTATTAGTCCTCGTTTTAGCCTGCTAATTTCAGTTGGAAGTAATTGTTTGAATCTGTCGTTAGTGAGTTTCATCATTCCTTCAGCTTGCGCTTGACTATAACAAAATTCTATAGAATAGTTAAACTTAAAATTAGAAATATAATTTTTAAATTCCTTATATTTAATAATACTAGATTCTAATTCACTAGCTATAATAGATAAATCTAAGGTTTTAATGATTGTCCACTTATCCACACTAATAACGGCTTGACCTTCTTTTATTGGAAGCAACCCTGGATTTTTCTCAATCTTCACGAGTTGAAGGCCCTGGACGGGGATCACCGGGATCAGGATCAGGACGGGTACGAACCTGTGGAGGACGTCTTACATCTTTAATTGGCACATTGGTTTGCCTTTGCTTTGTTTTTACAGGGACAATGTTTCGCTCAATTTCTCCCGATACTTGAGCCTTTTGGTAGCGGGGTTTATCTTTACTACGTCTAGTATTGACACCTTTTATAAACACGTCATCCCCTACTTGTATATCAAAAGTATGTTCTCCACCACGTTTAGATTTGGTGACTTCCTTTTGTTGAATCATTCTATCTGTTAAGTATTTATATAGGTATTTTGTACGTTTAACATGTTCTTGGACTAATTGTTGTGTATAATGTTTATTAAAGTCAACATCAAAGGTACTAGACGAATCTGTATGTCCGAACACAACTTCATGTGGAGTAAGACCAGTAGTACTATGTATAGTTTGATTATATGCCATTATTACGTAAGTCATTATAGATGCAGCATCAGTAAATTTTTGTTCATATTTTGCTAATCTATATAACTCTATTAATGTGGAATGAAATCTCTCTATTATTCCCATGGAGTTAGGATTATGCGGAGTTCCAATATGTAATTCAATTTTATAAAATGACAACATTTCTTTGAGTAGAGCATTATTAAACTCGGTACCTGGATCTGAGCTCATTCTAGAGGGAATACCGTAATATGAAAAGTAATTAATTAGAGCTTTTACGACCTCAGGTGTAGATCTATTTGAGATTTCCTTTGCTCTACCTAATTTGCTAAAGGCATCTATTATGGTTAAGTAATATTTTCCGTCAATACTAAATATATCAATAAACAATTCTTGAAACGGTTTTGTCTGAGTTTGAGTTAGTTGTAATTCCGGTTTGAATGGTTTTCGGTCATATTTCATTTTTTTGCATACGTCACATAAATTTATTACACTAGCAACTGTTTGTTCTAAGTTATTCCAAAAATATGTGCGCTTTAATTTTAAAGTAGTTTCACGAATACCTCTATGACAAGTTTTTCCTTTATGATACTTCATGATATTTCTTTTTGTTCATTTTCATCTTCTACGTAAACTACTCGCTGTGTACATTCGAGAAATTGAACGGTATCCTTTTTATATAGGGCTGCGTAACTGCGTTAACAAACTGTGACCTATGAGTCTCATGTTCGAAATATATAAATTGTTTTATTTTGGGTTTAGTGTACTCTTTTAAAAATGTTTTTACTAAATCGGGGCGATTAGTCGGTAAATGTACTTCTAAAACTCGCTGTTTAGGTCGGGATAAATTTTTAACTAATATTTCATTTTTATTCCAAGTGAATATTAAAAATTGATTTGGTTTCGTATCAATGGCTTCATTTAATATAGGTATGCCATTTGTTTCGACATCTTGAGCGGAATGTACTGTATCCGAGTAAGGATTTCTAGGCGTTTCAGGGGCTGATAATGTACTACCTGTGCTAGAAGTTAAAATTGAGTAAGGCGATTTTCTTTTATTTTGTTGAATTGATTTATTAGAATCGGATGATATGGTCATTATACTTACAGAATCTAGTGAATTTGAACGAGATCGCGAACGGTTAGAACCACTCGGATTTCCTATCATAGAAATATTTTCTAATGCATTTACTTTAATTCGAGACAATGCGTCGGCTACACTATTTTGTTTTCCATTCTTATAATAAATATCGTAATCGAATTCTGATAAGCGTAACTTCCATCTTGTAAGCTTACTATTGGGTTCTTTAATTGAGTTTAACCATGCTAATGGTCTATGGTCTGTATAAATAATAAATTTTCTACCATATAGGTAAGGACGAAAGTGTTTTACCGCCCAAACTATAGCTAATAATTCCTTTTCAATAGTACTGTAACGTTTTTCCGCATCGTTTAAGGTTCGACTTGCGTAAGCGACAGGCTTATCGCTACCTACGGGACCTTGAGACAACACAGCGCCGATTGCATAATTTGAGGCGTCTGTCGTTAGAACAAAAGGTTTATCAAATTCAGGAAACTGTAGTAAGGGTGCATTTGTTAAAATCTCTTTACACTGATAAAATGCTTGTTTATATTTTTCGTCAATAATAATTTTATTATTTTTTTTTAAACAGTTTGTAAGAGGCTGGGTTAATTTTGCAAAATCTTTAATGAATTTTCGATAATAACCGACCATTCCTAAAAAGCTTTTAATTTCCGTGGTTGTTTTAGGTATAGGAAAATCTAAAATAGTTTTTATTTTGTCATTATTAGGTTTTAATCCTTCCTTTGTAATAGTATGACCTAAATATAAGACCTCTTTTCGTAAAAATTCCGATTTATCAAGTTGTACCTTTAAATTATTTTGTCGTAATCTATTAAAAACGCTTCTTATATTTTGTAAATGTTCATTTAAACTAGAACCATATATAATAATATCGTCTAAGTAGACCAGGCAATGTAGACCTTGTAACCCTCGTAATACGTTATCCATTGCTCTTTGAAACGTTGCCGGTGCTGTCTTTAAACCGAACGGCATTCTAATGAATTCGTAATGTCCTGTTTGTGTGCTAAAGGCTGTCTTAGGTTGATCTGACCTTTCAATTTCCAATTGATGGTAACCACTAGCTAAATCTAAGGTTGTAAAATAAGTAGATTTTCCTAGCTTATCGAAAAGATCTGTTATGTTAGGAAGAGGATATTTATCGTCGATAGTTATCTCGTTAAGGCGGCGATAGTCGATTACCATGCGGTACTTTTGTTCGCCTGATGCATCAATTTTTTTTGGCACTAAATGCACTGGGGCATTCCAAGGGGAATGTGATTCTTTAATAACATTTTCACAAAGTAAATTTTGAACTTGTTTATTTATTTCTTCATTTTGTATGGGGGGTAATCTGTAAGGCTTGACATAAATTGGGTCTTCATTTTTGGTGCGTATTTGATGTTTTACTTCATTAGTAAATGTCAAAGGCAATTTATCGCAATAAAATATATCCCTATATTCTAAACATAGCTGTTCAATAGCGTGTCTTTCTTCGTTATTTGTGTGATCTAGCCGTAACTTGTTTAAGTTTTGACGTAATAAGTAATCCACATCGACATTATTTTCTTGTAAAATAGTATGGTTCAACGATATAAAGTTAGGAATGTATTTTTGTACTCTAAAAGGCTTATTTACACAGATTATAATATGTTCGTTTGAAGTATTTTGAATAATTGTTTCTGCAAGGTTTTCCTTACAGGTAATTAAAGCACTAGGCATTCGTACGCCTTTCCCAAAATCTATAAAGTTAATAATTGCTTCGCCTTCCTTCGTTTGATCGGTTGGTATTTTTACACGAGTTTCAGAACGCGGCGAAAGGTGAATTTCGTAAGGAGGTTGATATAAAATAGGAATTACTGTGTTATGAGTTTTTAATGATTTATTTTTTAAATCAATATTAGCATTTAATTGGATTAATAAATCGCTACCAATTAAACTATCATATTTACTGTCCACTGTGTAAACGTAAAATTTTTGGATTCCAGAGGTTTTAAAGGTTTTTAACATAGGTATTTCAATAACTTCGTTATGTGAGCTACGGGCATGTGTACTTATGACTTCAAAGGGTTCTTGATATTTATAATCAAGAAAATATTTTTCCACCAATTCCGGGCTAATAAATGATCTAGTACTTCCTGTATCAATTAAAAATTTTGCTTTAATTTCTGGTATTTCTATATGCGGTAAACGCATAGTTGAATTATAATTTATTTTTACTATTTCGTGATTTCTCTGTCCGAGGCCTTTATATAAAAATTTTGATTTTCATATTCATTATCGGGGTATTCTGAATCGTACTGTAATTCGCTATTTTCGTAGGGAGTTTCTGAGAAAAACTGTTCTTCTTTGCAATAATTTGTTTCATAAAAACGGGGTTCATGAGAGTTTTCGCTTAAGATTTCTGATTCTTTGAGCATATTTTGTTTAATTGGCGCCACACTACGCATAGAAACATCCGTATTTTGCACTGGGCGAGGTGTTTGTAACGCATTTGGAATACCGAACTTAAATTGATTGTTAATAGGATATCTGAAGTTATGAAAATATGGTTTATTATTTTGTTGGTTTATATTATTAAAATAAGGGTTCGGCGATCTATTCACGTTTTGGTTTGGGATTCCGAATTTAAAATTATTTTGTATTGGTTTTGGCATGTTTTGTATTCCAAATTTAAAGTTAGGACTTTGATTATATGGCTGTTTGAAATTATTAGTTTGGAATCTGTTGTTTGTATTAGTCATTAAATTAGGAATAAAATTAGGTTTAAATGATTGAACAAATGGTATCGGCGGCTTAGGTGCGCTAATCTTTGATTTATTTTTCAGATTATATTGTAGTTGGAAATTCTCTTCTTCCGTAACTACTGCTAAGGCATCCTCTAATGTAACACAACCCTTTAATCGGATAATTCTTATCATATCTTCGGGTAAATTATAAAGAAAAGTGTTCAATGCTGAGTTATTATAAATAATCATTTTAGCGGCCCTAATTCCTTGATCATGAATTAAATTTACTTTAGAAAATAATGCACTACGCACATTTTGTATTCTGTGGCAAAAATCAGTAAAACTTTCGTTAGGTTTTAATTTCAAAGTGTCTAATTCTATTGAAATACATTGTTCGGATCGCGGATCTCCAAAATGCTGAGTTAACACTCGTTTTAAATCTTCCCACGTAAATATATCATCACGCTCGCTTAATAAAGCGGCTGCACGACCAATAAGTCTACTAGTTATACAATGAAACAAATACAAATCCTGAGCAGGACTTGCGTCTGGATTTCTAAAATTTTGTAAAATATATTCACACTTTTTTATAAATAAATTTAAAACCTTGCCATCTCCTTCAAATTTAGGCATAATCGCTATTATTTCAGACGGTAACGTTTGTATTTGTTCCATCTTTCTTATAATTTCAACACACAGAAAAATATAAAAACAAGAAAATACAATAATAAAATCTAAATATTTGTTAAATTCTTTAAAAAGTATACTTATTTTAATGAAAAGCCAACGTAAACCTGATTTTAAAGTAATATGGGCAGACACATGAAAATTTGTTATATTTCTAATCTTATCTAATAAATAGCCAACGTAAACTTGATTTTGAAGTTATACGGGCAGAAAAATAACGTTCGTTCGTTCGATTTTTAACAAGGAAAACGCTAGGGAAAATGGATTTCTGAGGAAAACAAGTGAAGAGGTTTACTCACCAGTTACTCCAACCCATTTCTTGTTATTTGCAGTTTTTCACCGATTTGACTTATTTATTTGTTCGTGGATTCCACCGTTGTGACGTTTGAAAACGCCAGCCGCAGAGTTTACGCGTTCTATCAATTTTTGGATTCGACGTAAAATTCGCGACGCGGAATCCTACCGGCTGCGCCAGTCAAGTTTCGGTCTCGGAAAGTATTAAAAAAAAAATTTTTTATTTTTATAATTTAATACTGAAAACTATTAAATAAACTTAACCTAATGAACAGATCCAACCGCGGTTGGATACAATATGCTGCTCGGTGGCCTGTGTTCCTCATTTTTATAAGCATGGCTTTAATGTTTATGTTAAATGGAATCGTGGGATCGTACCAGGAATTTATTGTTTAACTTTAAGAATGACAGCTTCTGTCGATATAATATTGATTGTCAATTAGCTTAAAAAAACATTAGTTGCCATGATAAATATGGGAACGTTTTATGTATATCAAAACATTTCAATTATCGAGTGATATTAATAGTTTAATTAAGATTATGGTGATTGGTCACCCATAACAATCTGATATTTTTTAGTATTTGTTATTATGAGGACAAGGTGTAATTATAAGACAATTAAAAAAAAATCGTTAAGACTTTTTTTACATTACTTAAACGATCTGCGGGGGCAGCTAGTTCAGGAAAACCCAGCAAGTGGACACCTTAAACTTTAACTATGAAACAAAAAACTGATAGACATAGAAATATAATAATATTTATTGATTTCTAAAATATTTGAATATATAGCAATTGCCATTATCCGCTTTGTCCCAACTCTGTGGCTGAAGTAAGTTGCACCATAAATATAGCTTTTGATCATACGCGCTTAAAAGTAAAATAAAATATACCTTACCCATATATAATACAATATATTATCGCTATATTTTTCTAAAAAAACATTGTTAATTTCGCACAGCTAAAACTTGTCCTGACGGCAAATTATACAAGGTGTGCGGGCCGGACAGTCAGCCGACCTGCTCCTTCCCGCAGCCGTCACCAGCCAATAACGCCTCCTGCGTGGAGGGATGCTTCTGTCCCGAGGGATTGCTTCTTGATAGCGGACGATGTATACCGAAGGAGGAATGCCCGTGTCGGCTGAGAAACAAGAATTTCAAACCTGGCTCTGTCGTTCGCAAGGACTGCAACTCTTGGTGAGATATTCTTCGTGGATAGCAGAACTATAGATAGCAGACATTAGCAGTGTTATTTAAAACGAGGACGAACTGCAGTGTACAAGATTTAAACTATTATCTGATCAAAATATGTAAACATGTTCCAATTTCGCAGATTCTCATCTGTCATTTTCAATTTACTTTTGGTGGTTTACATAGTAACGTTTACTGCGTAAGATCTACCTTAATCATTTTCTTATTAGAAATAATGTAAGTTTTATTTTTCAAAATGTCTGGGTACGAATCCTAAACTGAGAATAAGTTTTTCTTTTCATGTGTAAATGCGGTTTTTCATTAAGATCTATGGCATGGTTCCTAAGAACAGATCTTCATAGATAGCCTAGATACGTAATTACTTGAGAAAATGGCATAATTTGAGCAGATATTTTTATTTTACTCGGGTAATTACTTTTACCCGACTAAGATATGGATGTTTGACTTTCCCATATTGACCGTAGTAAATGTTACACCTGTACACAATAAATACAAAAACATTTTAAAGGAGGCAGAAAACTACAACACGGCTGCATCATCTAGATCTAACAAAAAAAAAATGACCAATTGCGAGTCGGAATCCGTATCGGAAACTGCAAAAAATTAACGGTTGTTGTATGGGAGCCCATGCTCAGTATGAGGGGCAAATCTGCGAACATAGCTGCCACACCTCGTTCGGCATAGGGTGGGCATGTATGTCTAGTGTAGGACACCGTCGCAATTCATTACCAGATCTATAGCAACGTGGCATGCATGTCTGCAGACTTGCCTACACATACCTGTCTAGTGAATTCGTCATTTCAAAACCTGGATAGACGGATAGCGGAATGTCAGTCGGATCAAGACGGATATGTCAGTGTTAAGGTTTTGTTTTTGAGTACGCATCCGTAATAGCGTGCGTGTCCGTTAGCACGTGCTCGGGCGGGGAGTGGCAGTGCACCGGCGCTATGTGCGGCGCGCGGTGCGGCGCGGTGGGGGACCCGCACTACAGCACGTTCGACGGCCGCCGGTACGACTTCATGGGCCGCTGCACCTACACGCTGCTGCACGCGCCCAACCTCACCGTGCAGGTCGAGAACGTCGCCTGCTCCGGGGCCATCACTGAGGTCGGCTGCCGTCTTGGTTTATTTTATTTCAAAGATAACTTACAACTGCGTTTTGTGATATAATAGGTTAGGGGAAAATTTTCTTAGCTTTTATAGCTTATTTACAAGTTTATTTACTATAACTAAAATATGTAGGTACCATTTTGTTCGATAACTTTTTGTCATCTTGTAGGAAGGATATGATCCTATTGCTTTAGAAATTTTAGGGCTTCTGATCAAAAAACCGCGTCAAGTGGTTTTGGCAGTCCTCACGTGATGTTAACCTTTTTTTTTTTGACACTGAGAAATGCGTTACGCATACCCGCTTCACCCAGCGCGGGCTCCACGGGTTATGTGGGACTTCTCCTGCGGCCCCACTCCCGAAGGTGGCTAGACAAAAAGCAGGAGTTTGACACTACCTAAAGAATTCTGAAGAGACCGAATCAGGTTAAAATCTGAGAGAGCTAGGTCTAGACTATACGGCGGATGCATTGATACCTCCCAGCCAAACTATTTTATCTATTTTTTGCTAAGTGGAAAAAGATCTAGAGTTATCATGGTGATAAACCACACCCCCTCTGTTGATTAATTCTGGCCGCTTTTTCTGAGTGTCTTTCTTTAATCGCATCAATTGTTCGTAGTAAAGTTCAGAATCGATGGTCCTGCCTGGCAATAACAACTCATAATTGATGCCTGGAAATAACAACCTTCCAATTCCACCGTACACACGGCATCAACTTGTTGCGCACAGCATCAAGTTGATTCGGGTGTCGTCACAGTCTCTGAATCCTGACTGCCCTTTGATTACGACCTTTTTCAAAATTATTCACCCGCGACAATTTATGTAATATAACTATAGTCGGTAGAATTTAAAGTCTACTGGAATTGTCTTTGATTTTTTGAACAGATTTGTCTATCTCTCACAAAGTGGTACATGGATTGACTATTCGAAAAAGTAATTACTGCAGACAGTTTAAATGAAGCATTTTCAGTATCCGCAAGGATACAACTTAGAAACAATGAGTAACCTATTTACAAACTTAAGTGACCCGATAACTCCTGCAGGCTATGAACTTGACCCCGTACACTGGCGAAGGGAAACCATCCTGCACTAAAGCGGTGAACTTGATCTACGGCCAAACCAACATCCACCTGAAGCAAGGCGGTCTCATCCTGGTGGACGGACGCGAGGTCACTGACCTGCCCGTCAACGTGGAAGACGTCAGAATCCGCGCTGCCTCATCACTCTTCGTCATTGGTTAGTGATTAGTGACTTTACACACCTTCTGTTGACAGTAAAGATCATTGGTTCACGTCTACAGTAGTAGACCGTTCTTTCTCCTATTCTTTCCATGGGGGAGGCCTTTACCTTAGGGGGGCATTGGTAGACTGACAAAAGAAACTGCTTAACACCATCAAGTGAACCAGTGCGAAGTCCAAGAAGACGATAATATTGTAAAACATATATAACTTGTACAAAGTAACATGACATCTGAAGTCCTATTCTTTTAGTCCTCTAACGAAAATTCGGAACACTTTGAATCGTTTTTTAATATAGATTTATTAAAATCATATTTGTGGAAATTATCAGTGGATCGGAGGCAATGTCAGGTCCTACCTCCGTTGCATCATAATTATCGAAAAATGCTTTTCTTTGGAGTCAAGTTAGCATTTAAAAAAAAATATTTTCAGTTAAATAGAATAGGTGTCATGTTAATTCGTACAAGTAGTATAGTGAAATAATCTTTTATTATCCAGTGCAACTACCTATGAAGGTAGATTTATGGTGGGATGGCTTTACGAGAGTATTCATCGACGTGCCTGCCTCGTTTCAAGGGAAGACTAAGGTACTAGTATTATTTTTAAATTAGTATTATTTCATTGTTTTTATTTAAAATAAACTCTAGGTACCGATTATACGGCTTTAAAAACTCTTTCTGGGGTTTTGAAATAGAAAAAAATAATTCGTAATCGTGACTTGCAATGTTTGAGCATTGTTTTGTCATTAATTAGTGTTATATATTTTTAATATATTTTTTTTGTCTTACATATCAAAATAACATCTATCTACTATAATGAAACAGTTGGAAATTCTGTAATTAAGTGCCGCAACCGCATCTTGTTTGGATTTGTTTAATTTGTTTATTACAAATCTCTGATCATAAGACCAATTCATATCTTATCAATATAGAATATGCTATTCTGATCACTAACGAAGACTTTTGCAGTTAATGCAGAATGTCGCAGTTTCATTAGTTTTGACTGAATTAAAAAATATTAATTCGGGTACTCGTAATAAAGGTAAAATTAACTTTGTTCGACAATAAAAATATATGCAATGCGCAACATATATCATTTAAGAATTCCTATGAACGTTTTCATTGACCAAATCCCCGATTGAAATACTAATATTATCTTTTTTTCGGTTTAAAAAGTTAATTTATTTACGCGTACCTAAATGAATATTACAAATTTTTTATCGACCAACAGGGTCTATGCGGCACGTTCAACTTGAACCAGAAAGATGACTTCTTAACACCAGAAGGTGATATAGAACAATCGACTCTCGCATTCGCCAACAAGTGGAAGACGAGGGAGTTTTGTGCCGATGTGGATACGAAAGAACCGGAGCACCCCTGTAAAGCTAACATGGAGAATAAGGAGACCGCTGAAAAGTATTGTAGCAAACTTAAGAGCAAACTGTTTGAAGGTAAGAGTTGTCGAAATATTATAATATATAAAACTGTTAAGTGATTATAAATCGCTAATTCAGATAAATTTGGAAAATAGAAGTTATAAATACCACCCTTCTGTCGAGATATGGTAGGAGTTTCTATTTAAAAAAAAAATATTCGCATTGCATTATATTCTTGTATTGTAAAAACTGGGTACTCTATCCCCACGCGATTCCACTCTATTATATTAGCCGACGCTTCGGCCGAGTTACAATAGCCGGGACTACGGTCGTGTTATAAGTTATAACCAGAGGTCGGAATTAGGTAGAGTTATTTATGTACTTGCATCGAAATGTTGATATTAATGTGGACCTTCCCGGGATTTCTTTATTTCTTTCTTTCATTGATGTAAGTTTGGCAACGTTGTGCGTGCAGTAGTTTAAATTGTGTAAAAGTAAATAACTTTTTATTTAAAAAATCACGGGATTTTTTAAGCTCTTTAAAATTAATCTCGGGATTTGAGGCATATCCACTTTATTCTTTCGTTGTATAAAATCAGTGTAAGTACATGAATAACTCTACCTAATTCCGACCACTGGTTATAACTCAGGCGAATCACTTTTCTTACGATATACCTTTACTAATATTGGAAAGTATCAGTTAGACTCCGATACTACTTAAAGGATTTGAAACATTATTTCACCTAGGAAGCTATGATGAGAAGTAGGCGATGTCACGGGAAAACAGCTATTTCTTGCAATTTAAACTTATAGATCATTTTGAATTCAACTAAATGTCGGTTGCAACTTGTACCAACTTAATTTAACAATAACAAACATGTTAAAGTACAGTTTAATGAAATATTGAATTTTCTTTTGGCATTTGGCAATGGTTAGATGACGTCATAACCTAACTTTAACTGAGAACCGCCTAAGCTTTCCTGGTCCACCAAGAAAGAGGATGGTGCAATGCATTCCACAGTCAATTAAGCGTGAAAAAACTATTTCAGCGTGACATATGTCGTCAAATTTGACATAAATGTTAACATTAAGTGCAAAAGGGATGATGACTGGGTAAAAAAAAGGAAATTTTATTTAGTGCGTCAATCAAATAATAGAAAAATATTAGATTCTTCTTTTTTTTTACTCCAATTCAACAAGAAATAGTTTAGATAACAGACATTAAAGTTGAGGAGTGGGGGCTCGCTACGTCACAGTTTTCCATTTTAACTCAACGTATCGCTTTAATTTAATGATTACAAAAAAATATACGTGTTTAATATATGTCAACAATCAACCCGACGGCTAAACAAACAAAAAATAGTAGTCATCCATATTGTGGTGCTATTTTTAAGTTCCTGTATACGGTTTCTGTAGAGTGCCACTGGTACGTGGACGTGGAGCCGTACTACGAGTCGTGTTTGTACGACATGTGCGCGTGCGCGGGTGACGTCAGCCGCTGCCTGTGCCCGCTGCTGGGCTCCTACGCGATGGACTGCGCCAAGGCCGGCGTGCAAGTGCAGTGGCGGTACAATGTCAAGGAGTGCGGTCAGTATCGCTGGACCAAGGTCATTTCCAGCCTATTAATGTCCCGAATCGAGTCAAATCGAATAGGGAGAATCGCCATGACCCCACCACGTGGGCTCGTGCGCATCGGTGGGTGTTAACGACTGCATATGCAACTGAGACTGATGGATTAACATGCCCTCTGAAGCATAAAATTTTGGTCACCCATCCTATGTCCGGCACTTGTCAAAGTTGCTTAACAACCGTATCGCAGATGGAGCGTGCTAACCACTGTGAGAAATTAGCGAGGTGATCATTTTCTTAGAAATCTTTACCAGTGTATTGTATTTTTAAAATCTTCATAGGATTAATAATTCCTGAGGATATCAATATTTTTAAAATATTCCGCATTTTGACCCAATCGACCTTAATTTGTCAGATTATATGTTTCCATGGTAACCTTAAATACTGCCATAATAAAACTGATCAGCTTTCCTATGCCAGACCGTGACAGATATGTGTCCATGCTCGACTATTAGTTATTAATTAGAACCTTACATATTAGTTTCTTACCCAATTATAAATCTGGGACGGCTAACTGATTTAAAACCTAAGCTTCTAATTATCTCGCAACAAAAATTTCCCTTATGCTTAAAATTGCTAAGTCCATCCAATGCTGAAAAAATTTTGCTCATTACGAATCTTGCACACAAGTTATAGTTTAACAAATATGACTAAATAATAAATACTCACATTTAAGCAATTTAATAATTAATGCCTTTCCATAAACCTTAGTAGGTATCTTATATATTAGTTAAGATGAGTTATAAAGTTTCGTGATCAGTGCAGAGCTGCAATGTACTGGTGGACAAGAGTACACGGTGTGCGCGGACAGTTGTCTACGGACATGTACAGACGTCGCCATCGCCGGCACCGCTGACTGCAAGCCGTGCTGCGTGGAGGGATGTGCGTGCCCACCCGGACAGGTAAATTGTAAAGCTAATTATTTTCTTTCATCACACATTATAAACGTCAAGCTGAATCTCGTCCAGAGTGGTAAGTGTAAGTTTTACGCTAACGCGTTCACTAGTGAGCGCGTTAAGTATTTGTATGGAGATTTGTAGTTCTTGATAGTTACCGCTAGGGGCGCTGTACCGGATTCCATACTAAAATCTTAACTTAAATCGACAGTGAACGTAAACTTCATAAAAACTTGCACTAAGCGCTCTGAGCGCGAATGAGTGTGCACGTACTGTTTGTTCTGGGATGTACCAGTTGTTGTATGTAATGTCAAAAGTGTAAAAAAATATTTTCTGAGAAGGACTCACATTTCTTATGTCAGGCCCCTGCCAAAGAACCTTTCATAGTAGATGTATTAAAGAATTAGTAGCTGATATGAAAGCAGGAAACGGTCTGATATATTGTAATAACTGTGAAGATAAGGGATTGGTGGACGATGAATAAGAAAATTACGATTAAAGCTATGAAAAAAAATCTAAAGGATATTAAAAAAAAAAAGGTTAGCATAATCCCAGGATTGAGGAAGTTACTTGATTCAATCCAAGAAAATATGAGCGTGCTTTCTGAAAATACGATACTTTGATATGCGAGTATGAACAAACTAAAGATAAAGTTATAAAATTAAGAAAAAACGTGGTTGATATAAATAACAAGAGTTAATATATAACAAGAATGAACTGGAACAATCATCACGGAAATATAATTTAGAAATCGTGCCTATAAATTGTAAATGTAGACCAATACAACGACGTGTCAATACCGTCTCATATCTGAGTATGAAAATACTTTTCATGGGCAACCCATAAGTATAGACCATATCTACAATAAACTAAAGATATTGTAAAATAAATTTTATCACCTAACCTTCAGAGTGCCAATTGGTACATTTAAAAGTATTTATATGTAAAGACATAATATGTAAAGATATGTACAGACACAGTGCACCCTGTTCTTTGTTATGCATTCGTATTCCAATGGTATAACCTTACAATCCTATTTAAATAAGCTAGAATAATTACAAATAAGGTTTCTTAAATTATTATTTAATAAAAAACAAAACAGAAAGATAATTATAATAAATTATTTATGCAATATTTTTTTAATATCATTGCAACATAAATTTATCTTGGCATGTAATCATCATCTGTACTAGAGCATAACCTGAGCTATGTAGTTAATAATAAAATACAAAGTAGCCAGAGTTTATAATTATTACGGGGACAGCACAATATAAAAACTCTTACTGTATTTACTAAACGACCTACCAGTGGAATTTAGAAATGAACCCAAACAATTAAATATAATATATTACCAACATAATGGTTGTATAGCTAATAAGTGTTATATGTATTTACACAAACATACTCTGTGAGTTCAAAAATAACTTTTTTAGATTTAATTCTTTTTTCAGCAAACAAATACAACGGTTTGGTTTTGTGGGACTTAGTTACTATGTAATTGTGTCAAGATAATAAATAAATAAAATAAACCATTTAATTTTGTATAATGCTCAATTTGAAATCCCTATTTGAAAAGTTTTTCAAATAGGGATTTCCGTCCACATGTTGATAAGTTTTTAGTTACTGTAAACATTGTGCTATTTAGTCCAAACATTGTACCCCCTCACATGAAGTGATATACCAATTTAATCCGCTAGCAAATCCATTAAAAAAAACTTATAAGATTAGGATAAAACGATACGTCGAACAAACCTGAAAATTATATACTCGTAATCGTTCATATAAGAAGATCATCATTCAATATAAATTAAAAACTAATCAACCTCTTTTGACGTCTTGGCGACTAACATAGAATACTCTAGATTTACGAGAAAAAAAACACTAGACTTTTTTTTGTAGAAAGTAAGATTTGTATTATGATCTCATTATATAATTCTACAGCTAAATTATTACTCTTTAATAAAAGTTAAAGTACACGAATAAATATCTTTGCAGGTTCTCGACGATAATAATGCTTGTGTTCCACAAGGGTTGTGCTCTTGTAAACACAAAGGGATGAAATTCGACGCCGGCTATAAGGAGGTCCGTCCTGGCAGACGCGAGCGAGAACTCTGGTGGGTTTTAAATATTTGCCAATGCTATTTACTTGTTTTTATATATATTTACATTAATATATCGACAAAGTGGTGTTAGTTCAATGGGAATGACGACAATTTTTTTTGTTTTCTATTAGGGATATGTAGGTTATTAAAGAATATTAAACTTTTAGTTTTTTCGCAATCGATAAAAAAGATAAAGATATAGTTAAAATGTCATAGACGTCACACTTTTGTACATTTTCTACAAAGCTGTGACGTAGCGAGCCATCTCTCAACTTTATTGCCTGTTATCTAAAACTTAGATTATAAATATCGTATATGGGTCATTGTCAAATTTTGGGCAGGTAAACTAGTCCCTTGACATTTTTTATTTAATAATAATTAAATATTCAACGTTCTTTGAAAAAATCATATCGAATACATAGTTAACCATATTACTAAACATTTATAATAAAATAAATACCTAGTTTTTTTATGTTTTTCCTTGTTTTTGACGTAACATAGTGGTAATTTTTGGTAACAGAGGGGTTTTCCTTATATATATTTTACTTGTCCCAAGCAGTACTCTGTTACAGTAAAGATGAAAAAACTTCAATTTCTGATATATCAACCCAATCCAAATAAATTACGACAATAACAGCAGTATTATAAATATTTATTAAATGTGTTATCAAGACGATCAGATCGAAAATGATTTTTTTTTTAAATTGCCTAAGTTTTGTCCCAGGTATTACTGAGAACCGTCTGAAAAACTATGTTACTAAGTAAATCACATGCCAAATTAGAGATGGCGTTACTTTGATCTATCTTTTATCGTGAGCGAGGTGTCAGCGTACATTGTGGTTGTCCGTTTGAGTGGGGGTGGAATACATCGCCCCTCAGTCGGCCGCGTGGCGTTCAACATGCTGCGTGTTTTTATTGTGTATCCACTCTGTTGCTCAGCTTTTCCGTAAGTAAATCAGTTTTTTTCCTTTATTTTATATTCAGCTTATTAACTAAAGAGTAAATATGCTCGATGTGCATGAAAATATATTCTTAAACCCATATTTTTTTAGTTGCGTCACATGGAATGTAAAATTTACAACTCTGTTACTTACAACTCTGTCACTTGCGTGTGGTAACAGAGTTGTTATGTAAGTAACAGAGTTGTATAAAACAACTATTGGCTAAAATTATATACGGTATTTAATATATTTTTTTAATAATTACTTTTCTTAAGCAAGATATAATCTTGGTACTTATATATGAGTCGCGTAAAATTTTAAATAAGCCTAAAACTATTGTTACAGGACATTGTGCATTTGTCTTCGATGACAAGATGCCTTTCACAGCAGCAGAAAAGCAGCGGCGGTATCGAGAATGGCGTCAAAATAATCCTGAAAGGTATTAGAAGCTAAACGTAAAGACCTTGAAAGATACCATACAAAGAAACGCTTAATATGCGATTTAACAACACGTAAACATCGAGCTATAAAAAAATGGCGATCTGCAAACGCTAGACGGAAAGATAAGGCGAGATCACTACGGATTATTATGCACACTCCAGAGTCTACACCACCTCGTTCAAATAGTCCAGCCCCTATTGCTCAAATTATTTCAAGAGATCGTCGTTTGTCAACACCCCAGCTGTCTACTTCGCGAGAAAATACTCCTAACTCAATAGCTTCATCGGCTGTTCGCGGCAGAAAGCAAGTAAAAAGAAACAGATTTAAGTTATTTAGAGATAATACCAAGTTAAAGGAACAATTAGAGGCAGTGAACAAGAAATACGAAAAATATAAAAAACGATATAACAGAGAAAAACGGAAAGCATCTATAAATAAGGATAGCAGTAGAGCAACGCAAAGAAAAAATGCTATAAAGAAGCGCTATGAAAATGTAAAAAATCGGAAGGAAAAATATGCTATTCAAAAAATATTTGAAGAAAAGATTGTTAAGTACTTGAGACAGAAAACTGAAATCATTCAAGAATGTCTTGCAGTGGATCAGGCTTACTTGCGAAAAAAACATCCCTTGATTAAAAACAAATGATAATCCAAGTTAAGGCATTTTTTTTTACGTGACGACGTATCAAGAGTAACGGCTGGGAAGAAAGAGACCATTTCTCTAAAGAAAGTTAAAGAGCAAAAGCGATACTTACTTCACAATATGAAGAACCTTTATGCATTTTTTAAAAGAGTAAATGCTGACTTGAAATGTAGTTACAAAACTTTTACACGATACAAACCATTTTATGTTGTATATCCTACTGTTGCTGCAAGAGGAACATATTTGTGTCATTATTCATTATTCGCGTTATATTTTGATCTCAAGCTCAAGCAGAAGCAATTTATTTAGATTAAGTAAAAAAAAGCAACTATGTTAATATGTTACAACTCTGTTACTTTTTTGTCCCTATTTCTATAGAACCTTCTAAGGGACTTTAGGAAAATCTATTAGGTTTTATGGTGCAATATCACAATACATTAATTTCTTACAAGTTTATGCTGTTATATATTATACTTGGCTGTTAATATACACTCATTTTGAGAGTTTTGGTAGAATTTAAGATCTGTTAACACTTAAAAAGTAACAGAGTTGTTTTAGATTTATCTTTATTGTTATTAAACTTTCAAAAAGAACTCTGATTCTAAATGTGATTATAAGATTTAAAACTGTTATTAATATTAATACCAAAATAATTGCAACTGACTTGTTTAATTTAATAATAAAAAGTAAAACCTAATGAGTAACAGAGTTGTATTTATTTACGCCCTGATCCACTAAATCTAGAATAACTTGTAAATTCGTGGTTAGACATCGTGGCCGAATATAATAGACCATACCTAAGTTATTTTAACAGACATGTGCATAATAGAAAGTAACGTGCACATATATTTGTTTTTACATATTTTTTAAATTTTAGATTACGTTTACCTGCCCAAAATTTGACAATGACCCATATATGGAGAATGGGCTATGGCCCTCCACGAGGGCCTAATGCGAATTGATGGGTATTAAAGACTACAGATACAGCTGGGACCAACGGCTTAACGTGCCTTTCGAAACACCGAGGAGTTCGAGATAGTAAATTTTTGGTCACCAATCCTATGGCCGACCATAGCGGAAGTTTCTTAACAACTGTATCGCAGATCGAGCGCGCCAACCACTGCGCCATCGAGCTCCGTAAATGAGGAAACCATCACTAAACTACTGGCAAATCTATATTCGATTATATCAAGAACACATAAGTCTTTGTTTGATTTATTATTCGTCTAAATTCAATTTTGTTCCTAGTACCTGCGTGGGTGCTCGGTGGGATTGCGTGCCGGCCACAGACTCAGATATTCAGAATTACCCGCCGGCTGAAGATTTACGGTCTAACTGCAGCGCCATTAATCACATGGAGTTCACTACCTGCCAGCTTGCAGAACCTCTCACGTGCAAGGTTGATGATTTGATTGATACGAGTATATTAATGTTATTATTTCTTATTGGCTGAACATCGTAGGTACTTCTAGTTTGTCTAACAATCGTATCTATAGTCGAGAAAAGTAATTACTTGAGAAAAGTAGCATAACTTGAGTAGATATTTTTAACTAGTAGACGAGAATATTTGCTTAAGTAATTACTTTTACTCAAGTAATTACTTTCCCTGGACTGATACGAGTATAAAAAAATGGCTTAATCGGTTTTTAGAAAAATATGTCACCACTAACTTTGCACTTTCCGTTTTAACGAATCTTTTTTTTACATTTACGATATGTATGAAAACACTGACTGTTAAAATTTGAATACACTTGTGATTCAAAAGAAGTTTTCGGAGATGTTTATTGCCTATCCAGTTTTTATTTATTATTTTTCGATTAATTTATATTGTTTTTTAGTTGTTTCATTGTTTTATTGTACGTTATTCGTTCAGAACATGCACTTGCCGCCTACATTGACGTCGACGGAATGCCGGCCGGGCTGCCAGTGCAAGAAGGGTTACGTACTAGACGTTACTGCCAACAAATGCGTGCTCGCCGCCCGCTGCCCGTGCCATCATGGCGGCCGCAGCTACCCCGACGGTCACGTCATGACCGAGGAGTGCAATCAGTGGTGAGACATTTGTATATAACCTCGGCCATCACGGCCCACACAGCTATCCGATGGTCACATCATGACCGAGGAGTGCAACCAGTGGTAATACATTTGTATATAACTCGGTCAGCACGGCTGACGTCACTACCCGATGGTCACATCATGACCAAAGAGTGCAACAAGTGGTGTGACATTTGTATATAACTTCTGCCACCACGGCCCCCGACAATCATGTCATGACCGAGGAGTGCAACCAGTGGTGAGATACTTATGTTTAACTGATGCCATCATGATGGCCGCAGCTACCCCGACGGTCACGTCATGACTGAGGATTGCAACCAGTGGTGGGACACCTATGTATAATTTATGCCATCATGACAGCCGCAGCTACACTGACCGTCAGAGGAGTGCAACTAGTGTTGAGACATTTGTATATAACCTCTCCCACCACGGCCCATCTAGCTACCCCAACGGTCACGTCATGACCGAGGAGTGCAACCAGTGGTGAATCACTCATGTGTAACAGATGCCATCATGGTGGCTGCGGTTACCTTAATTTGACTATGCGATAATTTGAGACGTGATTTGGCCGGCGTTTTTTGAAAGATAGTAAATGAACAATATCGCTAATTTAACTTTAACTGGAATTGTCTAATGGTCGGTTACACAAACATCTATTAAGGTTTAATGACGCCTTAAAGCTCTAATGAATGTTAAATGCGTATGGATAATGTTACTTTAAACTAATGAAAATTTTAATAGACGTTTGTGCGACTGGCTGTCAGACAAGCATATATCGCAAATATCTTCTTTTAAAACTGTCAAATTAATGAATTGAATGGTAACTGCAATATTTCGGCGTGTTTAGATAGGTTTTTTTAAAAATCATTTAAATAATCTTTCGTTCCAAAAGCAGACTTTAAACACTACATAATTCCGTAAATCGCTATCACAGACGATACGCCTTTAAAAGGAATTGCGATAGATTTTGATATTATAAAATTAGCTTAAAAGCCTTTCATTTGATATATACAATTAGCCTAAAGGCCTTTTATTTGACACTAGCTCTTTCCTGCGACTTTCTCACGCCAATTATTAGCCTATGTCACTGAAGTATGATGTAGCTTGATAGAGGGCGATACTATCGGTCCAATAGCTTTGGAGCCTATTCGATGCAAAGAATAGTTATATAGTTTTTAATTTTTTTTTTAGTTTGTCTACTAAATCGCTCCAATCAATTGAGATAGGCAGACGGACATACGAGTAATTATACCAGGTTTTCGTTTTTCTTTGAGGTATAAACGAGGTATATGTGCATATTTACAAATAGGTTTTAGTAGGGAAATATGCGATAATAGTTATTTAAGATACAAGTGCGGAAAGTAAGATTTAAAAAAAAAACCTTTTACGCTCATAATTCTTACAATATTTTTCAATGCTTTTTGCGAGGAAATAAAACAAATAAATAGGTTAATAAAACTAAGTATGTATTAAAGGTAAAAATTATTTGTTAAAATTAAGCGTGATATTTGAACATGTTTTCGTGTCATACATTTTTATTTGAAAATATTCGTTCTAGGCTCCTTGAAATACTTTTGCCTCTAAAGTTTGACATATTTTCGTCAATTTTTTTTAAATTTCTTTGGTGCGCGGCTAAAAAAATTTTAAAAATACTTTTAAGCACGTGTGCAGTAAAGGATTTCAGTACATTTTTATTTAACACGTGTTTAAAGACTCACTTTCGGTGTTTACAATGAATAAAAAAAAAAATGAGCTTTATGAGCAACTGCATTGAAAATATCATAAAATTATTTTATATTATATTTATAGAATAGAATAGAATAGATCTTTATTTGCGTCAAACATGGTATTTAAAGTTTTACAAAAATAGGCAGTTCAACATGTTTCGCTATTCTCATTAGCATGCAAATATATTAATTAATTACAATACAATAAAAATAAAATAATTATTAAAAGATTATAAATTTTGATATAAATGTCATAAACCCATTATTATTATTATAAACATTATTACATGTCCAAGTACTGCTTAACACTATAAAAATTATACTCATTCAGCCATCTAAACAACTTTGTCTTAAATAATTTTACTCTTAATTGTTTAATGTCAATCGGTAATTTATTATACATCCTTACACACATGCATAGAGAATTCTTATTGTATTTTGCCGACTTAGGAATTTCATCCAAGACAAGTCTATTAACATTCCTACGAGTTCGCGTATACAATTCGATTGCTGTACAAAACAAATCAGGATTTGACTTAACGAAAACACATGCTTCATAAATATATAGGGATGGTGTATATAGTGAACGTGTTTTCTTATTTAACCTTCTGATAACATAAATAGGGTCCGACACTTAATACCCTAAAGTGGTGACCCCGACGTGACCTTTTATTATTTTTGTAGATATTTCATCATGACCCTCAGCATTAGTATTATTTAAAGACATGACTTGTTTCTTTACTTCAGTGTCAGACATTGGCATCACAAACATTGAATATGAATTCATTTTATATATTTTGTCCTTATGTGTGCCTACTTTATTCTCATAGTTATTATTTGTAATATCGATGAAATAATTGTTAAAAATTGTAGCAATTTCCACTGGATCCGTGATCAATTGGTTTTCATGACTGATGCAATCGATACTAGTAAGATTATTTTTTAAATTACCAATTTCATTATTTATAACAGTCCAGGATGCTTTGCAGGTATTTTTACTTTTATTGATAAATCTAATATTGCAGCTTTTTTTTAAGTGGGATATACACTTTTTAAGAATACAAGAATACTTTACATATTTTTCTTTATTAGCAACTGTTTTATGTCTGTAATAGTTATATCTCAGCAACCTTTTAGTTTTACAGCTAATTATTGATCCTTTACTAATCCATTCTTGCTTTTTGTGGTAATTGTTAATTTTAATTCTTATTTTAGGGAAGCAGAGATTATAAAATAAACCATACAGATCCTGAAATTTTTGAAATGCTTTATTTATATCACTCTCCGCAAAAACATCCGTAAAAGAGAGCTTTTCTATGCATTGATTAAACTTTTGTATATTTTCACTACTGTAATCCCTTCTAAATATGAAATAAGATTTAATGCTTTGCTTCAATTTAATTGGAAATCTCAAAATCTGTGCCGTTTCATGATCAGACAGATACAACTTAAGCACAGAGGATGTGGCGTTTTTTATGTTACTTAAAATATGATCCAAGCAAGACGTTTTCCGAGTTGGTTCTTTAATATGAACTGTTAAATTAAAGTTAAGTGCTAGATCGTTTAACTGATTTGTAATTTTGCCTGGTTTTAAAGTGTTTATGTTGAAATCACCAACTATAATTATGTTTTTATTTCGTTTATATTTTTTTTGAATGGTATTAAGTAGACACTCCAATTTCTCCAAAAATAAAAAAGGGTCACTTTTGGGAGTCCTATAGATGCATAATATAATGATATTTTTTGATGGTAACTCTACACCACAACATTCAAATAATTTAGAGAGTGAAAAACTGTCCAAAAAATGCATATCTATGAAATCCAAGTTATTTTTCACTAATATACAAGTACCTCCCCGTTTTTTTCCTTCTCTACAGTAACATGAAGCAGTAATATAATTATGAATTTTTAAGTAATTTTCATAACCTCTCATAACAAAAGTCTCAGAAAGGCAGATTATATCTGGTTCATTTCCATTTTCAGCAAGTTCCAATAACGTCAACTCTAACATTTCAATTTTTGATAGTACACTAGCGATATTTTGATGAAAAATTGTAAAATAAGTCCGATTTTTACTATTTAATCGTTTTTCGAAAAAACATTGAACTAACACTAGTTTTGTTCTCTGAAATAGTATTACTTATGGGTAGTGCGGAGCTATTTCTATTTATTAATTGCGACTTAAAGTAATAAGGTATTGTACCCTTTTTATGTTCGCATTTAGTATTTTTTTGTGGTGCTAAAATATCTTTGTCTAATTTTTTAATTAATTGCATTTTAAAGTAATAAGGTATTGTTCCTTTTTGGTATTCGTTTGTAAAGCGGTTCGGGTTTGCATTTGATTTGTTGCGCATTATCAATTTTTTTAGTTGTTTATAGTCTAAGAATTTCCTTTCATAATCTAAGCAGTCAACGATATAGTTAATTTTATTGCCTATGTCAATTAGAGAACATTTATACGGTAGATTTATGAAATAGCTATTTGAATAGATTTTACAAATATTTTCAATCCTGTGATTCAGTATAGAAACATTGATCGTGTCACTTTGTAGTACTTTTAGAACTATAACTGGTATTTTTTGATAATTATTAAGATACTTCTCAATTTCCGCCAATACACTATGTACGTTGTGGTCGTGTTCACCTATACATATAACAATCTTGTCATTTTCCCGCAGTTGAGATTTTTGTGTATCGCTTAAAATATTTCTTGTCAACGCATTCGGTTTTAGATTGGCGAATACTTGATAGTTTTCATATTTTGTATTAACTCTCATGTTTCGCAATACCGTTGCAAGGCCAACACATTGCCGTGCACCATATATGTATATTCTGTTTCTTGGTTCAGAATTTTGCAATGTAATATCGGTTTGCACATTACTATCCATAGGGTCAACAGATAGTTCGTCATTTATTTCGTATTTTGTCGTATCTGCATTCAACTTTTGATCAACAAGTATATTTAGTTTTTCTTTAAGTTCTAGTATTTCCTTCCTACTATTATCTAATTGTTCTTGGAGATGTAATATTTTCAGCTTCAAAGACGTTGTCGTCAGTTGCCTCGATTGAGGCGGCGTATTATATGTCAGGAATTCAATATTCGTTTTTAATTGCGAGTTATTGTTTTTTTCAGATCTACAATAGCTTTTATTGATTTTGTCTAAGTTCCTGCTGTCTTCTCCTGGTGAACAACAAATATTTTTCAAAATATATATTTCTTTAGTTAGCTTATTAGTTTGTTTCTTAAGTTCACCATTTTCTATGATAATATTTTCAAGTTCATTTTGAGTACTCGCTAAGTCAGTTTTTAGTTGGTCAATTACTTTATTTAATTCCTCTATTGTGTCATTTGAATGTTCAAAAATTTCAAAACTTCGTGACAATTTTGTATTCAAGTCACAAGACTCACTAAAAGTGTCATCGTCGGTGAGAATATGCGAGTCAATTTCTGACGATTCTCGGCCAGCGTATGAAGTAGTGGGTGTAGTTGGCGTTTTCACTAGTATATTATTTAATATCTCATCTCGCTTGACTTGTTTGGGCAGTTTTTTTTCTTAATGTAATGTGCGAATTCGCGTGTTCAGTTTTACTGGTAACATTTGTAATACAATGATTACACTTTATATAAATAGGATTTACTTTTAGAGGTCTGTTTTGGAAATAAAAAAGACTTCAAGAAGTGTTTAAGCGAGTATAACGAGTGTATTTTATTATATTTCAAGCTGTTTCGAATTTTGCGAAAGAGTAGGTGGTTATAACCACCAATGATCTCGGTGAGCTCCATGGCGTAGTGGATAAGCGCCGCGGCCCGCGATCGTGGTCGTTAAGTAACTTTCGCAAGGGTCAGTCACGGGATGAATAACCAAAAAAATATTATCTCGAGCTACTCCGTACTTCAGAAGGCACGTTAAGCCGTTGCATTTGCAGTCGTTAATACCCTCCAATCCGCATTTGGCCAGCGTGGAGGGTCATGTCCCATCCTCCTTAACCATCCATAAGGAAGGCCTGAGCTCTTGCAGTGGGGACGTCAATTGGCTGATGATAATAACCATTAAATGGCATGCAATGTCTAGAGATTTTATCTAGTGAAGTATATACAAGTATTTACTTAAAATTTATGAAATGTATGACTTGTGTAAGGGCAATTGTGTAAATATATATTACTTGTGTAAGGGCAATCAAATACCTAATAATAAAAGACTAGCTGTTTTCCCGTAACTTCGCCCGCGTAAACTATAGCCTTTAACAACCGCGTTCAATATAGCTTCCCGTAGGTGTAAGAATTTTCATGATCGGTTCAGTATTTCTGAAACTACCCCCTACAAATAAGCAAAGTAAGAAACTTCGTTCTTCATAGAATTATTATACATTTAATTAGAGAATATCGGAGTGTCCTTCGTGAATAACAAGTTGCTACTGTGCCGCCGACCACTCGCAACCTTACACAGAAGTGAAAGTATAACAGTTTCGCCTCTCACAAAACGTGTTTTGAATTATTCATAATAATTGTTCATATGACTATATAGTAAACCTTAATTCGGTCAGTTACACATAAGGGGGGCGTAGCTCAGATGGTAGAGTGCTCGCTTAGCATGCGAGTGGTACCGGGATCGATACCCGGCGCCTCCAGACACTTTTTTTTATCGATATTAAGATTTATAATCAAATACTAAAGCTTTCTTTCTGAGTAACACACAAGGGGGGCGTAGCTCAGATGGTAGAGCGCTCGCTTAGCATGCGAGAGGTACCGGGATCGATACCCGGCGCCTCCAGATACTTTTTGTTTTATCGAGATTAAGATTTATAAACAAATACTAAGTATTTCTTTCTGAGTAACACACAAGGGGAGCGTAGCTCAGATGGTAGAGCGCTCGCTTAGCATGCGAGAGGTACCGGGATCGATACCCGGCGCCTCCAGACACTTTTTTTTTATCGATATTAAGATTTATAATCAAATACTAAAGCTTTCTTTCTGAGTAACACACAAGGGGGGCATAGCTCAGATGGTAGAGTGCTCGCTTAGCATGCGAGAGGTACCGGGATCGATACCCGGCGCCTCCAGACACTTTTTTTTATCGATATTAAGATTTATAATCAAATACTAAAGCTTTCTTTCTGAGTAACACACAAGGGGGGCGTAGCTCAGATGGTAGAGCGCTCGCTTAGCATGCGAGAGGTACCGGGATCGATACCCGGCGCCTCCAGATACTTTTTGTTTTATCGAGATTAAGATTTATAAACAAATACTAAGTATTTCTTTCTGAGTAACACACAAGGGGAGCGTAGCTCAGATGGTAGAGCGCTCGCTTAGCATGCGAGAGGTACCGGGATCGATACCCGGCGCCTCCAGATACTTTTTGTTTTATCGAGATTAAGATTTATAAACAAATACTAAGTATTTCTTTCGTGAGTACCATACAAGGGGGCGTAGCTCAGATGGTAGAGCGCTCGCTTAGCATGCGAGAGGTACCGGGATCGATACCTGGCGCCTCCAGACACTTTTTGTTTTATCGATATTAAGATTTATAAACAAATACTAAGTATTTCTTTCGTGAGTACTATACAAGGGGGCGTAGCTCAGATGGTAGAGCGCTCGCTTAGCATGCGAGAGGTACCGGGATCGATACCCGGCGCCTCCAGATTACCTTTTATTAAATGAGCTAATGCAATTCCAACCTATATACATATAATAATGAAGTGCCGGATGTATAAATTTCGGGCGACTTAACCAAATTAGATGATTCTTTTTACTATGTGTTTCTTATTGTCAGGACAAGGTGTGTGTGTATATATATATATCAAAATTTATAATATATGCTATATATATATATTTTATCAGAATTCATTTTAACAATCTTATATAAGAAGTGATTCAATATCATATTTGTACTGAGAAGAACCGGCAAGAAACTCGCCAAGGGCTGCTTTTTTCTCCTTGTTTTATTTCATATAAAGACGTAAAATTAAAATACGACTTCATTATAATATGAAGTTGATGATTGACAGTATACGACAGAAGACTGACAGATCTTTGACTAAACAAAGGGTTAAAGTCTGTCTCACGAAAGAAGACTCGCGGCATAACTTTTATTCCTTTGTAATAAAAGAGAAAACATTATGATTCCAGGAGATTCTTTCGTGAGATGAACTCTATATTTCCGCAGTAAATGTGGCGTTACGAATTTCACGGGGTCAGCTAGTCTTTTTATACAAAATATTTATGATAAATAAAAAACATCTGGAGGCGCCGCCGCCGGGTCTCCAGATTTTTTTTTTGCTATATAAAGCATATATTATAAATTTTGATATATATATACACACACACCTTGTCCTGACAATAAGAAACACATAGTAAAAAGAATCATCTAATTTGGTTAAGTCGCCCAAAATTTATACATCCGGCACTTCATTATTATATGTATATAGGTTGGAATTGCATTAGCTCATTTAATAAAAGGTAATTTGGAGGCGCCGGGTATCGATCCCGGTACCTCTCGCATGCTAAGCGAGCGCTCTACCATCTGAGCTACGCCCCCTTGTGTGGTACTCACGAAAGAAATACTTAGTATTTGTTTATAAATCTTAATATCGATAAAACAAAAAGTATCTGGAGGCGCCGGGTATCGATCCCGGTACCTCTCGCATGCTAAGCGAGCGCTCTACCATCTGAGCTACGCCCCCCTTGTATGTTACACACTAAATAAAGGTTCAGTATCTAGTTAACTTTATATAGAATGTTCATTATTCATGACAATTAACTTTCCTTTTCCAACACTGAATAATACGGTCAACATCTGTTGAACATATTCAATAGACTTTAATTACTGTCAATATTGTTCATTTTCGCATCGAACGTGTTTAATTTTATTAATGTATATGCGTGTATACGAGTATATTTGCTTTTCGTATTTTATGTAGAGTTGTACTTAAAAATTACTGAAGAATTTAAGATTAAAAACATATTTCTTTTTAGTTTTATTTAAAAAATATCTACGACATATACTAAAATTGCAAAGTCAACTCATGCTTCTAGTTTTTATAAAACCTTTTTGATTGATTCGATATTGTTTGCGTGTGTGTTCCTGAAGTGTGTGCAAGAGCGGCAACTGGTCGTGCACGGAGCGCGCGTGCGCGGGCGTGTGCGGCGCGTGGGGCGACTCGCACGTGGACACGTTCGACGGCGCCTCGTACGACTTCGAGGGCGTGTGCACGTACCTGCTAGCCAAGGGGGTCATGGACTCCAGCGACGGGTTCGACATAGAAATACAGGTCATTAGTTTATAATGTAATCGGTGCTTATGCATCGCTACGGGACACGTTAATCAACATCATCATCATCAGCAGCACTTTATTTCGTCCCCACTGCAGGGGCTCAGACCTTCTCTATGGATGGTTAAGGAGAATGGGTCATAACTGTCCACGCTGGCCCAATGCGTATTGGCGGGTATTACCGATTACAAATGCAGCCGGGACCAACGGCTTAAGCTCGAGATAATGAATTTTTGGTCACCCATCCCGTATTCTCTATTATTTTGATTAAATTAATAATGTATCTGTCTGTAATAATTTAACAGCCTGCGCAAAACACAAATTCGATGTAGCTCATATAAATTTGAACCGTATTCTTTAATCAATATTTTGCATATTAACAGAACGTACCTTGCGGCACCACTGGTGCGACGTGTTCAAAGACGACTACTCTGAAAGTAGGAGGAGGTGGGAACCAGGAAGTAGTGTCTCTCACTAAAGATGCGCCACTGCCGGATGTCTCGAAGTTGAAGAGGTAAATAATATATTTGACATCCCTCATATTCGATAAGTAGGTCCTTCTTACCTCCAAATGAGGCTTGTAGGTGACCAATAAACGCTTTAGGGTAATAATATAGCTAGAAAATTCCTAGGACGGTAAGAAAAAAAACATTGCTCTTTCAAAAAGTTTGCGTACATCGAACCATCATTCTGGTAATAGACATCATGCATTCAGCCCAATGACCTCTTCGCTATTCAGCCTTGTCTTCGTATGAGTGTAATAGTCATCAATTTTAAATATCGAACGGCGAAGCTCAATTTCATGAAACATCTTTCTCAAGAGATGATCCGCAACAATCAACTTCTGCTGAAGAAAGCTCCATCCCGTCAGATTTTGTCCACGACCAACAAATATCACATACTCAAACTATTAACATACCCAAAAAACACCTGTCCTTTAAATTTGAAAATTGTTATCATTTCACTATAAATTTTAACTAATAAAATGTTTCATTTCAGTAATGCCGTTTTTTTCTATTTACCTCACAATCGAGATGTAAAGCTAACTTTAACTTGGGTGTAAGCATCAATTGCACCCTCGAACTATAGGCGCCCTCACTGAGCTCGTGCGCCAAAATATCTCGGGCTGCAATTGACGCTTTACAGCCCTTGGCTACTAATTAACGTAATAGATCATTTTAATTATTTGATCCCTACGCGAAGATTTACTAAGCATCCATATCATTTAGATTCAATTAGGGTTAGATGTGTAGTCGTAGTAATATATGAACTGACAGCTGTGATGATATTATGATATTATTTGAAAGAAAAAAGGTAACACCACTGATAAAATAGAACATTTACATGCGATATCATTAGTATTTGAACGACCTCTGTAGTCGAGTGGCTCTCACGCCGGTTTTAAGGTGTCGTTATATCTGAGGACGCGGGTTATTGAAGAGAATGAACTAACCCAGCTTACAATATAAGCTAGTATTACTGTTTTTTCTAGTATTTATTTGACGTAATTATATCTTCCATGTAATTTTACTTGCTGTTTGTTAGGATAAAACTGCGCATAGCAGGTGCCTACGTGTTCCTGGATGTGCCTTCGCTTGGTGTGAGCCTGCAGTGGGACCGCGCCCTACGTGTTTATGTCAAAGTCGACGCGGTCTGGAGGAAAAGGGTAAGTAAATAGTACTTACTCACGGTTTTCCATCACTTTTGATCTAGTAACTTCTATTATTCTATTGCATTCCATCTTATGTAATTATTGCAAACTATAAATTGCAACGAATGCACAGTTCTGCTTTCCTCATGCCAACGCTGAGTTGGTTTATACGTATTATTGTATCCAGTCACCTATATATGTATGTGTATAGAATGGGCCGGCTCGACCAGAGTGATACCACGGCCTCACAGAAAACCGACGTGAAGCAACGCTTGCGTTGTATTTTGTCGTGTGAGTGAGGGTACCGGAGGCCCAACCCCTCCATATTCCCTTCCCTCTACGCCACAACCCTTCCCTCTAAGGCCGGCAGCGCGCTTGTAGCCCCTCGGGTGTTGCAGGTGTCCATGGGCGACGGTACTCACTTACCATCAGGTGATCCGGCTGCTCGTCTGCCCCTATCCCATAAAAAAATTTGGCTTGTTTGATCTGGTATTCCTGAAAGTGACAGCAAGTTATAACGTTGATGAATATCTGTTAATACAACAAAAATACTTTTTTCAAGGTGCAATGGAAAGAGATAGTTTTATTTAATTACCTACAGTGACTCGTAATTGTGCGTGTCAAACTTTAGTTCAATTTATGAAGGATTTTACAGTTAGCCGTATTTTTTTCCTGTTTTGTCAGGTGAAAGGTCTATGCGGCAACTACAACGGGGACACTCGGGACGACTTCCAGACGCCGGCAGGTGGCGGGCTGACTGAATCATCGCCCATCGTGTTTGCAGACGCCTGGAAACTCAAACCCTCCTGCCCTAAACCTAAACCAGTTACTGTAAGCTGATCTATAGATATTTAAAGAAAATTCAATGGAAAAGAAACACTTCCATAAATTTAAATAAGAACTTGTAAATGTTCTAAATTATTTTATTTTTAGTTTGTAAAAGTATTATTATTATTAACAGTATTTTGTTTTTAATTTGTGTTGATCATACGTTTTCCTTGAGTAAAAATAGATTTAAATTAATTGAACATATTTTTTTTACTAACAATTTTTTTTTTTACTATCGATACTTTATTGTGATCATATTTAATCTTTATCGGATTTAGTTTTCTCCAAAAAGTTTAATAATTTTTTTGGAGAAAACTAAATAAAGTAACTAGTTTTCTCAAAAAAGTTTACTCCAAAAAGTTTAATAAATCAAAAAGTGAAATTTCGATTCGTGACGCCTCAATTTCATAAACCTAAGTGAGTATTAATTGTACTCCGTTAATAGGAAAAAAAAGGTCTAATAGGTTAAAGCTTATTGATTGAGCCAGCTTATACGAGTACTAACGTATGCCTCATTCATGTCTTTGGGTTAGGCCAGCTTATACGAGATTGAGGTCGAGGGAGAGCCCATTATAATTATATTGTCTATTTCCAACATATTTGATAATTCATTGTTACCACTGTGAAGTAGCCAATTTCATGATCTAAGAAGATAATTTACAAAAAATCGGTAAGCCATTTCCATAAATAAAGAGGAGTCGTTACTTGTCAAGTCTACTCCATATCCATAAATAAAGAAGACCCGTTACTTGTCAGGACTACTGCGCGTCGCGTCCGCACCGGCGCGAGTGGGCGAGCACCGTGTGCGGGTCCATGAAGCGGTACCCGTTCTCGCTGTGCGAGAGCGAGGTGTCCGCGGGCCCGTACGTGCAGCGCTGCGAGCGCGACGCGTGCGCCTGCGACTCCGGCGACGACTGCCGCTGCGCGTGCGCTGCGCTCGCCGCGTACGCGCACGCGTGCTCCCAGCGCGGCGTCACCTACCGCTGGCGGACCCAGGAGCTGTGCCGTTAGTATCTATACTATAGCAAGTCTGTTTAGTTAAATATTCGGAACTGCTGGCGCTAGTTGAAAAAATAATTTGTATGTTCGTTCTATGACTATAACCCCTAGTGTAGTAAAAATGTGATATCCGGTTAAAACGTCTGTGATACGAAATGATGTGGGCTCTATCCAGAAAGGTGACGTGTTTCCGAGTACTAACTGCTGGGAGTAAATACGTTTTTTTATTTACTATTTATCTGTATCAATATTATAAAGAGGTTTGCTAACGTTGTTTGTAGAAGTACTCTTCAGAAATACTGATCTGGTCATGAAAATTATTTCACTTACGGTAACTTTCAACTGCCTCTATATGGCCGCCTTAATGGATGAGGTGGATGTTAAATTCTATAACCAATTTTAAAGTTTGAAGTTAAGGCAGTGAGGTCAAAATTTAATAGGAGAATACTCCGAAAATAACTAATATAGAAATTAACAAACTAACATACTATAATCGTTACGGCAGCGATGCAGTGTGACGAGGAGTGCAGCAACTACGATGCGTGCATGCCCGCGTGCCCGCTCGAGACATGTGACAACACAGCTGACTACGATGACGTGCGGACTACGTGCCAGCAGGACGTATGCGTTGAAGGTCATACTGTTGTCTATATCGACCTTTTTTAATCAACCTTAGACTTGATGTATAATTAAATTGACCTGCCTCCGTGACTAAGGTTCCGGATTCGCTATTCTTTTTTAATTTAGACTACGTCTTTCCCTGTTTTATATCTCTGATCTGAATTAATGTTGTAAAGCTATCGTTGCTTCAGATTTCAGTGATGCAAACATAAGTTATGTTAAAAGCTATGCTTTTGGAATCATAGTATACAGGGTTAGATGTGTAACACTAGCAACATCTCAGTACTGCATCGCCAACGTTAGAAATAAAAACGCGTATTCCGCGATATTTTATATTTCATAACATTTTGCTTCACCGCTTTTAAAATCAAATTATAATTCCACGCTTGAATGCGAACGTAGCGTCGTCGTTTTTTCTTTTATGAATGAAACATTGGGCTATAATATCAAGATAACACAAAAAAATCTTAAATAATATTTTTTGTTTGACGTTTTGCGTAAAAGCCGTAGATAAAAGTCCTGTTTTATACTAATAAAATAATTCTCTGCGATAGTTTTGATAAACAATTAACGTAACCTTATCACTTACTTTCTTTACTTTTCGTGATACGTCTTATGTTGCGATAAATAAAGACAGTCCAAAAAGGAAGAGGTTTGACTTAAAAAATGTTTTACTTTATTATTTTTTTTTTGACGCTTAAAACCTCTTAAAAAAACAGGATGCAAACCAAAGAAGTCGTGTCCCGAAGGATCCGTGTACAGCAATAACACGTTAACAGAGTGCGTTCCGCGCTCTAAGTGCAAACCGTTATGTATGACGCTACCCGACGGCAGGGAAGTGTTAGAGGGAGAGGTCATAGAGCAGGACGACTGTCACACTTGCAGGTGCTCCAAGAAGCATAAAGTGTGCACGGGACAACCTTGCAGTACTGTACCAGTAAGTAAAATGAACACTTCTATATTTATTTATTATTACTAGCTTATATGTCTCGCATCTGGGTATTGTACCTTCGTTGCCTCAGATACTACCTACTCGCCTAACACATCTCGGTATTTGAACAATTTATATAATGTTGTCTAAAAAGGGAAGATACGGCATACTCATAATTGCATTGACCAAAAAATTACACTGATAAAACTACCCGCATAAATAAACTCACTCATACACTTACATAGCTCCCCATGGTACCCCGATTACTATTTCATTCAGAAAGATCTGAACATAATATGCACTGAATTATTTTTATTCTTGCGAGATGCATACTTGATTTTGTAATAAAATTACACTTCATAGAAAAACATTTTTCTTTATACGAGAGTTATGGAAACAAATGATGGTAACTTACACATTTCAAAATATCTATAGAAAAGGTCAAAAATGCAAGAGTATATAACGGAAATGTAGTACGCTCGACAAACCAATGATCAGAACATCGGTTGGGTCTTCAAGATTGTTGGTATCTTCGTCATATTTGACCGACCCTTATCGTTTGAAAAATTATATCTCAGTGAATCCATAGTCTATTTAATATTATTTTACTTTACGGGTGATTCTTGGGAAATGTGTTCTCCGTGTAATTTCCACGGCATTTTTGAAATCGCAAAATTATGGTGAATTATATAAATATTTCGAAAACTTCTGCAAATTTAAACAATATATTAAAATTGGCCACGACTGAGATCTATACTTTTGCTAAAAAAAAATGTAGAAAATTGGCGGACCATGGAAATTACAATAAAGGCAATGGAAATTACACAGCAGATAAAATTTTGCTAAACACCATGTCATATATGAAATTAAGCTGTCATATTAGTTAGGGTAGTATTAAGATCTACCTACATTATACTGAAACGATATACGATAGTACTTACTCAAAATTGGAACGAAACGTAAACACGTTCATGTTCTCAAAAAACAAAATATATACAACGTGTTATGTAAATAGCGCAAAACCTCTCAGGTAGCTCAGCCCATAAAACCGAACAACTTTCACTATGAGACCAACATTGAAATTTCAGCATCTGGCAAATTTTTCGAAGTAACGTTACATCGGACAAACAAAAGTCGGGCGTCGAAGTAAGATATGCGATGTATTGAAACTTCGAACAATGAAGGCTTCGACGTACTTGTATAGTTGTCGATGTATCAATTATCGAAGAAACGTGTTTCGAAGTGACATAGAGAACCCTTTTTCGAAATGGTTATTTATTTTGTCAATTATCTTATAAAATACGCATCCTACGTCAAATATCAATAATTAATTTATTGTAAATTTAATTGGCTTTCATTTAACACCAATTTGGTACCTGTAGGGCCAGTGGTTTTCTCAAAAACGATAGATAGCGAACACCGGTCATAAGTAGATATTAGGAGGTTATTTCAGTCAAGATAACCCCCTTGGCTATCTATCGTTTTTGAGAAAACCATTGGCCCTACAGGTACCAATTTAGTGTTTAATCAAAGTAAATTTTTACAATAAATAAATAAATTATATAATATGTTAACTTATTCCGGTGATATTTAAGACGATTTAATTAAAAAAAATAACCAACATTCAACATTTAAGTCTGTATTTGGCGATGGCATGCATTTCATTGAAAACAAACATTGAACATAACGTTTGTTTTTTTGCAACCAAAAAGAAACAAGGTAATTTCCATGGGTGATACGTAATTTCCATGGTGTTTTATCCATGGAAATTACACCATGGAAATTACCAAAAAACATATATTTTGAAATTACTCTGCATTGAAAAGATATAACCGGCTAGTTTTTTACTGTTTATCTACATTATAGAGCTAGGTATTTCACCTTAAAACCCATTTTCTAGAAGAAGTACAATTATATTGAAAAAATGTGACATGGCAAGGCCGGATAACTGAGAACCAAAATTTAAGAAATTGAAGAACTTATTCTCGCTACGAAAGCGCGGGAAACAGCGACGTGGCCACCTCACCTGCTAGCTGCGGCGTAAATGACGATTCGTAAACACCAATCGGGGTTCGTCTACGCCTCTCCAGCTCAGAGCAGTATCTCGCGCAAGGCGCGCCGCGAAAATTTTGCTAAGCGTGTGACACGTATACTTCTGACCATAAAATCAAAAGTTTCCTTCCGATTAATTTGAAATTTGATCAATATGTAAACCGATTTGTCTTTTTTAAATTTGTGTAACAAACTGATTAAAAACGTGGTTAATTTCAAAAATATTTGCGATTGCTCAAAAGTCGGCGCGCGTGTGACACGGTAAAATCGTGCAAAATTGACCGGATTTGAGATGTTAAGGGTAAGTTACTCCGATCTACGTCGTTTTTTATCCGTGAAATCTATATGACCCGATGCTTAATGAAATGAAGAAACGATGTAATAGTAGTTTTTATCATAATAATTTATTTTTATAGGAGGTATGTCCCTGTGACACTCAAAAATTGCTTTTTCAAGAAATACCCTTACACGTATATAATTTGGTATCACCAGGTATCGACTGAAGAGACTTCTCCTAAACCGAACGATGAACAGCTGAAATGTGTCCCCGGTTGGACGCCGTGGCTGAGCCATCACACTCCCACCGCTGGGCCAGACGGCGCCTCCATAGAGATAGAACCCCTGCCCCAATATAAGGACCTGGTAATTAAATTTACATTAGATTTCAACACCATGAGATTATTAATGCACACCCTTTTTTAATATCTATTTTTGAGGTGATGGTACATACAGCACATAAGCATTACACGATATCAAATTTTGCAATCACTTTTGAACTTAACTATTATTGTATAAATCTTAAAATAAGTGTTCTTCATATTAACATTTTTTGATAACCATATGCGCTGTTGGCTAGAATATTGATTAATTAATTTTATTTTGTCATTCAAATTTTAATTAAATCCTTCAACCAACATACAAAAAGCAGTTTATAAAATATTAAAATATGGAGTAATCTGAGCAAAACACTGGATTCTGGCGAAATCCACAAGGGCAACGCCATTAATTAAAAATAAGAAGAAGAATACTGCTTTAAGATGACGACTGGTTGTACCTAATATATTTCTGAATGTCTACTTTAACATGTTGTACATTTTTTTTACCTCTAGCTTAGGCAATTTAGCTTTGACAATAATACACAGTACGTAAGCGTTAATAATTTCTAAGCCCAAAAAAGAGAAAATTCCATATAAACTTCACCTCCTATTTCACCCTCTTAGGATTAAATTTCCAATTTTTTTTTCTGAATGCTCACTTACATCTCAACAACTTGTACTTTACCATTGTACTATCCACCTAAAGTCTAATATTAAGTAGTTATTGAATTGCGATTGACAGAATTTGTCTGCTCATTGTTTTCGTGTATACAGCCAATAGGTTCCCCGATGTGCGGTAAGAGTTCCATGTCCGAGATAGAGTGCCGCACTAAAGTGAACCACGAGAGCCCCAAGGCCACCGGCCTGGACGTGGAGTGCAGCCTGGAGCGCGGCCTATACTGCCGCGAGGCCAGGGCCGGCTGCCCCGACTTCGAGATACGGGTCCACTGCGAGTGCGGTCAGTTACACACACTATTCGGTCGATCCTTCCTATCCTACTCATTTTCCGTTCACGCAGTACGCCTCTGGAATTCGTTGCCTGATGCTATAGGGAAGGCTCATATTAATTGTTTGTTGCACAAGTCAAAACACACTTTCTTGAAAATTAGTTAAATGTTTATATTTAATGACTTTTTATTTTTGTTTATTATATTATGTTATTCAGATTTATCTATTTACAACGCCATCTTTTCTTAAATATATAGTTTATTTTTCTTCCGTCATGAGTTGTATGGAAGAGATTACTACGTAGCAATAAAGTCGCTATTTGTATTCTTTCTCTGCAATATTTCGATAAGGAATGAATGAATAAAAAATTCTCCCTCAATGTAATAAGGGTTAAAATAGAGTGGAGAATTTTGTCAGTTTTGTATAACATGACTTCCTTGACTGTACAATACTATACAGAAATTTATAAAACAATATTAAAATCGTAATTGTATAAAAATAATAATGCGGCCTGATCGTTCATCAGCGATATTTATGGTTTTGTGTCTGGTTGTTAAAATTTAATAATTACTATTTTGTGCAGAATAAAAACGCGTACCGAGAGGGTACGCGTTTTTTCGTTTCTCCTTTTGTCGGATTGAATAATATTCGAATGTTGAATTGAAGTTTTATCTAAATATTTATAATAATGAAAGTATCCCATTCAAAAATCTATTATATGCTATCTACTACAGCCATATTTTGTAATACAGAACCGTTCCAATGCCTGAACGACACCCGTCCTAGTTACGAGCACCCCACCAACTGCTCCATGTTCTACGAGTGCACTCCTGACAACGCGAACGCTGACACCATACACGCGGTACTCAAGACCTGTGCGGCCGGCACCATGTACAACCCTAACACTATGGTGTGCGACTGGCCCGCCGCTGTGACAGCCCTACGACCCTCCTGCGGTACTACGAAGACTACCGTTCGAGGTATAACTATAATATCTATAACTAACTTCGTTCAAAAATCTATGTCATAGAGATTTTATACTTTGAAGGTAATTTCATAGGAAAACAAAGGAACACAAGAACAAGCTGAAGTTCTTATCTGTTTTTACATTCTCCTTCTTTTGATCCCTCACTGAAGTTTTACGAACCTGTGGCTAGTTCTTCAACTTCCACGACTACCTGTCAACAGCCCGCAGAATTATTGAATTTTATTTAATGTGAACTATGTTTTTTTTTCATTATTTAGGCCTCCAGATTCCTTGCCGGATTGAGAGACAATTTCTAGGATTTTATTAGATATACTTAAATAGAATTTCGTATATATCTATTAGTTTGTCCAATTAGAAACCTTTTTTTTATCAGAAATTTACTTTACTTCACCTTTAATTTTACTTCCAATGCAATAAAGATGTGAACCGATTAAAGAAATTTGTCAGTTTTATGTTGATTTAATTTCAATATGGATGACGACTAATTTTTGTTTGTTTGTCCGTCAGGCAAATTGTTGATAAATATTAAACACGTTTTTTTTTCGTAATCATTTATTTACGGCTATTGAGTTAAAATGTCACATAACATCACGCTTTGGTACATTTTCTACAAAACTGTGACGTAGCGAGCCCCCTCTCCTCAACTTTATTGTCTGTTATCTGAGCTATTTCTTCTTAAATTGAAGTAAACAAAAAATACGTATCTAATATTTATCTGACTGACGGAGTAAACAGAATTTCTTTTTTTTTATCCAGTCGTCATCCCCATTAGCCGAATAAATTATAATCCGTAAACAAAGCCAATATACTTAAATGATATAGATTTAACTTGTCTCCGTCGGTTCATATTAACAGAGACCACGACTTCGACTACCACTGAAGCAATTACTACAACAAGTACTACAACTGAGGTAGTCACTATCCGTGGCCGCTGTCCACCGGGACAGGTGTTCAAAGACTGCGCGTATCCGTGCGATCAACTTTGCGACTACTACAAACACGTACTCGTAGAGAGCGGCGACTGTACCCCGGGAAAGGTATACCATGAGTTCTCGATACTAACATTTTGTTTTTAAATAATATCAGGTGCAAGATTATTATATCAGAACAAAAGAAATGAAAAGTCAGCGCCATCTATCTATTAAGGTAGTTAACTCGTTTTTAATTTTATAAATAAATAGTTTATTAATATCTGTGAAATAATGCAGAAGTAACAGCTTGTCTGCGATAAATAGTTTCGGAGTAACGGTCCTATATTTGTGCAACAGCTGCTAGTCGGCTGAAAACGCTCTCACAAATTCAGGCAAAGGCCCCTGGGCGACGTTTGTATATCTTTTTTATTTGTCTGTTTATGTTTATAGTTGTAATATGGAAGTTGTTACATTTTACGTAAATTATATATTGCCATTGTGGATTTTACCAAATTGTAATATATGTAATTTTTTGTAATTTATTTCCATGTCTACTTTAACTGCATATAACGATGATATTCGTTTTTAGAAATGCGTCGAGGGATGTGTGAACGAAACAAGGAAATGTGGTGACGGGTACAAGTGGCGAGACGAAAACACATGCGTGCCCGTCAAAGATTGTACCTGTTATTCCGCTGGGAAGATCGTTAAGGTGAAAATTATTTCTGTGTATTTTGTTTCATTTCTTAGCACTTATTTATTTTTAAAATGTGTGCATGTAATTTAATTTCACTCAATGTATGTACTCACTTTAGCTGTCAAAATAAGCTTAAAGTCCGTGTCAAAGAAGATACACGGTAGACTTGCAGATACGAAATAATTGATATCGATGCTGATTAATTTTCAAAAAGTCACTCGACTATATAATTTTCAAATTGAAAATAGGTTGTATGTTTTTATTTTTTCGCTATAACCTTGATATGCACATGCTAATCTCGAAAACACGATACGGTTTACTATGGCTTATGGCTTAAAAATATACTCTTTGTATTGAACATGAAGACGCCAATCAGATTGTTTTTGCTTTTTTATGTTGACGCGTGTGCAGTGCCTTAAGCCTCAAGTCAGGACATGTCAACCACTACGACATGAGGTCAAAGTGTTGTTAGTCTCACTCACACTGGTTAAATTGATCCTTGAGCTGCTTTTTTCCATTTTATGGTGACGAACCTTTTCTTTCTCCTATCGTTCCTCACGTATGAACCCGCTAACCTGCGATAAGGGCCCGGATCTTAGAGTATTTTTGCCCGGTATACGATATCGGTGGCAAGATAAATGGTAAAAATATATATTTGTTCACATAGCCGGGCGGTGTGGTAGTGGACGGTTGCGTGAAATGTCAGTGTTTATCTAACGAGTTGCACTGCGACTCGTCTGATTGTATCACGGTCGTCCACCACGAGAACCACATATCCATCCTGGAGACCATAACCCAGCCCACCACCACCACCAGCACGCCAGCGGTAACCACTGTACCCACGACCAGTTCACCGATCATCGTGCAGAACACCGCCTCACCTCCACCTGAGTGCTCGCCTGATGGGTGAGTTGTCATTTCAAATTTTCTAAATTTCCGAAACCCTCAGGTGTTATATATTGAGGGTGGATTTTTAAGATGAGATAGCAAGGGTATGTACACATTAAACGTAGTCTTCCGACGACGGCTATATTATATTGTCATTATGTGTGACGTATTTACAGTTTGGTGAGAATGAAGAGATGATTATGTATGGAAATGCAATACACTGCATCACGCTAACCCTCAGTTGGCAATTAGTTTGGTTTGAACGCAGCCTAAGGACCTAAACCATTATAGTTACATGGTAACGTTCCTATGAGAGCATTCATAACTTTTCAAGATATTCTAACTGCATTCACAAATTCCGGCTAAAGTGTACAGTCAGCAAAAATAAAACAATTTATATCTTAGCAACGAATTATGAATTATACTAGCAATGCATTAAGTCTTGTATATAAGTAAAAAAAAATAAACCTGACCTTAACGTTCCTACGAGAGCATTCATAACTTTTCAAAATATTCTAACTGCATTAACAAACGGTTTAAAAAAATTTATAAGAATTGTACTAGCAATGTATTAGGGCTTGTAAATGAGTGGAAAATACTGAAAGTTCTAAATACACTGACGCAATAAGAAGTTTTAATAAAAATGTTAAATTATAGGTACAAATACCTATTATGGGGTGAAGATGTTAAGCCGAAGCCGATATTGTCCGCCAGTTCGGTGGCCAACGCTCTGTCCGAGCCTGAGTATGCAGTACTCGATGGACATCCTAACGCTATATCCGGTAAGGAATATTATATGTCGGTTTCTAAGTTTAAATCCCCAAGATTTGATTTTTTGAGTCCTCTGGGCGATGTAGTTCAGGATCTAAAAGTGCGTTTTCATCGGTTCGTTCACTGGCAATAGTCAATAGCGCTCGCATACTGAGTGTTTTATTTTTAATAAAACTATTATATTATTTTTGCATGCACAGAAAATATTCAGGTTTTATAACGACGATGTTATTTATTCGCAACTTTCCTTTCTCGTTATCCTGCCTTCAGGTACCCCGTTTGATGTATATCAGCCAACAGACTAACCTAATAAATAAAACCTATATATATTTACATTTTTACAATTAACTTATTTGCTCTTAATTGTAAATGTTAATTATGCGGTATGGCAATATCCCCGATGATATTATGACTGTAGTATTTGGCTACTTGTCAGATAAAACAATGGTAGAAAATAGTATTTGTCGCGAGTGCAACCAGTACTCATGTTTATTGAAATGTGACGTCATAACTCGACATATCACAGACTGATTTTCGAAGGATAATTTAAATAAATAATGAATATGTATATGTTTTTCTCTATTTGGACTAAACAAACAGCCAGTTGCACAAACGTCCATTACAATTTTCATTAGTTTAAAGTGACATTACCCGTACAATTTTGACATATATTAGAGCTTAAAGGCGTCATTATACCTTAATGGATGTTTGTGCAACTGACCGAAAATCTGAAAGCGTAAACCGCTTTCAGATTTTCGGTTCGGTTCGGTTCGGTTCGGATATCATTATAGATATATAACAACAAATCTCAAAACAGTGAAATAGCCATATCTTGTATGTATAGCCGGCAGCTGGAGTCCCAAGACAAATGACAAAAACCAGTATATCCAAGTGGAGTTACCGTACCCCACCAGCATCCACGGAGTGGTGCTGCAGGGTGAGCCCGATGTAGACAACTACGTGACCAGCTACCAAGTCATGTACGGCGACGACGCCACCAAATACAGTTACGTCACAGGACCAGATGCCAAACCGAAGGTGAGCTTGTTAGAGTTACGTACACAAAGGGTAAAACGGGAACCTATTAGTAATACTCCACACTCCATCCGTACATCATCTCATAAACCATGACAGTTGAAATTTTCACAAGAAATAACTAAAAAAATAATAAAATAAGTATTTTACATTAGTTGTATTATAATTTGTTCTACATTCTTCATACAGGCTTTTTATTAACTTGTGTTAGTTCGTATGATTCAGAGATCTTGCAAGATAAAATTGAACTGATGGTGAAGCCATAAGGTAGTCATTGAACTTCTGTAATTATACTAAGCAACCTCACCATCGAGCTGGGGTTTGTGGGGTTTGCCTTCACAAGGACTTTGGCCCAAGATAATACAACATCCAGTTTCTAATGATGAAACTAGAAAGCTATGGGTAAATTTGTAATTAAATAAAACAAACCTGTAGTGTTTGTGTCGACATTTGGGAATAACATGTATTTTAAAATGTCTTTGTTAAGGGCTGATCATTAATTTAAATGGAGTTTATTTATAAATGTAGCTGACCAATGTATCTGCGGAGCAGGCTAAATTTCAAAATATAGCATATCCTGCCTAGTCATCCGCTCGCCTTGAGATGTATTTTTCACCTTATGGTTATGAAAACAAAACTGATTATAATTTTTTTTCATACATTCTACGGTCTGGTCTGTATAAACGCTGGTTGACGCGCCATGTGAGTGGGTGCTTTACTTTATTGATGGATACGTAGGTATTCCGAGGCCCTGTGGACCACAAGACACCGATGAAACAGATGATATCTCCGCCTGTGGAAGCCAAGTTTATACGCGTGCAGCCGCTCACGTGGCACGGGAAGATAGCGCTCAGGCTGGAATTGATCGGGTGTGAGGAAGCCATGTCTACCACGCCTGAAGAATTACCCACCACTGTGAGTTTTAATTTTAAATTATCTCAAAAGTATTAATTAATATGATAAGTGAAACTTTTTACACGTTTTTATAGAAAATGCGCGTGAAATTAGATTTGTTGAAATTATATATAAATATAACGTAAATGTTTATTCTACGTTATATTTATATATATTATTAGCAATAATATTCAAACTTTATGGTCTAATTCCGATTGTACGTGTAAAACTCTTATGGAACAAGTATTATTTTTATTATTTCTTAAAAAAGATAATATCTCTCTATGTAATCGAACTCCCTAATTTGTTAAAAGCAATTATCAGTAAATTATGATATGCATCGTTGTCTACTTTACCGACAAAATAATTGAGATCATAAAGATCTGCCAAATATTTACATCCTGCATTTAATTCTAAAAAGCTTAAGCATCTAATTGTCAGTCCATTATGCAAGTTTTTGATAGCCCACTGTTTTTAGTTCTATATTATATCTTGTTTCTGTTATTACAGTCGAGCCCGATGCAATGCGACGAGCCTCTTGGTCTAGCTGCGGACCTGCCCATAGAGAGTATTGAAGTGAGTTCGAATAACGACGCGAGGAAATACTTCCGACTGGACGGTACACGTGGGTGGATGCCCACATACAGTACACCAGGGGAGTGGATCATGGTAATTATCCTGTATACTTGTTACATAACCGAAAAAAGTATTTATACAATTTACACAATACAAAAAACTCGACTACAAATACTACAACTCTAACCCATACTAGCCGACACCTTAGAGCTCCATATTTTTGAATTTTTATCATTATATAGTTTAAAATTACGGTTTCATTTTGTTTTCTTTGCATGGAACCCCAAAAGTGTCTTTAACAATTACGTGAAAAATATAGTAGATAGTTCTTTTGTAGCTCTTTTTAATTGACGTCAGCATCAAAATATAACGAAATGGCTTACGGTTGGTTGCACAAACATCCATTAAGGTTTTATGACGCCTTTAAGCTCTAATGAATGTCAAATTTGTATGGCTAATGTTATTTTAAACTAATGAAAATTTTAATGGACGTTTGTGTAACTGGCTGTTATCATATATTGTATTGTAATCATATATTTTAATGTGAATTAGTCCATTGCTTGCGACATTGCCACTACGTAAACTAAACTACATCGAAATTACTGGAATAGAATACTGGAATAACGGGGCGCAACCAGTTTATAAATATATGTTTCAATTTATAAATATAAGGGCACGATCTTTGACATATACAAAAAATACGAAACCTCAAACTTTACTTAATTTGGCGTTATAACGTCTCAACACGTGAGAAAGCGAAACATTTTAATATATACTTTTTGTTTATACACTCAGTTCGACTTCTTTTCACCCCGCAATCTGACCGGCATCAAAACAAAAGGTGGCCCCAAAGGTTGGGTGTCGTCATACAAACTGATGTACACATCTGACTTGACTACCTTCAATCCTGTAGTGGACAAGAATGGAGACGCCAGAATATTCCCGGCGAACTTCGACGCTGACTCAGAGGTATAAAAAATACCATACAAAATATATTGAAAACTTAGTTTGGATAAATAGAATTAATTTCATTAACTATTCAAATGTTTTGTTATACCAAGTTAATCGTTAATTTCATTTTCACAATATTGTCTGCATGTTTTTTAATACTACTCGTATTATTGACTAGTGGCCGTCAGCGACTTCGTCCGCGTTTTCCATTATTTCTTTGCTCCTAATTGTTGCAGCGTGATGTTATATAGCCTTAACCCTTCCTCGATAAATGGTGTATTCAACACAAAAATAATTTTTCAATTCGAAACAGTAGTTCCTGAGATTAGCGCGTTCAAACAAACAAACTAACAAACTCTTCAGCTTTATAATATTAGTATAGATATGATTATGTCCTCTATCTCTGTCGCTCTTTCTCTTATATATGAGTGTGATAGCATCAACAGAAATAAATATTGGCTTAGATATAATGCTTAATGATGTCCTGTGTCCTGGGAACCCAGGTTTAGAAACCAGGAGATAATAAATTCTTTTTACTTTACTCACAAGCAAAGATTTGAAGTTTGTGCAAACAAAAATGCGGCAAACTTTGTTGTAAGAACTAAATTATTTTAATTACTTACTATGGAAATATCTAGTTTTATGTATATCTTGTTTTTCATCAAATTGTTCGAAAATTAAGCTCTGAATAGATGTCGATAATACTCATAATTATTACACGACGTGTCTAGACATTGATTTCTGTCAAAGTGATTCTGTTTAGAATTTTTTTCATATTGTTAAATAGAGAGTTTTAACTACCAATAAAACTTACCTATTATTTTTCTTAAAGATATCCGGAATCCATCTTGAGTCAAGCATCATCCTTTTTGTGACGTTTCCGGTCAAAAACACTACCTCCCTTCTTACTTCCGGCGCTTGTGCTGCCATCTAGTTTGCGGGTAGCGAACCAATGACTTTTAGGCACGAACGCTTACCGTCATTATACCTACTCTAGATGCACCAGGTAGAACTTACCTGGATTCCGGATATCTTTAGGAAAAATAATAGGTAAGTTTTATTGGTAGTTAAAACTCTCTATTATTTGTTCCGTTCGATATCCGGAATCCATCTTGAGTGATGTGTTTGTTATCTCCTGGTGAGTGCCATTGGTGACGCTATAATGTGTTGCAGGTATAAAAAGTCAAATGTAGTCTGATGAGAAAAAACAATGCATATTAAAAGTATATTATGCTATTACCTACATAGTACATATATTATGCTGTTACATAACAATGCAATTATAATAATTATTCAAGTATTTCGGTAATCTAAGCTAAATAAATATTGGCTTATCTGTTATCGGTCAATATCATTAATGAATTGAATGGAATAATAAAAATGTAAATACATAGATATCGGAATTTTCTTAATTGTCCGATTTATCAGTTTTCGATAGGACTTCCTAAAAGTATGTTCTTGGCGCCAGTTTACAGTTTCAGTAATTTATCCATCGGAAACAGTTCCAGTCAATTTAGAGATGGAACTGCAGATGTAATAGACCCTGAAGAATCTTTTACATTATGTGCTTCTATTTAGCATTTTTGAGAACAGAGTAGTTAACTCGTGAAAATTATTTCTTTTTGGGGCTCTTTCAATACAAAAATTGATCGCGTGTCCAATACATGCAATCGAATGATTTGTGTCAGTTTATCATTTCTGTCCTGACTGTCATAATTACTATTATCTGTTTTTAATACAAAATGGGGCCATAAGACAAAAAATCATTTTCGTCTCTATACTTCAAAGGTTAAAAGGGTTAAATAATGGATTCTGCGACCTTGAAGATTGTGAAAGTATGCTAAATTTCCAGCAACTTAAATAGAGTCAATTCTGCCAATTTCTACGAAAAATTTCCAATGTACTATATACCTGAAGTCTAATGGGTGATTCTTGGGAAATGTGTTCTCCGTGTAATTTCCAGGGCATTTTTGAAATCGCAAAATTATGGTGAATACATAAACATTTCGAAAACTTCTGCAAATTTAAAAAACATATTAAAATTGGCCACGACTGAGATCTATACTTTTGCTAAAAATAAATGTAGAAAATTGACGGACCATGGAAATTACAATAAAGGCAACGGAAATTACACAGCAGATAAAATTTTGCTAAACACCATGTCATATATGAAATTAAGCTGTCATATTAGTTAGGGTAGTATTAAGATCTACCTACATTATACTGAAACGATATACGATAGTACTTACTCAAAATTGGAACGAAACGTAAACACGTTCATGTTCTAAAAAAACAAAATATATACAACGTGTTATGGAAATCAGGTGGTAGCTCAGCCCATAAAACTGAACAACTTTCACTATGGGACCAACATTGAAATTTCAGCATCTGGCAAATTTTTCGAAGTAACGTTACATCGGACAAACAAAAGTCGGGCGTCGAAGTAAGATATGCGATGTATTGAAACTTCGAACAATGAAGGCTTCGACGTACTCGTATAGTTGTCGATGTATCAATTATCGAAGAAACGTATTTTGAAGTGACATAGAGAACCCTTTTTCGAAATGGTTATTTATTTTGTCAATTATAAAATACGCATCCTACGTCAAATATCAATAATTAATTTATTGTAAATTTCATTTAACACCAATTTGGTACCTGTAGGGCCAGTGGTTTTCTCAAAAACGATAGATAGCGAACACATGTCATAAGTAGATATTAGGAGGTTATTTCAGTCAAGATAACCCCCTTGGCTATCTATCGTTTTTGAGAAAATCATTGGCCCTACAGGTACCAATTTAGTGTTTAATCAAAGTAAATTTTTACAATAAGTAAATAAATTATATAATATGTTAACTTAATCCGGTGATATTTAAGACGATTTAATTAAAAAAAATAACCAACATTCAACATTTAAGTCTGTATTTGGCGATGGCGTGCATTTCATTGAAAACAAACATTGAACATAATGTTTGTTTCTTTTTCAACCAAAAAGAAACAAGGTAATTTCCATGGGTGATACGTAATTTCCATGGTGTTTTATCCATGGAAATTACACCATGGAAATTACCAAAAAACATATATTTTGCAATTACTCTGCATTGAAAAGATATAACCGGCTAGTTTTTTACTGTTTATCTACATTATAGAGCTAGATATTTCACCTTAAAACCCATTTTCTAGAAGAAGTACAATTATATTGAAAAAAATGTGACATGGCAAGGCCGGATAACTGAGAACCAAAATTTAAGAAATTGAAGAGCTTATTCTCGCAACGAAAGCGCGGGAAACAGCGACGTGGTCACCTCACCTGCTAGCTGCGGCGTAAATGACGATTCGTAAACACCAATCGGAGTTCGTCTACGCCTCTCCAGCTCAGAACAGTATCTCGCGCAAGGCGCGCCGTGAAAATTTTGCTAAGCGTGTGACACGTATACTTCTGACCATAAAATCAAAAGTTTCCTTCCGATTAATTTGAAATTTGATCAATATGTAAACCGATTTGTCTTTTTTAAATTTGTGTTACAAACTGATTAAAAACGTGGGTAATTTCAAAAATATTTGCGATTGCTCAAAAGTCGGCGCGCGTGTGACACGGTAAAAACGTGCAAAATTGACCGGATTTGAGGTGTTGAGGGTAAGTTACTCCGATTTACGTCGTTTTTTATCCGTGAAATCTATATAACACGATGCGTAATGAAATGAAGAAACGATGTAATAGTAGTTTTTATCATAATAATTTATTTTTATAGGAGATATGTCCCTGTGACACTCAAAAATTGCTTTTTCAAGAAGTACCCTAATATTATTTGTGCAATGTCTTCCTAACAATTCAATATTGACAGATATATTTATTATTTTATGATCTAGTAACAAGAATGTGTCTTAAAGGGTTGTAGTCAAAGCGCTATTGACTCTCCACCATTACGCCGACATTAGCAGAATTTCCCTACCGGACACTTGTTATTTGCAGAGTTAATACTAGTAGATATTTATAGTCGCTTTACATTAACTCGATAGTTTCAAGATTTTCTTTATTTCATTTTATTCCGCCCGACTTTTAAATAAATTTTCTGAATTTCGGGGGATGAACACCTGTTGCCATACCTATTGCAGTATTTGCGGAAACAAATCGTCAGCCAAGACACTTTATCCCATTTTGGAACAATCATAATGTACTTACTTGCCTTGACACTTACTGGAGTCGAGAAAGTATTTGCGGAATCATGTTTGAATAAGGCCAGCTTGCATTTGCACTGATGACGTCATGCGTTATGATATTAGCTTGCTCGTCCGTCACATCCATTGTCATGAACCTGGGAATGACGTGTGCTTTTGTCGATGGAATAAGTTCACATCTGGTGTACATTGGGCTGCTAGATTTAGTATTCAGGCTATGCATAATTTCTGAATCCGCCTTGTTCGTGTCATAATTACAATAATTTCCTAGATTTGGTCCCCCATCTTTGTTTATGTACGGGAATCAGTACAGTTCTCTTAGCATTTACATCTAGGCATTCCGCGAAATGAAGACTCGCGTGAGTAATTGCCTCGAGTTGAGCACTCGAACAGATTTCCTATGCACCTGTCCTCGGATGTTGAGCGATTTGCGTTGCATTTATTGGAAGGTACAATAGATACTTACCATTTTAAGTCATTCAGTACTGGGTCTGGTAATCCGAATAGGTAGTAATAATAGGTAGTAATTTAAGCTGTGTTAGTATTGCAGTGTGCGACAGTGTTATCACCCTGTTCGAATCACAAACAAGGCATAGTCGAGTCTCCCCATTAGGAACTGGGCCTGTCTGAGGGACCAACCGCCTTGTACAATCTGATGCTGAAGTGCCATGCGTAGCGTGAAGCGTTCGGTTCAAACAGGGACTTCACTAAATGTTCAGTACTGAGTCTGGTAGTTTGATTCGGTGGTAATGGTGATCTTTGGGCAACTGTCGATGGTAGTATTGCAGTGTGCGACAGTGTAGTCACTCTCTTCAAATCACAAACGAGGCAAAGTCGAGTCTCCTCATTAGGAACTGGGCCTGTCTGAGGGACTAACCGCCTTGTACAATCTGATGCTGAAATGCCATGCGTAGCGTGAAGCGTTCGGTTCAAACAGTGACTTCGCTGAATGTTCTGTACTGAGTCTGGTAGTTTGATTCTGTGGTAATGGTGATCTTTGGGCAACTGTCGATGGTAGTATTGCAGTGTGCGACAGTGTAATCACCCTCTTCGAATCACAAACGAGGCAAAGTCGAATCTCCCCATTAGGAACTGGGCCTGTCTGAGGGATTAACCGCCACGTGTAGTAGCCTCGTGCTGAAGTGCCATGCGTAGCGTAAGGCACTTCGGTTCCGACAGGGACTTACCCCTGACTTCCCCGGCACTTCCCGGCACCTCGTGACCATGTTGGTCACGATGCATCAGGCAACGCCGAGGAAGCTCAGAACCAGCACACACTGCTCGAAGTTGAGAGACCACCCTAAGCGCTGCTATTGTGGTAACGCAGTTGTTGTGTTGGTCTAGGCAGCAAAGTTTTTGAGTACCGATGGCGGTTCAAAGAGACACTTCAGTTGCATTAGGTAGGTTGTTGTATGTCAGTCTCAAGAACCTGTGAACCAGATGTTGTTTGGCGATACTCAAATGAAAATACTTTTGGCTCGGATAAATTTTCGTAAACCATTCGTTTTGTATGAGAATGTTCGGAATACGAAAATTATTGATCAGTCGAAAAGGTTTTATTTTGACAAATCAGTGTCGTTTTAAATGAAATTGTCGGGCTTTAACATTAGAAGAGGAAATGATACAAAACAGGGTGGTTTTTGTAATCTCTAGTATATTAATTTGAGCATTGCAAACGATATTTGAAGATGGCTTAAAATCCCACGCATAAAAATATAATTTTTATACCATCACATACCTACATAGTTTAGATACCAAATGATATAGTTAAACACTTGTATTATGGAAATCTGAAACAACGAAGGTAACAACACCCAGACCAGAGACAATATAGAAAAGCTCATTATCTGCATTAACATGACTGAGAGTGGAATGCGGGAGCTCACACCTTGACACCTTGGAACTGGTGAGCCACTCGCCCAAGATCCGACATATGCAATCTGGAACATCCTGATTGTTCCATAAACTTACAGATCGCATTAGATAGCCCCCTCCAATGTGTCATGTCATGCATTGTATTTATTTCTAAAGTTTAATGAACTGGTTTCATTACCATTTAAATATTGGTGTGTACTTCTGGTAAAAGTCCATTCCAGAGAAGTCCATTTGAACAAACATTATTTTGACTTTGACTTTGAACTCTGAATTTGGCAAAAATTTCTGTAAAGACACCTCAGAAAACTTCTCCATGGCTCTGAACACATCAGTGCGTCTGCCACTTAATATTTGGAAAATATAATCCTTGTTGAATGTTGATTAGATTTTATCAAAAAGCATTAAGGTCTTTAGCAATAGATCAATCTGCAATTTATTGTAAACTAGTTCTAAACTAATTGATTCATACTTTAATTCTGTTAAGGTATTTGTTAATGCTGTAGATTGTACCATTTCTATAAAATTTAACTATAATGACTTCTATTATTGCAAATAAAGATCTCTTAAATCATCAATTGTTGTAGCAGAAACAAATCGCCTCAACTTATAATTTAATTTGAGCATGTTTCATCTAATTTGGTTTCACCATATACTGGGTCTTTAACGTTATTAAGGAAAAAAAAAATCCTATTTGAACTTGTGTTGATTGTTTTACTATAGTAGGTACATAAAAAAAATTATCACCAGTCGTAACCGCTGCAAGTAGGAACTGTTCAGGACCATGGGGTCGTAGGGAACGTGATGGTGGCTGTGGTTGCCATAATTGCGGTCCTGGTATGGATACTATGTGCTATTTTGCTATGGAAAAATGCACAGGTGGATTTAGTTTTCCAGTTTTTATCATGCATTATCAAAAAATGTCACTGGTTGGGGTAACAAATCGAATGCAAATCACTTACAGTTTTTCTCGCCTCTGTACCTTACTTGCTCTCTCCGAGCTGGAATCCGACGACGCTGTTCGATGAGCTCGAAGACAATAGAACAGGCCTGCTTCAATGCTGTTTTCTTTGTTTATTTCACTGTCCCGTTGCTCCATCGCGAAGGGAGGTTAATTTTATATTAATTTCATTTTAATTTTAACACTAAACTATATAATAATAAGTATAATTTGTGCACATTTTATGTAGGACCGATGTTTTCGCCACGAAAAACGACGCTATAATGACGGTAAGCGTTCGTGCCTAAAAGTCATTGGTTCGCTACCCGCAAACTAGATGGCAGCACAAGCGCCGGAAGTAAGAAGGGAGGTAGTGTTTTTGACCGGAAACGTTACAAAAAGGATGATGCTTGACTCAAGATGGATTCCGGATATCGAACGGAACAAATAATATAATTATTTTTTTTTCTGCAGGTATTAAATCAGTTCAAGATGCCGATACACGCGAGGTACATGAAGATATTGCCGGTCAAATGGCACGGTGCTATTGAGATGAGAGTGGAGCCTATTGGCTGTTTTGAACCCTATCGTTAGTATTAATTCAGACGGATTTTATTTTAAATTTATTATTTATTTATAAATGTTATGCGGACTAAAGTCAACACAAAAACTTACATTTAATTAATTTTTGTGTGAATTATCTGAAATATAACGATGATTGTGAAAAACGACGAAAAAATAATGCGAAAACCTTTTTACCCTTAAATAGTATTATATGTTATGTCGGATTTATATAGCGTGCTATTTCAAAAGAAAAGAAATTAGAATTTCTCAAAGTAATATGTCCAATTTTGCTATAATTACAACATCTATACAAGCACGAATCTTGACTATTCTCTCGTTTACTTTTGTTTTATCTCCCTAACGTGCTTAATTTACAAAGACAATGTTAGTGATCCTCATCTACACATATCACATTTTATTATCAGCTACAAAGACCACGCCCTTGCCGATTGACGAAGAGACTACGGTAGCCTGTAACATATGTCCCAACGTGCCGACTAGTACCTGCATATGTTCCGGCGCCACATACTATGACGGAGAGACCTGTGTACCCCGCGACCAGTGCCCCTGCGTTAGGGGATACCTTACGTGAGTATAGGGGATAACTTACGTTGAGTATAAACATACCTCACGTAAGTATAGGGGATGAGTCACGTTGAGTATAAGAATACCTTGTGAGTATAGGGGATGAGTCACGTTGAGTATAAAAATACCTCATGTGAGTATTCCGATAAGTCACGTTGAGTATAAAATATCTTACGTGAGTATAGGAGATAAGTCATGTTGAGTATAAAAAATACCTTACGTGAGTATAGGGGATAAGTCACGTTAAATATAGAGTATATCTTACGTGAGTATATAGTATAAGTTACCTTGAGTATAAGCGATAAGTTACGTTGATTATAGGTGAAACCTCGTGTAAGAATAGACTATAATTCACGTCCAGTATGGGGATACTTCCATATTGATTACTAGCTGTTTTCCCGCGACTTCGTACGCGTAATTAGCCTATATCAACGGGTATGATGTAGCTACCAGTTGTTGAAAGAATTTGTAAAATTGATCCAATAGTTTCGGAGCCCATTCAATGCAAGCAAACAATTCTTTATAAACAAACAACTCTGTATAATATTAGTATAGATAGATTTTAGTTGAAAAGGATCTGATAGAGAATATTAAAACAAAATGTTTCGCAGGTATCCTGTCGGATCGTCGTTCCGTGGTGAGAATTGCGACGACTGTATATGTAAGATAGGCGGCGTCACAGACTGCGAGCCTGTTAAAGAATGCCAGTGTGCGCCGGTAAGTACTTGTAACTTAATCATATGGTCCTTCGAGCCGGATTCAAATATTATCGTGTAATATTACAAATCTGAAAGTATATTTGTTTGTGCTTAACACATTCACTGCGGCTGCGCTAGATTAAAACTTACTTCCAGTGCTGTACAAGTAACATACTTCCCGTATCAAGAATGCCTGATATGCGTTACGACGTCTATTTTCCCGTACGTAGTCCTGACTTCAAACCTCCACAGAGACATGGAAAGTCCACAGCTGATGTTTTTTGTTGTACCAACACATAGGTTAAATCCTTGTGTATACAGGTCTGCAGTCGCACGGAGTTCTAAGTAATATCTTAAAAGTTACATGTATTTCTTGAAATGGTTGATTTTACGGGAAAATACTTGCCGTGGCGCATACAACAGTCATATTGCTAGGGATGGGGTGTAATAAGTAAAATATTTTTTTTGTTTCAGATTTATTTTTGTTTATTCAAGTCGTGCACAATCAACGACAACTATTTTTAACAACAATAATAAGTAATTGACTATGTTAATGTTAACTTAAAAAATCAGTAAATTCTTATTTTATATTATAATTTATTTTAGGTACTTAAAAAAGCTAAATTATAAAAAAATGTCCCTGATTTATTTATCACAATCATTTATTTTACTCGATACTTTAATCAACAGAAAAAATAACTAAAAAACGCAACAGTACATGTACCTTAACTTGAAATTATATAAACTTTAATATTTTTTACATAACAAGCTGCATTATCACGACTAATAGGAACTTTGAGTATAATTTGAGATCTAATTCAATTATGAATATAATTTTTACTAAAGCCTAAAAGCATAGTGGTAGAAATGCTTAAAATATTTATGAATAATAAAATATAACGTTTCTTTAAAAAAAAAAACATCTTAAAAAGTTTTCTACATAACAAAAGATATCGTAATTATTTATTTGATACAACAATCAACAGAAAAATTGTAATTAAAAAAATACAGGTGCTACCACATTAATAGTAACTTTGTGCATTGTGAAATCAAAAGTAAGATACTTTTCTTAAGTATCATGCACTTTATTGTAACACTCTAAACACATAGGCTTTTCACATTCTTTACAAAACGTACGCACTTTTTTAACCTTTTTATTCGTTTCACGACTGCTAAACATTTTCCTCAAATCTTTGTAGCAAATATGACATTTTTTAAATTTATCTGCTTTGATCAAGGTGTGGATTATTCGTTGTTTTTGTCCACTGGTATTTGGATCGGTGAAAGATGTCTTAGTCATGGATTACGTTCTGTAAAAACGTATTAACGGGGCACAGCACTACGACTAACTGAGGCTCCGCGTGTGCGCACGTTCAGTGCGGTGCGGGGTTAAGGATACGGCCAAATAGTTCCTGTATCGCACTATTGTAAAAAATTTACCTTTCTGTGCGTTACGAAAAAATAATTCCCGTACATTTTTATTCGTAAATTTTATACACTTCAAGCAAAGACACCGGCAATATAGGCGTCTCTTTTTTACTTGTACGAATACTTGAAGAAATAACCCTCGCACGGAGTGCAAAACAAGGATAACTAGCTGCCGCACAGAGCAGAACTCAATTACGACTAAATACTTCCCGTAACGCAGTGAATGTGTTAATGATTATATCAAAATGAGGTTGTAAGGGTTCTGGTTTTCAACATGGAGATCATCAAAATAGCATGGTGACAGTTGTGGTGTTTACATGGAGATGTTATAAAAAGGTCAAAATCTTTAGGATACCTGATATTCTACTAAAAGGTTTTCTTACAATGGCAACTATGCAGTCATCAATTATTTTTGGGGGAAATTATTCAATAATATATAAAAAATAATGTAATCAACGCGAAAAACGATCTAAAGACAGCATCTCGTGCATGAAATTTGTTTTGTTTTCCGTCCATAAAGAAGGCTTTTGCACCGACAGGAGGATATCAATTGGTCGTCGCTCGATGAGAAATAATAATCGCTCGTCAAATGCCGAATTTTCCCAGATGCTAGTACCGAAGCTAGAGGAAAAGCCATCGTGCGAATGCATATGCGCGCCGTGTCCCGCGGGGACCCGCATATGTCCCACCAGCAAGCTGTGCCTCGCCCACGAAAAGTGGTGCGACGGCCTGCAGGACTGCCCCGACGACGAGCGGGACTGCGCCACCACGCCCGCCACCACCCGCCATACCGAGCCTGAGGTGGTCACCACTGTCGTGGTCACTGTCGCTGTACAACCCACCATGTTCCTTACCACCACGCCTAAACGTGAGCATTTTGTAATTGTCGTTACATTAGTGAGTATACAGGGTAATTTGCTAAACATCAGCAACCTCGCAGATAGCAGGCACTAAAATCGGGCCCCCCTTGCACTATACCTGGTTCTTCTTATCCGCGTGAGATGAACTAACCTGCCCTTTTCAGGGTAGGGTGGAAGGAGAGCCCTGGTTAACGGATTAAAGGCTAAACGAGCATTTAATCTGAGTTATAAAAAAAAGGATTGCAGATACTAGAAAGCTAAGGTCATAAACGAAAACTTGTTCTACGATTGTAACCATAACTCAAAATTGATGACCAAAAATGTGTTTTAAACTTTAACAGTACTGTCTTCATATTTATAGGTCTATGTTTTATTTACAAACGAAAGATCAAATACCTATACAATATATATAATTAAAAGTATATAATATACCGCATGAAATACAAGATACAAGTTAACATTAGAGCGGTAAATTGTATTAGAATTCCACGAAAGCAAAATTTATTTGCTTTTGAAAGTTCTTTTGCTGTGTGACATATGGCCCTCTTGCCGTTTCATGGTACTTTACAGCTGGAAATCAGTGTTTTGCTCCCACAACAAAACTATTTTATAGTAGCGAGCTCTAACTATTTTATATCGTCATGCCTTACTTTATAGGTAGCCATTAATGGACTATATTTTTTAACTGTCAGATTGCCAAACAAGACCAAATGCGTTAACAACTATACCATTGAATTTCTCAAATGCTTAACTAGTTATATAGTTTAGTCCGTTTGGTAACTGTTGAGATTATAAAACATTTGTGTACAGCTGTGGAATGTCCAGTGGTGCAATGTCCCCCTGGTTACATGGTGAAGTACATAAACAGCGCGTCACACACTCGCTCGTACACGTCCGATCTGCCGCCGCCGAGACCGAGGTACTCCTACCAACGGTACTACCGCGGCGGAGCTAAAGGGGGATATACTAAAGGTGGCTATTCAAAGGGAGGCTACTCTAAAGGTGGATTCTCGAAAGGTGGTTACAGCGGTGAGTATTTTAATTAAATATAATTTATGTTACTTTTTAGGGTTACTAACCCAAAGAGTTAAACGGGAACCCTATTACTAAGACTTCACTGTCTGTCTATCACTGAAGCGTGAAAGTTAGACAGTTGAAATTAGTTTAAATCTTTTCAGATAATTTTTTAATTTTTAGTTTTTGTTGCTACTATTGCATTTAAAAAAATAAGTAAAAATAATATTTAAGGTGTCTCCCATACAAAAATAGTGATTTTTGGTTAAACTTCAATTTATATATATTTTTTGTATATGGTCTGTTAAATATTTTTTATGCTGAAATATTTCATATGAAAGAAGTTAAAATGATTTCAATTTAGATGCCAACGAATCTGGATATTAAACGTATTTTCGGTTTATATCGCGTCGATATTTAGAATTCAAAATGCTATCAAATTTAAGTAAAAGTCTAGGAAGGAAGTTTTGTTTTTCCAGGTTGTTTTTGTAGTTTATAGTCCAGGTTGTTGCTAATATAATAATGCTGCATGCACCAGGTCCGCCCCGTCCGGGTGGCGCGAGTCAAGCGTTCACGTTGGACAAGCCCACATCCGCGCCCGCCCCCTCGTCCGCTTCCGCCCCCGTGTGCGTGCAGTTCACGTGCGTGCCCGTGCTGCCGCCCCCGCCCCGCCCCGGCGTCAAACCTGTGCCGCTGGAGTGCTCCGCGCCCGTCTGCCCCCCTCAATACTCCTTGCGGCTGAACCTCGTGCCCGCTGGAGCCAACCAGTGCCCGCAGTTAGTATATATCTACTACACATGTAATACTCACATGTAATACACATTTTAAAACACATACTCTACATGTAATGAATGCTATTTTAGTTTCCTTCAATAAATTCCATTTACCAGGTTCATTGTCACTTTTCACTAAACTCCTTCTAGGCGATATCTCTCTTTTCGGATGCGTCCATATGATATCTCACTTTTGGCCCGAGAAAAGTGACGTTTGAAGTAAACAAAACGTTTCTAGAGTTTGTCATGCTACACGCTGGCTGCTGAATCCAGAAATTTGTACAGTTATACGATAAAGTTGGAAAATGGCTGGGTGTCTCCCCACGATTTTCATTTCTTTGACGTTATACGCGTTCACGTAATTTTATAAGTTCGATAACCACCAATAATGATTTGGTCGGTAAAGATTAGTATTGGCTTGCTCCTCCTTCATCACGCTTCCACTTTACCATTGCATATCTCCAAGAACATGACAAAATATGCAAGAGTTTTGTAAGAACTAATAAAGTTGGTTGAAGTGGTCTTTACGATTCATACTTCGAAGCGGACCATTACCAAACGATTCACCGCAACCTGACCTTCATATTTCTTCAACATCATGAAGTATCAATAGTTACAAATCGTTTTTATTCGATAAAATGTCGGTCTGTTCGCGTAACCAATGTGATATGGTGTGTAGATATTCGTGCGTGCCGCCTCCTCCTCGGCCGGTGTACTGTAACGTGACGGGGCGCGCGGTGAGCACGTTCGACGGCGCCGAGTACAAGTACGAGCTGTGCGACCACATACTCGCCCGGGACACCAGGCGGGACGCGTGGACTGTACTCGGTCAGTGATCACATCATACAACTGTACCTTACATTCCGCGTCTGCCAAATTATTTCAATCGCATGTGTAGAAGCTTTTCTGGTCCCCACACTAGACTAAGCCTGGCCTGTGGAGGGCTTTACTCCAGTTACAATTATTGTTATTACATTTCATACGTCACTTTAACAACTAAATTATATTACAAAACAAGTTATGAACCCAATCGTTAACCTTATAAACAAAATTTGATGATATTTTAATAATGTTTTAACAATTTTATTGGTAAAACCTTAAGGAGACCTCACTTAGATATTTTTATATCTTAAATATATTTTATTAAAGAATATTAACGATTTTATTGTAAAAGTTGTGTAATTTATTAATAAAAAAACAACAGTCGCATAGGACTAGATGGCTAATATCATAATCGACAGCGTTTCATTTACCAGTTCTGATAATTCTTTACATTTACTCTACGTCCAACATAAATATGCAGGTACTTCACACAGCGTGCAAATGAACCGTCGTTCTTGGAGAATCACTATTATTCAAAGTATAATGTTAAAACTCGTACAGCAAATAATGTTAACTATTTAGTCTTACTGCATTTGGAATGAGAATAACCCTGTATATTCCTATGGCATCGGAAAATTGTAAATATCACAAGGAACTGTGCAAAATATGTGGCGAATAAAAACCAATAATCTTAACCCTAATCTCTGAAATAAAGATTTAACAGCGTTGGGAGCAATATAGTTTTTGATTATTATATTTTGACTTTATTCAGTACGCAAGAAGTGTCGTCTGGAGGGTTGCCAGAACACGTTGTTAATCCACCAAGACGACCAACTGATCAAGGTCAAACCCGACCTGATGTTAGAGTATAACAACTACGAATATACAGTAGAGCAGACGGCCAAGATATGCTTCCAACGGAACAGTTTCAACGTCGCACGCGTCGGCAACGGACTGTTCATATCCTCCAGGAAATATAACTTCACGGTTCTATTTACTGCCGATGGAGATATCAAGATTGGGGTGAGTAAATTAATGTGAACTTTATTGTTAACCTAATAATGTCCCTCTGCTGAGACGCGAGCTTTCCATATTGATAGAATCATATACGGATAATAGGCCATTACCCAATGTAGATTACTAGGCATTGAAGACTAGATATGGGGCCGGAATCAACAGCTTAACGTGCATATTATAAATTATCAGACCTTAATCTCCGCTTTGCAGACCAAATGCAATAAACATTGAGCCATAACGATCCTAAACGAACGTGAACGTTGTCAAGTCAGCCGTATAGCCGATTCCTATATCCTCAATTTTTTGCGGCGACCTGTAATGTAATCTGTTTCGGGCTGTCTACGTCAGGTGCACATGAGAAATATCTAAAGATGGGTCATGCTCTATCTGGAGCTGGCACGGTTGTCGTTTTCATCGTGGCCAAATATTTTAGGAAAATAAAAACATAAATATTGCTGAAATTGTAGCGGAAGCTACGGGGTACTGCGAAAAAATTGTGAGAATTTTAGTAATTGCTGGGAATTCAACAACTGAAAATGTGGGTCAGTTAAAATTTTACTCGCGAAAATTTGAATTTCTGGAAAGTATGAAAAAACATCAACTGCAAATTCTAATAAATGACACACAAAAAGAGCTTGTTTACAGAATACACAAATTCTTCGTTAGATAAAAAGATAAATCTCACTTTACAAAATCAGTATGAATCTCTTGTGACTCCATGATATTTCCTGCCCACACCCCGCCTTCCGCGCTTACCCAAGGACCGGTATAGCGATGTTGGTCAGATTATGCTTGTGCAGACTTTAATTTTCCCCATAATCGACTATGGTGATGTGTGTTACCTCGACCTGAACGCAGATCTACTCAATAAACTTGACCGTGTTTTAAACAACTGCATTCGATTCGTTTTCAATCTCCGTAAATACGACCACGTGTCTGCCCATCGCTCCCTTTTGAAATGGATGCCTATTCGAAAGCGTAGAGATGTCCGTGCTCTAACAACCCTGTTTTCTTTGTTGCAATCACCTAACGCTCCAAGCTACCTCATTCCACACTTTCAGTACTTATGTACGAGTCATACAAAAGACCTTCGATCTTCTTCTAATAGACTACTTATGTGTCCTGCTCATCACTCTGACATCATCCACTGTTCCTTTTTCGTTAAAGCCATTATCCTATGGAATGCACTCCCCACAGACATCAGAATGTCCGCCAGTCGGTTTGCTTTTAAAACCAAGTTGCGCAATTTAATATTAGATCAGGCAGAATCATAAAAATTGCTATCTCATTTCTAAAAGGCATAGTATTTATAAGTATGTATTGTATTTATTTTTATTATATTATATATGTATTATGTTATATATAGTATGTATGTTTGTGTTATGCTTATTTTATATTATTTTTTTTTCTCTCAAAGATTACATATGCACCTACTTTTATCCTTTATTTTAATCTCCACATCACCTAAAGGTTGACTGGCAGAGAATGCCTAAGGCATTAAGTCCGCCTTTGTACGATTGTGCATAAAGAATTAAATAAATAAAAAATAAATTATAATTGTCTACAATTTTACAGCAGCTCTGTTCGGCGACCGAAATATAATAGTAATAATGTTCTAAATATAACCGTAGTACAAGTATTACAAGACCTGTATATGAATATAGGTAATAAAAGACTACATGGGTTACGTGGACGGCTTGTGCGGCGCGTTCGACGGTTCCCTGCGCAACGAGCAGCGGCTGCCGGACGGTAGACTGGCGACCAGCGGGGAGGAGATGGCGGCCGCGTGGGGTCGGCCCGGGCTGCCGAGGGACGCGTGCCGCACGCGCGTCGCCCAACAGCAGGAGCAGCGGCGGGCCTGGGAACTGTGTGACGTCATCACGTGAGTGTACACACACAAGTAGGACTTCCGTCCGTCTGCCGAGGGACGCCGGGATGTGTGTGACGTCATCACGTGAATGTCCATTGCCACCCCTCAATCGTCGGACAACAGAGAGACGGTTCGTTAAATAGAAATGTTAAAATACGTGTCTGAGTAACCAGAGACGAATTGACAAACTTAATTTAGACACTAACTCCTAAACTGGTGTAAACCCGTATCTTAGGAGTGAGTGATCCCTCACGAAAAAAAAAATTCTATCCTTGGTAGTGTAATGTAGGTGTTAATATTGTTATTTTTTTATAATTTAAAAGAAATTATACACATACGTACTAGTTAAGTAGACACTAGCCAAATATCATTTTAAAAGTTCTTCTGTCTCCAAAGAATTGAGTGTTAATAGCATATCTTGCATTATCTTGCATTATCCTTTTAGTCGAACGGTAAGGAACCTTGGGATAGTTATGGACAGTCATTTGAATTGGGATGCACAACTGCAAGCTGTCAGCCGCAAATTATATGCATCAGCCGCTTCATTGAAAAGACTTCGAAACTTCTTACCCACTGCCACTAAAGCTGCGCTAGCGCAATCTTTGCTGCTTCCTATCCTCGATTACGCCGACGCCTGCTATCTTGATCTTTCGGAGGACCAGCTTAATAAACTTGAGCGTTTACAAAACTTTTGTGTCCGTTTCATATTTGGTTTGCGCAAATATGACCATGTTTCTCATTTTCGTTCTGAACTCAAGTGGCTTCCTATACGTCTTCGCCGGAATTCTCATATATTATCCCTTCTCTATAACATATTGTTCAATACTAGTTACCCTTGCTATCTAAAAGATTGTTTCAGTTTTCTGCACTGCTCAAATTCCTATTCTTTGCGATCATCGGAGAACCTGAGTCTTGCGATTCCATCTCATCACACTTCATTTTTTGATTCTTCTTTTACCGTACAAGCTGTTCGTCTATGGAATTCACTTCCACTTTCAATCAGGCGAGCGCAATCCTTACAAATATTTAAAAAATATGTTAAAGAATACTATCTCACACAATAATATAATTACTGCTGCCGTATTATCGCTTTTTCCTGTTTTGATATTAATAGGTGTATGTATATATTTATATATGTGTGTATGTATTTGTTGTTAATGAATATATTTTTTGACTCGTATTTATTTATTGTACATTTGTATGTGTATTTAGCAATAAAATTTTGTTTTTTTTTTTAGTTACTTTAAATAAGTCATTAGTGTGCCTCAATGATATATTGTTAACATTTACACCCCCATCTTCATTATTCATGTTATCTCTCTCCATCCACTGGTTGCCTGGAAGAAATCGCTTTAAGCGATAAGGCCGCCAATTGTTTCATAATAGTGTTAATTTACTATAAATTATGTAATTAATTGTCTAATGTGAACAATAAAGAGTTTTGTATTGTATCTTTAAGACCTCATATTTAGATATGGCATAACAGAATTAGCACAGTGAGACGTTGTAAATACGTCGTATAGCTTCGTACTTAAAGCCCAGAACTGAAGACTTTGCAATTGTAATACCATTGCCAACTAGGGTACCGTGGTCTGCTTTCAATGATTTTCAGCACAGCTCGCTGAGAGCGTTCCAGTTTCATTAACAAGACTTTATTAGCACTAAGAAACACACTAAGAAAAGAGTCTCATGTTCAGCGAAAAGGCGTAGATTTTTGAAAATATAAGCGAGTCTTCGAAGTCTGCCTGTAACAATCTCTATGTGATAATGCCAGTCCAGTCTATCGTGAAGATTCTCAACCAAATAAGTCAGACTACTTACTATCCTCAATGGTTTAAATTCACATGAATTAGGTACGCAATCTTGGTAATCATGTATGATGTATCTTTATATCAATTGGATTCAAGTCTGATCCAGTGGTCCTAGAGATGCATAACCTTTGTTTTCTCCAGATTAAGAGTTGATAGGCTAAAAGAAAGCCATTCCTTAACTCTTTCCATGGCTTTTTCTGTAAAGCGTTTTGCTTCATTCTAATTACTTCCACAAACCAAAAGTGCAGTGTCATCAGCATTAGTAAAAATCTAGCAGTTTTCTAAATACAGACGGTATAATTGGTCAACGTAAGCAAGAAACAGCGTCGGCCCCAAGATGCTTCCCTGAGAAACACCATACTGTATAAATTTTATAAATCTTGACAATTAAATTTTTTCGCTGAGGTGTTTGTTATAACTAATCTACGTTTAATTTACGTTTAAAAAACTTATCTACGTTTTATTGACAATGACAAATACTTCCATTAAATTTAAATTCATCTTCAATTTCACAATCTCCAGAAAAGAGCCGTTGTCGAGATGTGGTAAAGTAATGAACCTGGACAAGTGGCGCAACATCTGCCTGGAGAAGATCTGTCACTGCAAGGATCTGGTGGTGAATGGCACCAAGCGGACGGAGGAGCAGTGCCGCTGCCTAGTTGTGGAGCAGATGGTGGCTGAATGCTTGGCGGCCGATAAAGAAGCCGATATCAGCACCTGGAGAATGCAGCTTGATTGTCGTGAGTTGTCATTGTTTTTTGTATTTATTTGTAAATTTATTTAAATATCTACAGTATTATAGGTGTAACAGAATCTGATGGCAAACGGGAAAATTTTATTTTGTAATAACATTGGGGAAGAGGATGAAAACGTATTGATACTTGTAATATTTTTAATATAATAAACACTTTTTTATGTAACTGTCCAGTCTAACTTTTGGTTGTCTGGAAGATATTGCTTTTTAGCGATAAGGCCGCCAATTGTACTGTTTATTGTTATTAATTGTTATGTTGATTTTATTTTCAAGTACAATAAAGTGTTCATTCATTCATTCACTTTATAACTTCCTTATAAAATTGAACGTACTATGTCTTCATATCTACACCTTCGCTAATAATTAATTTTATTGTATTAATCGATTCGCCAACGAATATTTACGAATTAATTCTTTTAAAAAAATAAAGCATCAAGACTCGTCATTGCTATTTACCGGTCAATTCATAACCACACTTTGAAATCAAAAAATATCGTTGATCTTCGTTTCTTTTGTTGATTAAAAAACCGGCCTAGTGAGAGTCCCACTCGCGCACGAAGGGTTCCGTATCGGAAACGGGCACGGGCAAAAAAAAAACACGTTTTTTTGTATGGGAGCCCCGTTAAATATTTATTTTATTCTGTTTTTTTGTAAATATATAGTAGTAAATTACGGAAATTTATGAAATAAAGCTGAAATACATTTCTTTTTATCGATTCACAGTCAATAGCGTGTAAGATTATACAAAACAGTCAAATTTCTCCACTCGATTTTAAAAATTGATCAAAATTACTCCTAAAATTTACTTGATTTGCGACATAAAACAAGACCACCTATTACGTTAATGTTAAAGAGTTCGAGCAGTTAAGGGGTTTGCTGTCATCTGGTCATCAAAAGTTTTTTTATGGTAGTTCGTGGAGCCAAACGTTTGAAAACCCCTATCTTAATACATCGAGGGTAGAGTTCAAAATCAATTCACGGAATTTTAACATATCGTAGTTATCAGACGGGCACATTATTCTGTTTCTCTTTTGTATATTTCAGCTGCTGAATGTCCCCCGCCTCTGGTACACAACGACTGCTACCGTCACCGGTGCGAGCCCAGCTGTTCCGCTGTGGGCGAGGGGGGCGCGGAGGGCGCGTGTCCCGCTGTGGAGGGGCAGTGCTTCCCGGGCTGTTACTGTCCCGCCGGGACCCTGCGTGCCGGGGATCGCTGCCTCGCGCCCCGGGACTGCCGGGACTGTGAGCAGCACTACTTACAACTATTCAAAGACAAAGCTTACTTTATTTTTTCAGCTTATCTCTTGAGATGACTCTTTTTTTATTGTCATCAATAATTATTCACTATTAAGAAACTACATTGCCAAACACATTACAAAACATTCAGATTTAATCTATGTTCCAAATTATATAAGTATATAAGGTATAACAACATTATTTGGTCGATGCGATCCAGCATACACAGAAGTAGCGTTTTTAATCTGTTTTTATGATTTTAATTAAATGAATCTCGAATCCTTTATCTAATTTTGTTTGCAAATCGCGGTAGCAAGCAAGATAACCAGCCATATTTAAGAGATAGATAAAATTTAATGTGCTTTATGATCAGGTGTGTGTAAGGGGGTGGGCACACCTGCCGACTACACCACATTTGAAGGTGACACGTTTCCGCTCCTCGGGAACTGTACCTACCTCGCCTCCCGGGACAGGAACGAGACGGGACTGCACAAATACGAGGTATACAATACTACTTTCCTGAATTCCTAGTTTTCAATACAGGTATAGACAATAAACGAAAATAAATACATGTTATTATTTTGTTTTTATATACTATTACCGATAATCACACTTTTATGCTTATTATATTTTTAATATTACTTAAACTAATTATGAAAAAACAAATGTTTTATGCTCATTGTTACGTGACTGCAAACAACGTGTGACCAGGGACAAGGGCGTGACCCTTGTTACTCGTGTCAGAACTTGAGAATTCAACCTTATGTATATTTATTACTATATACGTTTCAGAGTGCCGTGACGCCATAGCGACGTCATTACAGAAGTGAGCGTTTTCACGCGAAATTTTGAAAATTCAATTTATTTTTAGATTTATTTATTTTCATTCAAGGGTATTATTTTGGGTTATTGACATTTGGTACACATGAGGTGTATGGGTGAAACGTATCTAATGACTCTTCAAACGCCTCAAAAATTGTATCAGTCCATGCACTAAACACCCTGTAATATTGTTTCTTTCAACCTTGTCATCCCAGCAACGACGCCATTTTAGTCTTTTTAAGTATAATCAGATTTTAATGTGATATAAATTGTTGGTAACTCATACTAGTAATAATAAAAAGCAAATATAAACCCGAGTTTGTTCTGGAAAATATTTATGAAGTTTTGTTTTAAATAAGTGAACAAATCTTTAATTAACCAGGTGTACGCAACGAATGGCCCTTGTGAGAATAACGCTAACGTGTCGTGCACTAAAGCCGTCCACATCGTGTATGAGAAAATGGTGATACACATCACTAAGGATACCGCTACTAAAAAGGTATAAAAAGTTACCGTATAAGTCTTAAGCATTTTACTATCGCTCAGTTTTCTGTCAGTTCATGATAACTTTATATATTAAAGTGAGAAAACAAGTCATCTTTGTTTCCACTGAAAGGAAGGGATGCTAACGCTCAATTTCGATTCGATTTGTTTTTCGCTTTCTTGAAAATTAAATTAGTAATAGCTTAAAAAGTCAACAAGTTTGTTTGGTACTTTTGAAAAAGCAGTTCCAATATTGTAGAATTCGATTTTAAACTGTGTATAGCCACAAAATGGAATAGAAAAATACAAAAAAATATACACTACCAACAGATCGAGTTGTGGTCAAGTATAATTGATATTTTTGAGGGCATTTTCAATTTCCTTAATTTGCTATAAATTATTGTATCTCTTCTTACGAACTAATAATGACTAACTACTTACGGTTCAAAATGAATATTAAAAATACGCTCTAAAGTTATACAATGGGAATTATTTTTGTTACTAAGATATTTCTTTTTTAATTACCAATAAGAGGGTTATTTATGATATTTTTTACCATTTATTTTAACAGCTAGTGACAACAATCGGTAAAGAGCCGATTTTCCAATATCCAGTGAAAAAGACCTGGGTCACTGTAAGCCTGCTGAATGGAAAAGACGTCTCTGTCCTGCTGACTGACGCTAGCGTTGAGGTAAATGAGAAAAACTGTGTAATACGTGACCTAATGGGGTTAAATGGAGGCTTTAACATTTACGGGAATTTTGTTTCATGCTATACAAATGGTTACCTCCCAATATGCAGGTATTACGACGTTGCACTTTGATTTTAAGCATGTCTGGCAGTAGACTTATTGATTTTGGTTCTTTATTCGTAGGACGTAGAGTATAGAATTCGTTGCGAAAATTTGATATTTCACGGTAACCTAGTTCGCTATTGGTTTCATAGATATATTGAGAGGGCGAACCTTAACCATATTCTGGATTTCGCTGTTGAAATGGTTGCATTATCCCAGGTGACAGTGCAGCAATCCAACCTAGAAATGTCAGTGCTAGTGCCATCGTTCGTGTACAGCAACCGCACGGAGGGCCTGTGCGGAGTGTGCGCCGGCCAGCAGGACCACCTGCTCACCAGAAACGGCACCCTCACTGAAGACATACAGGAGGTATACAACCATCTCTAGACATATTTTCCACTAGGTTCTTCGAAGTTCTATAGTTATAGTTCAGACATTGTATATTATGTCAAATTATCTTCAATTGTCAATTACACTCGCATCTATAGTAGGGGAAGTGTTTCCTGCGAACATGTTACAACTCAAGCAGATATTTTTATCAAATAAACAAGAATTTGCATGAAGTAAGTAATGTTTAATATAATACTATTATTATTAGATATTAACAGTTCTTACTTTATTAAAATTATCAGATATTGGATAAAAATATGCGTTTAAGTAATTACTTAGACTCAAGCAATAACTTCCACATGATTATAGATATGAGTGGAAGCAGCAATGATTATTATTTACTAAAAGCGAACTTTCTCGACTGTAGCTTAAACTATCTTTCTTTTTTGCAAAGTTTTGTTCAGCTTTAAATTTATTTTAAGTCAATATTTCTTGATATGGACACTGGGCTATTCAAAGGTGGGCCTGCCCCTCATCCTCCGCCCATTACTACAATAAACGTTAGCTGAGTTTTAATTGGTCGTTAAATTCCGCATGTACAGATTTCTTTATCGCATCTAGTAGGACATAATTACATGTACAAATACTCGGCAATATAACGATTGCACCAGTCAATGTTGAATTCCTTTAGTCTTTATCTCGCATCTAAATGAATCTAAATGTAAATTTAATGACCGTTGTAAAAAAATATTGGTCCTGAAGTTTCCAGGAGTGAATGTTTTAATTTATATTTCATAAACCTACAATCAACACAATTGATACCTACTATCAATCCGACTAAATCGGAAGTTGTATATATATTAAATTATTGTAGAAACTTTATAAACGCGATGTAGATAGCATAGTGCCATCTTTTATGTATAACTTAAGCAGTACATATTTGTCTTACTTAAATTACTATAGTCTTCGAATGTAACGATATTAACGTGGTGAGATAGATGACAAGTTTATGTTTTGTCACTAACAACAGTACGGCAAGAGTTGGCAAGCGACCCCATCAGCGTTGTCCGCGTTAGATTTACCCGAGGATCAGCAACAGTGTGATCAACCGCCGCCTTCCGTCTGTCATCTGCCCGAAGACAATCTCTGCTACAAACTACTCAATCCTGAAGCTTTCGGTCAGGTCAGTGATAATTTCACATTTCAACTGCCACAGGGTTCACTTTTGGTCCCAATTTTTAAAATAATTTATTGTATACCTATTTTGTAGCGTAGCTTTGTAGAGTCTATGTTTTCCCTTTCCACGCAAAACAACTGATACGTAAATGATCAAATAAAATTTTGTAATGCACTGTTTCAAATTACATCGACGAATTGTTTCAATGCGAATGATAAGTCCTTTTCACCTTTCGATAGTGTTACACCGGCTGTGTCCTTTGTCGGGCTGATTGATTAATCGCGTAAATACACATTTGGTCCTTCAAGCCGGATTCTTATATCCATAGGAAGCCTTAAAAGACCAATCACCGTCCAACTTTTAACTTTTTCTTTAACTTTATAATAGGGTATTCTACTAAACTGATGCATAGAGTAAATAAGTAACTCGAATATCGATCGATCTCGAAATAAAAAGATATAATTAAGCTAAGAACATCTATATAGGAATTTGATTTATAATTACTAAGCTTAATATTACGACTAATCTGAAAGCCGTACTTTAAGATAATCTTGCGAATTTAAGACTTAAAATGGGAGTCTTAGTTTTTAAGCAATTTGTTGACTTATTTTCCACTACCGAAACTAGCCTATTGTACGATCGATATTCCGCTCGGTGTAGTGTCACGCACTAGTGGACCCGGAGCAGTACGTGGAGGCGTGCGAGGACGAGTACTGCGGCGGCAACAGCAGCGTGGACGTGTGCGGCGCGCTCGCGCGGTACGCGGCCGCGTGCGCCGCGCAGGGGGTCTGCCTCCACTGGAGGGAGAAGGAGACGCTCTGCCCGTACACGTGGTCAGTTGTGTTACTTGTTTACTGTCAGAAGTTTCACTAACGACAAATTACCGTTATCATGACTTTTTATATTTTTTTTTAAATTGATCTTGATTTTTAGCTTAATTGCCATTTATTATTTGATATGCATCATTATTGATTCGATATTTATTCTAATGTTAGTTATACTTCATTAACAGACATTTATTTTTAATATTATTCTTATTGAGAATTTAATCATTATTTAATTTTGATGATATGGTTTTTGACATTTGTGATTATTATTATTATTTAATAAAAATATACAATTGACATAAAATCTATTAACTATTGTATTACAATACTTAGTGTTAACAGTTAAAGTAAATATGTTACGTCCGTGTAAATATCTATTGTATAATATTGCTGTGCCCTGGCAGGTTTCATGTTGTTTTTGTATACTCGTATACGAGTATTATATAACAACATAGAGGCAATTAAGTCTCCACAATAGGAATTACGATAAGAACTGAAATCTCAAGTAGCTAAATCACTTGTTCGTGCAGTGAGAAACCCTTCGTGTATCGTCCGTGCATAGACTGCGAGCTGACGTGCGAAAACCATGAGGAACTATCAAGGAATCCAGAAAAATGTGACGACAGACAGATGGAGGGGTGCTTCTGTCCAGAGGGAAAGGTAACATATCTGCATCATAAAATAAAAGCATGGTTGACTATTTTTCTACGTATTTTTAAATTGTGCATGAGTAGAGTAAAACCAAGTAATATGGTGCGACGTGATTCTTTGTTTGCACAGATGATATAACCCCCCAATGCTGATGACCGAACGTCTCCAACCAAGCTTGTCATTTAACCTATCTATTCCCGGAATTCCAGAAGTGGATTTGCGTAAAATCTGCTGTTCCACTGCCAAAGCAAAAAAAAAAATTAAGTCTATTTCAGGCATTTTTACGGCTTCGGATTAATGGATTATTATTTTTTATTTCTGAAGAGGAAACAGAAAATCATAAACAAGCATTAAGTGCAATGATGTATTTACTAGACCTTTTCTTTCCGCGCACGAGAACGTTTGGGTTAAATTTGAGTCTTAAATATTATGTCATATAAACTAAGATTATGTGTGTATAGGTTCGTGTGAATAACACTTGCATCGAACCCAGCAAATGTTTCCCGTGCGACGTGGACAAACAACACTTCGCTGGTGACGAGTGGCAGGTAAATGCACAGCGATATTATATATGTATAGGTAAAGAGATATGGTTGCCTCTTAGAAATCTCCCTATTTATTGGCACGTGCACAATAAGTTGCAGATTTAATCGTGAAATCTTTTCAGTGCTAACTGCTCATGCGTGAGTATTCTAAAGTGAGGATAACTGAAAAAATAATACATTCGATGATACCAAAATCATCTAGAAAAAATTAGATATAAATCAGAATGGGCCAAAACTAATCACGTGGTATATTGTGCATTGGTGGTTGTTAATGTATGCAGATGCAACACCATTTTTAATCCAGGGAAATGCGTTACGCATTATGCCAAACGGGACGGCAGGGGGGATGTGGGCCTCTCCTCTGCTGAGAGCGGCAGCTATCAGCTTAATGAAGCTTAACGATCTTTCATATTTGGGGAAAAAAAACAGTACTTCATCAATAGATTCGTTAATATAATTTCATAGAAGTGCGTTTTTTTAACATTAGAAAGGTGGTGATCGACACAGCTATTGTATGGATATTGAACGAGTCCCGTGTTGCAGGAGAACGCGTGTAAGAAGTGCACATGCTCGAAGTCCCGCACAGACAACACAGCGCGCGTGTCGTGCACCACGCAGACGTGCGTGTCCCCGCTGTGTCCCGCGGGACAGGACCTCGTCACGCGCGCGCCGCCGCCGGGACCCCCGCCCTGCTGCCCCCAATATATGTGCAGTCAGTACACACACTCACTATACCCGCCAATATTTTAATCGACCACTCTGTGCCATTACACAAAGTATTATTGGCAGGCCCGGATCTAGGAGGGGGGCAAGTGGGGCAGTTGCCCCAGGAGCCACAGTCAAGGGAACGCCAAAATTAAAAAAAATAATCATACAAAAATCGTAGTATCGAATAATAATATTCCCTCAGTTAATTTAAACAGAGCGTTCAATTCTCGTGTAACTTGTCTGTTCGTCTGTTTCCGTGGCTCAAATTTATCCGTTTGCCTGTTTTCATAGTCCAAATTTACTTCAAATCTTGTAACTCGATCAGGATTTGGCAAAGATGAAGTCGAGCCAGACTGTATTCGGCTTCTCGGTATATCTCTGCTACATATTTTATCTGCATACAGCTCATCAGGTTACCTTAACTGTCACCAGGTTGGCGTTCGAAATTGAACAACGATACTTTTTTGTATTATATGACAAACTATTGACATTATGATATCTGAAAACATTTAAACTTTTCGCGCTGTAGTGCCCAAACTTCAGAAGGAATGCGAGGAGCCAAAGAGAATGGAATGTGGCTTTGGACAAGTACTCAAAGAGAAGACCACTGCTGACAACTGCAAGGAGTTTGTTTGTGGTAAGATGGGAATTGTGCTATTAAGTGTTTGAGTGTTTTTCTACTCTAGTTATTGTAAATTGGTCATAATTTTATGCATTAGTATTTGCATTTACAATGTTATACTGTAAAATATTATATTAATGAGAAATCTCAGAGTGCCAGGGACAAAGTGGATTTTTTAAGCATTTTCCATTAAGAAACCGTAGGTTTATTGGTTTTAGACATACTTTTTTTATGGTTACAGTAAGAAAAGAGAGAATGCAATATTAAATCTTGCGCAACGACTAAAATTTTCTCCTGTATCTAGATATAAATATAATTATATGATATACATCATCTGCTCTGCAGAATGCAAGCCGGCGAGCGAATGTGAGCACATCCCAACCGATAGCGAAGTGGAACTGGAGCCGGGCATGAAGCGTGTGACGGACAACAGCGGGTGCTGCCCGCGCGTGCGCGTGGAGTGCGAGCCGGCCGCGTGCCCGCGCCCGCCCACGTGCCCGCAGTTCCACACACTGAAGCCGCAGCAAACCAAAGCACAGTGCTGCCCTACATATCACTGCGGTCGGTATTGTATGATTTGAAATTTAATCAAGCTGTTTTACTTGATGATAGTGCCTTATTATTTACTAATAGATTATTTGATAACGTTTGTTTTGTATTTATTATTATTAACTATAAAGTTTCAGTAAATTCATTATTTACAGTAAATATAAACCTTATTTCTAGAAAATAATATTAACCTAATACTTGTGTCGCAAAATAATTAATTACTTTGATTATTTGTAGAACCGCCAAAGGATAAATGCATAGCCATATTGGAATGGGAGGCTTCTCCGAAAGGAGGGGAAAAACAACGCCCAAAGTCTGAACAAATGCTCAAAGATGTAAGTGTATCTTAGGTGTTTCAGAATATTCTTTCTCAGTGAAAGACACATTTTACTATTCAATTAATATTTCAATAGTTTTACAAGTATGACAACCCGGAAGTATATTGGCACGAAACTAATCAAGCGTCAACGTCAATGACAGTGACATCTTACTGTCAGGGTTGCCCGTAGTGAAATCGACAATTAGTCTTGCCAGTAGTAGTCGATGATTTCCCCTCTAACACTAGGGAACACGTGAGCGAAGCAGTTGGCGGAAAGCTGGTAATAAAAACATAAAATTTAGTTTAGATCGGAGTGTTAATATTGAATGTTGCAACAGGTGGACGAGGTGTGGATGGACGGTCCGTGCCGTTGGTGCCGCTGCGTATGGTCGGCGGTGGGCACGAGCACGTCATGCTCGAGCACGGAGTGTCCGCGGGGGGAGGCCCGCCCCGACGTGGTGGTGGAGCCGCAGCCCGTGCCCTACGCGTGCTGTCCAACGCTCAGGGACGTCGCCTGCAGGGTGGGAGAGGACGTCTACAGGGTATGTCCTTATTATATTATAGCCAGTGTTGCCAACTCCATGAAACAAGAAGACAACAGATCACCAATAAAAAAATAAAGGAAAAACCAGTAGGATAAGTAAAAACGGCATACTGTGAATGAATGAATGAATGAATAAATTCTTTATTGTACACCATAAAATATAGAAGAATTACAATTGGAATTACAGTTTAGTTGTACAATCGGCGGCCTTATCGCTAAAGAGCAATTTCTGCCAGGCAACCGTAGGTTAGACTGGACTGTTACTAAGTTACTAAATTAAAACAATCACACACCTTTATTACTTATCAGTACTAACATACATTGTTAAACTATAATCTAATCCTAATCTTCCGTGTTTTCAGACTCATTTTCTTTATTTATTTTGTTATAATATTTTCTTTATTTCTTCATGTTCATATGTGACTTTAAATGAGTAGCAATCGGTCATTAGATGGCGCTAAACGCTAATTGAAAATCAGTAAAAAATGAGAAATGAAACAGAAAACAAGTGCATTAATGTGAAAACAGCAAATCTCCTGTTAAAACAGTAGGGTTGGTAACACTGATTATAGTAGTGTGCTGATGTCGGCGCTGGCTCAATGAAACGTTGCACCTTACGCATAACAGTGGAACGACGCCCATAATAAAATCACTATAAAATAAAAGATTAACGTATTAATAACCAACCTATTAATGTCTCCATTGCTAGCGCTCAGGCCTATATAGATGGAATCGAATCGACAAGAAAGGATGAGTGATATGGTACACCGCGCAGGCCCAATGCGGATTGGTAGGTATTAATGACTGCAGTTGCAGTCGGGACCGATGGCTTAACGTTTCCGAAGCCTGGAGGAAAACGAGAGAGTAAAATTTTGATCACCCATCCTATGGCCGGCATTGCGAAAGTTGCTTCACAGCCGTATCGCAGACGGAACATGAGAGCACTTGTCAGTGTCAGGGGGCGCTAAAATCATGATAATTTACGTTAAAAAAAACCCTCTACAAAATGTCTTTAAAATAAATTCAATAAATAAATCAAATAAAAGTAATTAAATCATACACGTAGGTGTAAGGGCCCAGTTGGAAATAGTTATAGATCCGGGCCGGCTTAGCACTTGTAGTTTCTGAGATTTCGTGATCAGTGAGTATTATTATATCAAACAATAATAAATTATAAATATTTTTAGGTGGGAGAAAACTGGACATCTCCAGAAAAACCGTGCGAACAATACTCGTGCGATAGCGTCGGCGAGGGAAAGTTGCAGCGACGAACCACACTCACTACCTGCGATACTGACTGCTTACCGGTAATCACACTCACTAATCTACAAAATCGCATTATTAAATACACTTTTCACTCAAAATTACTACTGACTATACTCACACTTATCGGTAATCACACTCACTAATCTACATAATCACATTATTGAATACACTTTTCACTCAAAATTACTTCTAACAATACTCACACTTATCGGTAATGGCACTCACAAGTCTACACTAATAATATGGCCAGTAACCACATTCACACTCATACTAATGCTCCCACTAATCCGCATCTACAACTACTACTAAGTCATTCTTATCACTCTCTATATACACACACGCTAAAGTACACACGCAACCACGCATACATACACGCATACGCTCTACACTCCTGCTTACCAATAACCAAATTCATTACTCAATATAATTGTTTACCAATAAGAAATCACCCTTACATTCTTGATAGACGGTGTAAGTAAAAGAAACATCGATTTTAAATTTTATAATCATATTCGTTATTTTTTTTTTTAAATCGCTATAAGCTGACATACATCGGTTTGTTCCTAATAGGCTTTTACTATTAGGTTCATATTATAATAATTAATGTAAGCTGTATATGTAGGGCTGGAAATATATCCCTGCTGCGGCGGGCAGTAAGCAGTGCTGCGGCAAGTGCGAGCCGGTGGCGTGCGTCGTCGACGGTACACAACGACCCATTGGGGAACACTGGAAGTCTAACGATTACTGCACGCAGTTCACCTGTCTACTCACCAATGGAACTGTAAATAAACATATCATATCTTTATTCTTAACGAAAAATACTTAAAAAATCCACTTTGTCCCTGGCATTCTAGGATGGCTGCTCTTTTTTCAAAGATTTATCATTAAGAATATTTTTTCAGTACAGCATTGTGAATGCAAGTTTTATAATATATAGATATGATATTATATCATATCTGTGTTAATTTATTTCCTGTATTTAAATTATGGTTGAAATACGAGAATATACATATTTGATTTGTATATAAATTATCTTGTAGTCGATATAATTTTATAATCCGTAATCGAGTTCGATAAATTTGGCTACTACCAATTTGACGTTTGTATTTAAAACAAAAACAAACCTTACAATATGTCTGTCGTCGTCATATTCTTACATATATTTTAGTTACAAGTACAAAGCAGCAATGAGACATGTCCCGAAGTGTCGCAAGCTATGAAGAAGCAGTTTGTATTCAGCGATGAGGCAATACCAGGAAAGTGTTGCCACAAACAGGAGCCTATAGCGTGCAGAGTTGGAAACAAAATATATCAGGTAAGACTTTTTTTATCAAAAACGTGTATACTTGAACTTTATTGTCTTTGTAAGGTTTATATTTGTATTATTAGTATGAACTTTTGCATTTCTTTTTTATTTTTTCTAAGACAATTTTTTGTCTTTGATAGGTTAGACAAGACTTTTAATTTAAAACAACCGGGTTATTAACACAGATAGACCGACAGAGCAAACTTATAATGACCCACTTTCTGAGGTTTAAAAAAAATAAATGTATATTATTAACAGACACTGTATTATAAATTGCGTACTGATTAAATTACATAATATTCTGTAAAAGTACCTAATATAATAAAAAACTAATTTAATTTACTATTCCACATCAGGAAGGTCAAACGTGGCCTTCAGAGGATCCATGCAAGAACTTGACCTGCAGCCGTGATGCGGCCGGAAATCTCGTGCAGGCGGAGAGTGTGGAGACTTGCTCCAAGGATTGTGCCCGAGGGTGGAAGTATACAAAGCCTGGCCCGCGAGTCTGCTGCGGAAAATGCGAACAGTACGCCTGCATACACGACGATCAACTCAAGGAACCAGGTCAGACATATTCATTGAGGAATAACTACTATATAATAGGCATTATTACCGGGTAAAAAAAGAAGAAATTCTATTAAGTTCGTTCTATTAAGTCAGATAATAGAAAAATATTAGATACCTATTTCTTTTTTTTACATCAATTGAACAACAGTAGGGCTTGCTACGTCACAACTATGTAGAAAATGAACAAAGATGTGACGTCATGCGACATTTCATTCTATGTTAATATAAAAGCTGGAATATGTAAACAAAAACTGTGTAGGATTTTTTGTTAAAAAATTAATTATATTTGCACAATTGATTTGTGATTTATAAAGCGTGTATTAGAAAAACGGAAACGCGGGTGGCCATGGTGGATAATTGTGTGACGTCACATTTCAATAAACTAAACATTTATATTTTTTTGCTATATAAGAGTGCTTTTTTTCATGTCCCAATTTTCTCCCAATCCTCTGAAACGGCTCGACCGATTATGATGATATTTTATATGTAAATTCAATAAGTCTACGAACATGGTGTTATCTATTTTTATACCCGTGATAGTCGTAAATGTTAAGGGTGGTTAACTCATTTATATGGCAAAATGTTAGCTAGATCAGCTAGTAATGAATGACCATGTGCAGGTGTGACGTGGCAGTCGGCTGACAACTGCACGACGTACACGTGCGCACGCGCCGGCGACGAGCTTATCGTGTCCGCCGCCACCGACGTGTGCCCTGACGTCACCGCGTGCGATGCTGGCGACCTCTACAACGACACCTGCTGCCAGATATGCAAACCTAAACCCAGTGCACTCAGTCAGTATCAGGGGTCGCTGATGAATATCAACGACTGTTATGATTATACACCGATTGATATATATCAGTCGATAATTAAGCGTACCGCCAGGCTTACTGGTAAAACGTGCAGCCTCCTAAATACACACCCTTAGAGCAACAAAACGTTTCTTTTTTTTGATAGATACTAGATTTTTTTATTGTTGCTTTTATTAGGTACTTGTGCGCCGGCGGCGGTATCGGGTCCATCTTCAGTGGGCGTGGTTCGTACCGTCATGCGCGGGCACGGCGTGTGCACTAACGACGCGCCCCTACAAGGACTGATGGAATGCCGCGGCTCCTGCTCCTCTGGCACCATATATAACAACGGTCAGTTACATATACCCGACCATAAGTAAATCCACACGATCATATTTAAAACCTCTCGTGTGAGAGCCGTGGATCACGAGACACTGCTCGTGTAACCTGATTCTTTTGCTCTTAACTTTAGTCTGGGATAATATTTTGGCGAGTAATACATAGCGACATCTAACTCATCGCACTAACATCGCCACAACAATCGATAGCGAGAAGACTAGCATCGTCACAGCTATCGATAACAAGACGAACTGCAAAAGGTTTCAACAGCAAGTAACGAGATAAGTTTCATTACCAATTCACATGAATAGAACATCCAACCTACATCGGTTTGACCGCGGTCCCCGGGCTAACAACACCTAGTTCGGAGGAAGACAATTATCCTTTAGTCTCCCTGGCCAGTTGTTTCCACCATCACTGTAGGACCAACCATTCAACCTTACGGTTCATAAAGTGGTGACCCCGACGTGATCTTCAACCGACGCGATCTTTAACCGACGTGATCCTTAAAGGATACGACATCGAAAACTCGAAGAATTACGTGATCCTGTTTCGAAACGCATTTTTCTCCTGCAAGAAAAACTTTGACAAAATGGCAAACATGGAAGCAAACCCACCGTCGCCGTCCACATCAAACGAAATCTCCAGAGTCGCACTTCCACTCCGCATACCACCATTCTGGCGCGATAAACCACGATTGTGGTTCGCAGTTTTTGAAGCTGCAGTTAATGAGCTTCATAAAAACGAAGCCCAGAAGGCGCAGATGATCATCGCTCAGCTAAACAAGGAAGATGTCGAGCAAATCTGCGACCTACTTTATGCACCACCGTCTGAGGGCTATTACACAGTCATAAAGAAAAACTCATATCCGCATACGAGGAATCCGACAGCAAGCAGCTACATAGGTTACTCTCCGACATGGAACTCGGCGACCAGAGGCCGAGCTTGTTGCTTCGTGGTATGAAAACGCTCGCTACGGGAAAAATCCCCGACAAAACGCTACAGCTAATGTGGATGAATCATCTACCACCACACGTACGCTCGATACTCGTCGTAAGCGACACATTAGCCAAAGTTACCGTACTCAACGATATCGCCAAACTCTCTGATAAAATGGCAGAACAATACAAAACTTCGTCAGTATCATCTATCACTACGCCGATAGCAAACAAGCAAATCACCGAATTTAATTTTTAAGAATTTTTACCCTAATACAAAGAAATTGTTAATAGAACTACAATACTAACTAGACACTACAATAATTCTAATAAATACTAACTAAATTATTTCCTAAGTGTTTAACTTGTAATGTTAATAAAATAAAGTAAATAGATAGTAATAAATTAATTCCCTTCATTTAGTCAGGATCATTAAAAGTCACAGCCACATTCATTTAAATTGAATGAAAATATAAAAGAGATAAACCTTTAATATCACTTTATATAATATTAGTATAATTGATATAATATATGTATGTTGTATGACAGTGACTGGCATCCACGACTCTAAATGCGAGTGTTGCCAAGCCGCACAGTACGAGCCCGTGGACGTGCCCGTGACGTGCACGGACGGCACCCGCGCCGTGCACCGCGTGGCCACGCCCACCCGGTGCACGTGCTCCCCCTGCGGCGCCGATACACTCTCAGGTGATTCTATTAATGTGAAAGGGGCGATGACTGGGTAAAAATAAAGAAATTCCATTTAGTCCGACGGTCAGATTGTAGGTAAATATTAGATACTTATTTTTTTACTCTATACCTAAATCTATTAAACGGATGAAATGTTTAAACTACTTAAAATCATAATTAAAATTTCATTTCCTGTCAAAAGATAAGCCTGCTTTTCTATTTTCTTTTCTCTGGTTGTCACTTGTGTTTTGAGCATTTTGTTTGAGTGATAATTCGCTGTTACAAATGTTGTTCTTCTATTATATGATCTATGATCTGCAAATTAATGTTTTGTTTTTCATTTCAAAGCAAGATAAACAAGGCCGCCTAAAGTATTTGTTCTTATGTAAATAGTTATAAGTGTCTATGCAATTTTCCTTTTTTGTGCAATAAAGAGTATTTACTATTGTAAAATATACTACTTCGAATATTTAATTGTCAGTCATAATCAATTTATATCAAACACTAGTGGACGCCCGCGACTTCGTCCGCGTGGAAGTCGGTATCCCGTGGGAGTGAGAAGTTTTCCCAGTAAAAAGTACCCTATGTGTTATTCTGATGTATAACCTATATTGCTGTAAAGTTTTATCCAAATCCGTCCAGTAGTTTTTTCGTGAAAGAGTAACAAACATCCATACATCCATACTTACAAACTTTCGCCTTTATAATATTAATAGGATTATATAGTATTCAACTACATATCGATGACACTATTGAAAGGATTTCGAAAGAATAATATTTTATTGCCAATTAAACTCTAGAGCCACAATTTTACATCGAAAAACCGCTAGCGGGCAGCATGTCGCCGATCCCTTGGTCTATATGGACAGATTAACAGACAATATTTTAATTATTTAATAAAATAATTACTGCTTCAACAGTAATTATTTTATTAAATAGACTGTCTGAAGGCACAACATAAAAAACAGACAATCTGAAGCTGTAGACAAATTGATTACTAGATCAAATAAATGCAATCAGCATAGTATGATAGTAGCGGAACAGTTACTGCTAAATTAATCAAAAGTGTCATATCCGATTTCTGAATTGGTTATTTAAAGTTAAGCAAATCTCAAACTGTATTTAAACGTCACTTAAACAAGTTTTTATTTCCGATTTTAGTTTTATTTTTTATGAGAACTGATATTTGCCTCATGAAAAGTAAAGAAATTAAGTTATTGAGAATAATCAGTTCAAATATTACACTTTTCTCAATTCAGAAACCGGCCATAAGTGTCGCTGGAGATGATCACCTGCATAGAAATACTACTAAAATTATTTAGATTAAATAATTAATTGTTAAATATAAAACTGGACAACTTAGCACCCTTCATTCTGCGAAGACAATTTTTAATATTCAACCTTCATGCCCAGGATACGCAAAGCGACCGACGAAAAATGGTGGCGTGAAGAACGGCGGTGGATATAACGTGCCATCATATGACTACGATATTCCGGAAATCTACCAACGCATGAAAGAGAAGCCATAGGGAATTATCTATACAACATAAACCAGTTTTAAATACTTGAATGATCCATACAATTAGTTAGGCAAAATAGATCTAAACCTTAAAAATAAGTTGTTATATTGCCGTAGAGCAATACTATATATATTCATTTATATCCATGACTGGAGAATAAGTCAAAATGTAATTTGATAAGTTTGACAAAGATTTTAAATAGTTATCTGCATTTTTTTTAATACACATAATTCTATATTACATACTTATTTTAAAAATATTATTATATTGATTGTAAAAAATATTTCAGATGACACATGTCATCTCATAACAAAGTGGGACAAACGTAATGAAGGATTTGGATCTATTTTGCTCAACTACGTTCAGTTAGGTATAGTCCATCTAAAGTCCCCGAAGTATATTCACCCCAGGTGCCATACATGTCCAAGAAATACTACTATACTATTCAAACACAGTTAGTTAAAAATATATTACAATATATATTATAAATATATTACAATATATATTATAAATATATTACAAACATCATTTAATGCTTTTATTTCTGACATTGCTGAAATATAAAGCGTATATCGTTTTTGGAGGAAATACGGGACAATAGATGAACTATGTATTCAGTTATTTTGTTAATGGCAATTACGAGGTATGCCTTCTTTACTTTAAATCGTCAATACAGTCAATTGCATGTAAGACAGATACAAATCTGTCAAGTTTCCCCACTCGAATCTAAACTTTAATATATCGAGGAGAGGTTGAAAACTCTTCACCTGACGTACAGTCGTATACAAAAATCTTTAACTATTATTTACTAACGGAACATCACTATGGTGGTGAGTTTCGAAAAATAAGGTTCATAAAAACACACTTTTTACTTGATCACATCAATTGTATTCTTGTAAATACTCAATAAATATTTTATTATATTAATAATTTTGTTTTATTATTTTTTTACAATTTTCATGTAACAAAAACTACTTAGCCAATGCGTTTCAAAAATTCGTCGACACAGAAATAAACTTGTTAAATGAAATTTTAATAGTAGAAAATCTGATAGCAGTTAATAAATATAAATTATGTTTGGTTAAAAGTACACGATTTAAGGAAATTTTAACATAGTTTTGTGATATTTTAACATAGAAATTTTGTTGACTGTACAAGAAAAACTTATTTACATAGTATATTTTTTGTGGGTATAAGCATCCATATGAACTTATTCAAACGTTTCCAGATTCCCTATTGAAATTAATATTTGCAAGTAGACTGTTTAGTAAAATAAATACAAATTAATTAGGAAGCGAGTTTATATTTGTATATCCCACATTAATAGCATCATATAATTAATGGTACTGGTAAACGCTAGCTCTTTGGCGTTAGGATAAGCGCCGCGGCCCACGATCGTTGTCGTTAAGCAACTTTCGCAAGGGTCGGTCACGGGATGGGTGACCAAAAAATTATTATCTCGAGCTACTCCGTGCCTCGGAAGGCACGTTAAGCCGTTGGTCCCGGTTGCATTTGCAGTCGTTAATATCCTCCAATCCGCATTGGGCCAGCGTGGAGGGTCTTGGCCCATCCTCCTTAACATCCATAAGGTAGGCCTGAGCCCCTGCAGTGGGGACGTAAATAATTAATGGTAATATATTAAAATAAATCTTTCAAAACCTGATTTTAATATTAAATTGGGAGTATAAATATAATGTCGAATTAAATATTAATGAAACCTTAATGTGGTATTAAAGTACGAAATTGTCACAGAAATTCGTCATTCTATAATTAAAACAAAATTAAAAATCTAACAACATATCACTGGTGAATTCCTTTATTGGTTAAAATAATATTTTTTATTAAAATTCCTTTAAAAAGCACAGCCTTGACGAGTGTTAAAGTAATAACCACGCCTTGGTTTATATCTTCTTTTATAAAAGTGGAAGAATGTTTCTATAGACTTAAGACTCACATCTATTCAGCTATTCTATTAGAAAACAGTTACTGACTCGAAGTCGAGGCGCTATAATGTCACAGTATAGAGCTTCAATAAATAAAACCTCAGATAGCGATGCCGGCTCGATGAAACTTGGCGCCCTAGGCAAAACACCAGAACGACCCCATAAAAATGTATGACAATAGCAAACAACTTGTGTAAAGAACGTTTCTTGTGGATCCCTGTATATCTATCATGAAGGTATAATAGATACATATATTTATTTTGAGAATATCCACCCATTTTAAAATCGTACTCTGATAATAGATACCTTCTTCTGTTTTCAATATTAGAACAGTAAAAAATACCATGATTTGGCATTTAAAAATTTTAACATATTACTTCTTATACAGAACTAATCAATAACTGTATGCAACAGATTTAAAAAAATAAATCCTATGATGTAATATAATTTTTTTTACAATATGACTTTTAATACTAACCAATAAGGTCCAATTTATAATGAGACATGTTACGTAACTAATACAGGGGGTGTATCTCTTTAACAGTATCAAAAAAGGAATGTTAAGAGAGTACACGTCGTTTTGATTAAAAATGGACGTTGTGTTACGAGGTGGTGACGTCACCGTTTCTCGTGCTGCAGTCTTCGCTTTGCTCGTTCTCTTCTTTGCCATGTAGATCTTCTTCCTCCTTCTGTTTCTGCTTTCTGAGCATATCTGATAAATACTTATACCTCTGCATACACTCCTCCTGGAAAACATAGAAAAGAAATATATACACAGGTAACCTAAAATGGAGGCAGAATTATTATATTTCATCAATATTGCATTCACAATGCTGTACAAGAAAAGATTCTTATTAAAAAATGTTTAAAAGACCCACTTTGACCCTAGCACTCTAAAATAGGACTCGAAATCATGACCTTTTGAAATATTTTCATTTTTCAATAACTTCACCATATATGAATTGCATTTAGATTTGCTTATTTTCTGTATTATATGAATTTGGATTAATAATAAAATTGCAATTTTAGCGTATATTTACTCTGACGCTAAACCTTGTTTATTAATAGCACTGAGAGTGGTTCAAGAAAAGTATATATGTATAACGCGGGTGAAGCCGCTGGCGGAAAGCTAGTATTTTATAAATGCAAACCGTTGCAACATAAAAAGAATATGGACATTGATCAAAAACTTATCATGACACACGAAATAAAATAATCAGTACATAATTAGCAGTGGTCGGAATTAGGTAGTTATTCATGTACTTACACTGATTTCATACAGCGAAAGAATGGATATGCTGGAATGAAATGGATATGCCTCAAATCCCGAGATTAATTTTAAAGAGCAGAAAAAATCCCGTGATTTTTTAAATAAAAAGTTATTTACTTTTACACAATTTAAACTACTGCGCACACGACGTTGCCAAACTTACATCAATGAAAGAAAGAACTAAGAAAGAAGAAATAAAGAAATCCCGGGAAGGTCCACATTAATATCAACATTTCGATGCAAGTACATAAATAACTCTACCTAATTCCGACCTCTGATAATTAGTTAATAAGAAAAACACGTTACTGAAATCAGAGGCATTACTTAACAGTTGCGATAAGTTAACAGCGCCGTCCATGCGGAACATTGCCCTTTAGACACGGTTTCACTTTTACATAACATTTGAATTGAGAAGTTCCATCATCTCAAATCACTGTACTGAATTGACAGTCGCGTTTTAAGCGAACTATGTAGCGATGAAGTTTTGGAACAAATACATATATGTAAAACGGTTATTATATCTTAAAACACATCTCCATTTCACTTATTCTAGAGTGGACGACTTGAGGAAAGTCGCTGGTAGGTGGAAATAATATAAAAATAGGGAGAATGGAGCGTATTGGGGGAGGCCTATGTCCACCAGTGGACTGCTGTAGGTTTATGATGAAGATACATCTACAAAATTGATTTTTTTTTTTAACCTCCTTAATAAATGATCTTGCCTCAAACTTCAAAAATGTTGTTTTATTACTTTAAAATTCCTCATATACATATTAATATACAAGCCAGAAGCTAACTACTGGCTACAAAATGAATTAGATATTTATCAATTTTCACAATAAAAAGTTATGATACAATTACTAAACAAAACAATATCTCAGTGAATTTCAGAAACATCTTTGTATTTATTTCGTCAATTCTTTTGGTCCTATATCAGATCGGATATGCGGATCTGTTTTAAAGATTGAGACTGATTACATTAACCCCTATATGAAACTACTTACACGCAGTACGAGGTAAATATAATAGTAAGTATATTACAGCTAAAGTACATATATGCGAATAATCGTACCTGTGTTTTATCATGTTCATGTGTAGGTATGTGTTAGAGATGCGTCGAATGATAGTTTCACCGAATAACCGATTATTAATCAGTTTGACTTTTACAAAGTCGGATATTCGGCCGATTGTTCGGTTTACCATTTCACTGATTTGCCGCGTAAAAAGGTAATATTGATTTGAAATTTAACTGATTTATTTTATTAGATTTTGAACACATTCTTCATAGGATTTCTTAGTAATATGACATAACTCTTACATAAGAAGTTTTGTCTTTTTACTGTTCCGTGTCGTGTATCCAAGAAAATAGAAATACTTGAACCGAATACATTCGGCACCAAAACCAAGTAACCAACATGAAATATATCTAAAAATATATTCATAAAATAAGTCGAATTCTAAAAAGAATTGTAATTCAAGTATAATAATAATTTTAATTTTCAAATTTTCCCGCGAAAAAGCCACTTCTGCTATGGCTCGCTATGACGTAAACTAATACCGAATGTTTGCATAAAGTTGAATTCTCTAAGTACTGATATGAGTAAGAGGAGTATATTGCGCTGTTTGCGGTGACGTGACGACCATAAAACATTGTTTTTTTAATAATTAACTGAAGCAAAATTTTAATATATTAAGCATAAAAGTGTGATTATCGGTAAATAGTATATTAAAGACTACAAGAAAAAAAAAATTATATGCATTTATTCTCGTTTACCGTCTACAAAGGTATTCGACCGAATACAAATAACGAAAAAGATGCCGAATATACCGAATACGAAAACGAATGTTCGGCGCATCACTAGTGTGTACGTACCTTAGTCTTGCCGGGCACGGCGGCGGCGATGTTGGCCCAGCGGTCGGTGGCGGCGCCCTTCGGGTGTTTGTGCAGCGCCGCCTCCAGCGCGCGCTGCTGGGCCTGGGACCACGCGCCGCCGCCGCCGCCCTCGTCACTCTTACGGGTCTTCACCTAGACAACGCGTACTAATATCGTACTGTGCTTATATGTATGTATATGTACCATCACCGGGTTAAGGTACAAACAAAATTAGCAAAGTCATTGCATGATTTAGATACGCGGTCGCCGTGCGTTCAACTCGGTCCCGTCTTTAGAGCTAATTACGTAATTATGAATTGAAGTTCTAGTTACGCATACTTTATTTAAACACATAAACTTATCCATACACACACACATACATACATACACCATATTTGTCGTGCGATATAATTTATAAATATGTATATTTTTGCTATAAATATGTATATTTAATACTTATATTTTTCTTTATTAACTGCCCTCATTATGATTATATAATTAATAAGATTTGTAAACATAATAAGTCTCTATAATTGGCGTCAATGGTGCATACTTATTTTTGTATAGAAATAACAAAACTGCTGTTGAAACTTTGTTGAATAAATAAATAAATAAATTATAATTAGAAAGTTTTGTATAATTATACTTTAATTAGCATACAATATGTTGCTATATTTGATCATTTCTGTATTGACAATACTAAAAAATATTCTTTATGGAAAATTTGCCAGTCCCGTTAGGTATATTTATAAGGGAGAATTGTCTGTACATAATAATAAGAAGAAATAATAATTTGTTTCAATGTAAATCTTAATCAATATACATACATATAAAAACATGTTATACTCTTAATGAAATATCCTTAAAAAATCTACTCTGTTCCTGGCGCTCTGAGATGGGACTCGAACCCATGACCCTTCGAGTTCGACGAATATTTCCATCACTTGTTACTTTTTCACTACTACGGAACGTATTTTTAACAATGTTCAGGCAATCGTAGAAGTAGCTCGGGGGATAAGAGGATAAGCGCCGCGGGCCGCGATCGTTGTTGTTAAGCAACTTTCGCAAGGGTCGGTCACGGGATGGGTGACCAAAAAAATATTATCTCGAGCTACTTCGTGCTTCGGAAGGCACGATAAGCCTTTGATCCCGGCTGCATTTGCAGTCGTTAATACCCTCCAATCAGCATTTGGCCAGCGTGGAGGGTCATGGCCCATCCTCCTTAACCATCCATAAGAAAGGCCTGAGCTCCTGCAGTGGAGACGTAAAAAGGGCTGATGATGATGATCCAATCACCCAAACAGACGAAAGAAATATTTTTACAAATATTAAACTTTCAATAAGGAAATGTCGTTCGGAACATTTGTTATATTTTTTCAATATAGCATTGTGAAGGCAAAATTGGAAAAATATAATTATTATGACAATGGAAAAAAATTACCACAAATAATAATTTTAAATAGATGCTAAAATATGCCTTGTAAATATTATTATAGACAAATAAATATACACTTGCATATGAATCTGAATATTTTTAACAAAACTATGGTTAAGTAACATAGCAAAGGAGTTTTGTAATAAAGCGCGTTTCAGTTCAGCTGCGACGATATGATTGTAACAACCAAATTATCGACGGTATCGACTTCTAAAAAACGAAGTTATCGTTTTGAAACCATTTTTTTGTTATTAAGTGTATTTCATGATTGCATCCAAATTTGATTTTAATAAAGTCCCGAAATTAAAGGTAAATGCAGGACAGAACTTCTTTTATTTCCTTTTTTTTACATCTGATATACATATAACGAAATTTGGATATATATCAGATTTTTCCTTTTCGGTTGCATGGTAAAAGTGTATTGACGGTTTTCCTTGCCATATTTTTTCCTCGAATTTAAAGAAATATTTAGAGACTAATGCTGAATTAGACAAACCATTCACGAATTTATAGTGAGCCACACATTTACTGATTTTTAATTTGTATAGATTGGCTCTGGCCTCAAAAAATCCTGAGCCTATAATATCAAAGTAGTCTCACAATCACACTTTATTTTAGGTTGCTATTATAAAGGCTTACTTCTTCATGCAAAAGCTACTGGCCGGATTTTGATGAAATATGGTATACAATTAATTTTACGTTACCCCGAGGACCAGCCGGACGAAGCCACTGGCGGAAAGCTAGTCTTTAATAAGCAAGTACCTTTTTAGGTTGTTCCGGTGGCGGCTGGTCTTGTTCCTCCTGTCCTGGTATCTTGTAACAGTTGTCCTTTAACTTGTGCGCCATATGCGTGACCTCGGGCACACTACGACCCATAGCTTCAGCGATGCGTTCCCATCGCTCGCTGCTGCCGCCCGGGTGTTTCTTAACCAGTTTTACTAGCTCTGCTAAGTCATCGTCAGTCCAAAGCCCTCCTGATATTACGGGAGGTGCCTAAAAAATTTGTATAGAAGTTTAATGACGTCTTTAATTTCTAATGAATGTTCTAAATTTGAGAAGTTGTATCAGTAAACCTTAAACTTAAATGAATTTTAATAATTTTTTTTTGCAACTCTGTGAAAGTAACTTAAAAATGAGTAGTAAAACCTAATGTTTGACACCAAAATAATATAAGTGTTACTCTATTACTAGCTACTGCAGAATAATTTGAAAATTTAACATGAAGTAATATCACTTTTTCCACCTGGATAATTAAATTAAATTACATAAATTCATCTACAGAAACCTATAAGGGTTTACATACAGCAGACTTGACGGGCACTACTACTGGTCCGTCTGGCTCATCGGCAGGGTCCAGTAGACACCCCTGCCGGGCGGGCGGGGGCTCGAACCCACGCCGCCGCCGCACGGGGCCCGCCGCCGCGCGCGCCTCCGCTGCCGCCGCCTCGCGGGCCGCCCGAGCACGGTCTTCTTCTTCCCTATATCCACATCTTATTGTTATACTACCCTAAGGATTTGAACCTATACATTACATATGAGGATACTCTAGTTGTCATTGTTCAATCCCTATTATAATTCAAGTTTGAACTGTAATAATGATTGTATTGACAATTTAGGAAAAATGCACTAGGTGATAGTAAAAACCAATAATAATTTGAATTTGGTATTGGGTATTATTAATAATAATAAAAATCAGTATATTTATATAGGACCTCAGCGGCGCAGTCGTTAGTGTGCTTGGTCTGCAATACAGTTGTTAAGCAATTTAGCAATGGTCGTTCATAGGAAGGGTGACCAAAAATTTATTTTCTCAACTTGATCTGTGGTAAGAGAGGCATGTTAAGCCCTTGGTCCCTGTGTATGTGTTGTCAACACCCACCAATCTGCACTAAATCTATGTCACCATTCCCCTGTTTGATTTGTTTTGATTTCATCCGTAAAGCAGACCTGATCCCCAGCATTGGAGACATTAATAGGCTGGTAATGATAAAAATTATAATATGTTAACCAATACTATACAATACTATTAATAAACAAGGTTTAGCGTCAGAGTTAATTTACACTAAAATTGCAATTTTTGTATTGGTCCGAAGTCATATAATTAAATTAATTAATTAAAATAAAATTAATGAAAAATTTTATTCAAGTTTACCAATTATAAAGCATTTGTTGACAGTTAAGTCCATTGTTGATTCATCATATTAGAAATCTGAATCAAAAGTGTTGAATGTTCATATTAGAAATATCAATCAATAGTTTAACTTTAACAATGCCACTGATAAAAGGTTTAGCGTCAAGAGTATGTTAAAATTGCAATTTTAGTATAACTCCGTAGTAGTAGAATAAGCATGCCGACTACCTTCTAGGAGAAAATATTACTCATGTAGAACCTCGTACTAGGTTAACCTTTGCCAAGTCCCTGTTTATTAATATGAATTTAGACTAATACTAAGTGCTGTCTCAGCGTAAATTTACTCCAATACTCAATCTTTTTTATTAATAACACTGATATTGCATAAGTCAAATGAACTAAAAAGTTTTGTACGGTGTACAAACTTATTACCATTTCATTTTTGTTTAATAAAGGAAATACTAATCTTAATGTTAGCCATCAGTTATTAAACTGAATTAAGTATTTACTCACTTCTTCTTTTGCCTCTTGACTTCTTCCTCTTTCTCCTTCATCATTCTTCTAAATTCAATGATACCTCGTGGTATAGCAGTAATAGACCACCAGATGCACCGCGGTATTTGGAATGGTAATGTATCCTTAATACTGGGTTTTGGTAATTGTTCTAATATTTCTGCAAGGCCAGCATCAAATCCTGATTTCTTTGAATGCTTTTTACCTCTGCTATTTAATATTTGCTCCTAAAAATCCACTTACATGGTCAGAATATATTTTTAAAAAGTATTTAAATTGAGGATACATTTAAATAAAATATCAGTGTTTTTAATTATCAAATAAATATAAAATTAAATAATTGAAAGCATGTTGTTTATTATTTATGGTACCTAACATATGGTGGAATTGAGTACACATTTTTTAAGAATAATTTCTATATAATGTATTCAGACATTTCAAGAATCGAAACTTACAGCAGTATATCTCTTTTCAGCATAAGCTGCCCAACCAACAGCATATTGTCCAAATGTTATTATGATAAATAGAATTATAGAACCTTCGGCAAGACCCATCTTTCGTACATGCCGATAATAGTACACAGCAGATCTCCAATTTGGTAACCCATTCTTAAGAACATCATTGTATCTGAGGAATAAAATCAAAGGTCGCAGGTATACTTTTACCAGTATCGTAATTTTCTTAAAAAAAATCTCATAAAAAGCATAATAAAACTACGAGACTTTATAACATTATAAAATAAATCAGTTACTTTTCTCTCTTTCCTGGATCTTTGAGGATATTATGAACAGACACTAGATTCCGAAATTGGACATCGGCATCGGGTGAATCATTTTTATCAGGATGCAGCTTCAATGTAAGTTTTTTGAAAGCAGACTTTATTTCAGCAGGCAGTGCATCCTAAAATTACATTCAAATTTATAAAAACTTGCATGTTACTGTAGCTGTCCGTAAGAATGAATATAATATAGATAAAGAAAAAAATACCTGTTTGACTCCCATGAGTTCATAAAAATTCTGGTTTACTTCTTCCACCACGTCAAATACCTCCAAGTCGCCGTCATCCCAACAATGCACAGCTGCTGTTAGTGTCAAGAACAATAAAACTACTGAACGCATGTTACATGAAGGTTGTAGTACCGATATCAAATTATGAATAATTTTACGAGATTTTAAATTTACACGAGATAGTGACAAAATTTTAAAAGTACAACTGCGAAAGACAACCGTAAGAGCAACTAAAAACGTTTAACATAGAGCCATTTCTGACAGTAGAGACATTTGACACTGACATTGACAACTCACCCAGTGTTCCACTAATGGATTTTGATTTCGCGCTCGAGTTTTTTTTTTTTGTAAAAGTATATTAAAAGTTTCATGTGATCATATCAATATTTCTTTGTCTCAAAAAGTGTTATTAAATGTAGGGACGACATATGTTTATTTATTAATTCAAATTACTAGCGGAATCATTAGTCATGTGACATTTTGAACCATGATGGATGATTAATTAAATATATAAATAATTATACATAACTTCAAGTTTAATTCAATCGAGCAAATTTTTAATTACTTTGATATAGTCTCAGAATATAGTATGGCATTGTGGATGCAAAATTAATCAAACGTAATAAATATTATGTATATTGCTTGACAAATGTGTAATTAGTGTGACGTTTTAAGGGAGGACAGTTAGCGATTTAAATATTTACGTATCTAATTATTCGTTTTTCACATTATATAAATATATATCGATAGTACATAAAACAAACTTTAATTTAATCATTTCACCCCAAAATAGGGCGAAATCTCTCAAAGTGGAAACATTGATCTCACCACCTCCTCCTCCTCCCCTCCTCTTCATACGAGGGTCAAACTGAAAGTTCTTAGAAAATCAAAAACTGATTACATTAGCCAGTTATTAGTTTTATTATATCTTTTCAAAATATTGTCCATTCACGTCAATACACCGCTGCATGCGATGGAACCACTGGGAAAAGCACTTTGCCCACTCGTCCTTAGGGGTCTCTTCAATGGCATCGCGATACGCAGCCACCGCTTCTTCAGCATTCATAAACCGCTTTCCTTTAAGTTTTTCTTTAATTTTTGGAAATAAATAAAAATCCAAGGCGCGAGGTCGGGGCTATACGGCGGGTGACCCAGTAATTCAACGTTTGATGTCGCCAAATAGTCGATCGTTCGCTTGGCGGTGTGCGACGAGGCGTTGTCGTGGTGAAGGAGGATCCTACTGCGAGGTCGTTTCTCTCGAACTTTTTCCAAGACAAGTGGCAAACAATTGGTAGTGTACCATTCTGCAGAAACTGTTTTTTGATCCTCTAACACAATTGTTGCAAAATGACCTATCCTTCCAAAGAACGAGGCCACCATTTTTTTTCCCGCACTTCGATCTCTCTTCACTTTAGTTGGCAACTCCTCGAAAGGAAACACCCACTGAGCAGATTGTCTTTTGGTTTTAGGATCATAACAGTAAATCCAGCTTTCGTCACCTGTTAGTATGTCGAACACAGCATTTGAGTCACCTCCGTTAAATCTTTCAATCATTTTACGACACCAATCCACACGATGGAGTTTTTGAGCCTCAGTCAAATTATGAGGTATCCACCGGGCGCAAAACTTCCTGACCGCTAAATGTTCGTGGAGGATTTTGTGCACTTGACTCATACCGATGCCTAAGCTTGTCCGAATCTGTTGATAGGTCACTCTTTTGTCAGTCTCTATCATACGCCGCACAACACAGATGTTATCTTCAGTCGTCGCCGTAGAAGGCCGTCCCTCACGTAAATCATCAGTGAGATTAGTGCGACCACGTTTAAACTCATTAAACCAGTTGTAAACAGTCGCACGAGATGGGGCTTCATCGTGAAAGGCCAATCGTAGTCTATCATAACTTTCTTGTTGACTTAAATGACATCGAAAGTCATAAAAAATCATTGCACGAAAATTTTCTCGTGTTAAATTCATGATGACGTGACACAGACAATTTTCAATTTGCCGCCAAATCGTAAAACAAATGACAAATGAATGAAATATATACTCAGTAATATTGGCAAAGAGTTATATTTTCAAATTTTAGAATTATTTTTTTATTATATTGTTTATAAGTGGCCAGTTCTAAGAACTTTCAGTTTGACCCTCGTACACCTGCAGTAAGTAGTAGTAGTATTATAATTCGTCCATGGGACAGGCGAAGGAACTAAGCCATACAGCCAAATCTTGGACATACACCTGCTCTCCTGCGCACCGGCACTTTTTTATTTAAGATGAGATCTAGCGAGTACTGCCTAAGCTTCGATAATATATTTTCTATTTAGTTAGATGTTTGAATACTTCTTAGTGGTTTAATAGCCAATCAAAAATATAAGAAAGAGAAAAGGCCGAAATTCGTGACGGATTGTAAAAAAATGTTTGGAGAAAGAAAGAAGTGCCAATTAGAGCGATAGAAATCGTGATGGAACATAACGAACTAACTTAACGAACTAGTATTTACTACATATTTTTCGATCCATACTTATACAATAAAATCAATAAAGTTATACAACATAACCGTTTATCATGTCCATATCACACACACTACCTGATTTCAAATTAACATCGCTGATTAAAAGATAACTTGTAATTCTCAATCATGACGTAATCAATAAAAATAAATTTTATATTATAATTACTTTTATCTTGCATAATAATTGCCTTAATTATCAATATTAAGAATAAATTTTTACTGCATACCTACTGTTATTCATTCTTTATTTTTGGCATAAATAAAGAATTATTATTATTACTATTACAAAACTTTTGAGATAACATTTAGAATGTAAAACGTTAACGTTGGATATTTTGACCTTGATGTAAATTGATTATGTCCATTACAGATTCTTCATTTCATTAGTTTAAAAGGTCCAATAACACGTCCTTTTGAAATTTTCAGAATATTTGGCGCATTTCAGCATATACCTTGGAAGTCTTTGTCTAGTTTTAGGGTGTATATTGGGTCGCCTAATTTTTTGTACTCCTAATTGGCTTTGGCACGTAAACGGTCAATCTGATTTTTTTTTCGCACAATTTTAACATTCCTAATGGTGTTTAATCTAATATAATTTCGCGTAACTTTTTATCGCCGTATTTTAACTTACCAAATGTGACATTAGGCGGAACAATCTGTTATCCCTACTCCTCGAAATTACTAAATAGTAATGCGCACAAAATTAAAACGCACGAAAGTATAAAACGCCTTAACGTTTGTATCAGACAAAATTACTTGCTCATCAAACAAATAAACAAGCTAGCATGCAGCACGCATGGCTTCTGTCACGGCTCCGGCGCTGCGGGGCTCCGGTCCCACGCGAGCTTATCGTCGCAGATGGTTTCCGCCCACCACCGAGGCTGAGGCTGGCCGGCTCGTTAAAACCACCTGCTCCTCAGCTTGCGGGCCACCTCGCCCCTCCGCGCCTACGGGGGTCTAAATTACACTCTAGGAGTCGGACAAACAAGACTACGTGATGTCGGTTTTACGGCTGTGTCGGTTTTGCTGCGATTCGTTTCTCAAGCCAATTGTTTTTTTTTGCACATTTAGGGCGCTTGTGCACTACACTGAATTTTCAGGTCCGGCGGTCCGATTTTTTCCGGTCCGGAATGACATGAAAAACTCGGATGAGTAGCTTGTGCACTTGTCCGTTTTTTTCCTGATCGGAGCGGCGCAGTGTAGTGCAGCTCTCTTTGAAGCTACACGTCACTTACGCTAGGTACGATGAGATTTTTGGAACGTCGGTAATTCCGTTCGAAGACGTAGAAAGGTACCTAAATAATGATCTGATCGTTTTACATAAACCATAATAAATTATGGCAAGACGAATGCATTTTTTTACTGCTATCGGATGACTACTATCAGATGTAAAAACTTATACCGTTACTTATTTAGGAACAGCATTATTCACATACAATAGCTAAAAATATCTGTGACATTAGAATAAAATTACTGATAATGGTCTAGTACTTGATGTTTAAATTTTTAAACGTGCAATTTTTTTTTGAAGTTTTGTAAAAACAACTTTCAGCGATTACAGAGATAGATCAATCGGTGGCGCCATTTCGTAAACAAATCGAAATTAGTGACGTGTTAGCGGAGAATTATTATGCTAAATGAACTTTACGAGATCAGTTGACTGTATTATATATAGGTGTACGGTTCACAACCGTACAATAGTATGTTAAAAGCAATTCAGCATTTTACTTCATTGTATTACATTTTCATGTCATCATTTTTAGTATTCATTCGATCGTCACGGTGTGTACTCATATCAAATCATTTTATCATTTAGCATAAAAAGTCAAAAATCAATAAATAATTTCTATCAATTGAACTCTCCGTATCATTTCTTATCAAAACTAAAGATTGTGCGGCAGCAGCTCGTACAACTTTATGGTCCTTCGAGCTACTTAACCCAACGTGCGGTGAGGTTAAAAAGCGGGGCCACGCGGCGCGACAACGTGACTTATTTTGTGGTGCACGCGTATCCTGTGACTTTCCGTTCGTCTATCAAACTATCAGTGTATCAATTTTATCAAGACTATACCAAAATATCAGTGAGAGCATTAGTGGTTATCAATATCAAGCAATCATCATCAATCAGAACTTTGTTCATCATCAATTATCAAGCGTATTCATCATCAGTGCTCTGCGTGTTCAACCGGTCTTACGTGTGGTAGCGAATCGGTCAAACCGGCCTCCCACCAGCGGGTCTCACCGGTGCGATTGAGAAGGCGCACATATCGCATCGCGGACTTTGGAGCACGCGGCACGCGCACGTGGCATCAGCAAGCAATTATCAAACTCGATTAATTTTCAATCTTCAATCATGGAAGACCTACTAGCAGTTCAGCATCAGCTTATGGAAGCTATGCAACAACTCATCACTAATTTCAAGAAGGATGGTTCAGAAAGGAAAACCCCTTCTTATATCAAGAGACGCTTGGACACGTTAGAACAGTATTGGAGGGAATTCCAAGAAAACCATATCAAGTTGTGTGAAAGCGAAAACCGCGACTATACGTATTTCTCCGAAAAGCAATATGATCAAGTGTCGGAGTTTTATACCGAAAGT